TGGGACTTGGTCACAATTTTCGTGATGCCATATGGCAGCAGAGTCTACCATCAGACAACACATTATGCTTCCCATATCTTCCCAGGCGGTAGTACTTCCCTGTTTGGCTGTCAGTTCAGCTACCCTGAGAGATTGGAACGCCTGAACTTGCCTAGCTTATACTACAGACGGGCAAGGGGTGACCTAATTGAGGTGTACAAGCATCTCAAAGGGCACTACTCTGTCGAGTGTCCTTACCTGGAGCTGGCGGACGTTCGCCCCACAAGGGGTCACAGCTCAAGGTTGAAGAAGCCGCAAGCTCAGAAAACTGTGAGGGGTAACTTTATCGGAGTTAGAGTTGTGAACTCTTGGAACAATCTGCCAGAGAGTGTTGTGACGGCACCGAGTGTGAGCTCTTTCAAGACAAGACTTGACCAACACTGGAGCAGGTTCAGATACATTCAAGAGTCGGTGCATGCCCAGTACTTGCCAACAGTGCGCAACAGAGACGTGGCCGATCGCCCAAGCGGCTAACGAGCCGATCAGTGGTGAAGAAGATAAAATTAAAATTTAAAAAGTGTATCCTCAACAGCCTTCCCATAAAACTCCTTCAAGTTTCTTATGTTCGCTGACGCTGCAGGTGCTCTCGTGGAATCCTCTGCAGTGTAATGAACATCTGTTCGACGGCAGAGGAAACACTGCAAGATCAAGATTTAAGAAGGGGCGGAATTCTTCCATCAAATCTCCGGGAATATTCGTCCTTGATGGTGGTCAAGGTGTCAAAGGGAGTGTCTTAATTCTTCGCGTCCTCAAAAAGTGGTTACCGCTTGGGAAAATATTTAAGAGTTGGATCAACTTCGTGGAGAAGTGTAGGGCGTCTCTAGACTGACTTACATTGCCCGGCCTTGTATTGATGACTCGGGTAAGGACAGTAAACATTTTGACCCAAGTTGTCTGAACAAAAATTACTGGGTTGAACCTTATCGAGCCTACCCCCCCCCATCCGTTTCCGACGCCTAGGCTTTATATCGACACAGGCGCCTCACCGTATAGAGCTAAGAATACATATAAACCTAAATGCTCACTTGTTTGTCCTGTGTTAACCTAATTCCATATGAGCAAACAATATCAAAAGCCTAATTTGGACTAACTAGGTTTTACAGAACTGTATGTCTTGCTAGGCGTGAGAGAAACATTCGTGAGCGCTGATATTAGACACTGGTATCCTCAGCTGAACACGGACGGGGAACAGGACCCAACTGACTCACTGTGGTGATATACTGTACGTGTGTGTTCCGAGAACGTCCCACTCACCTCTCCACCCCATCACCAGCTCTGCTTATCTATTATATGCCCTCTCATCACATTCTCTCATACTTTATGGCTTTGTCATCCACTCATAAACTGTACTATATACATTAATTACTCTACTACAGTATACGCTAATACGCGAACCTACCGAGAAAGTGTGTGAGTCTTTCTTCGGTAAAATATCATAAAAGTGTAGGATAAAAGACAAGAAAACGTCAAAGAATACCATTAAATTAGAGTGACTGGTGTGCATTAGATTATTTCATATATATTTTTTCTAGCGGATTTACCTGACAGCTCGGCTCAGTCCGCTGCTCTATCAGGGAAGTTCAAGGTCAAGGCTGAATCTTGTTAACGGTGTGTGTTGGGCTTCCTCTGTTTCCACATATTATACGATAGCTTTCGGGCTGAACTTTTATTATATTTTACAATACTGAACAGCTTAGTTTTTTCTTCAGCTCGAGTCTTGCCTGTTGTTCGTCTCTCTCGTCTAGTCCTCTTATGAATGCACATTATATGACAAAGACTGACCACTAATATGTAATTTGTTCCTTGTGAAAAGTTTAGTGTGTGTGTGTGAGTGTGTTTAGACTATTAGATAACTGTGTAATAGTTTTATGTAAATATATTTCCATACATTTAGCTTAGGATATGTATGTATGTATGTAATAATAATAGTAACTAAGTGAAATTGTCATACAGATTTATAATTGGATAGACATGTTCATCAACTATGCAGTTATACAGTTCAGCATGTATGTATGTATCATGTGTGTATAAACTTGGTCTACGTCACTGGCTGCTATAAATACACTGCCACACTGACCAGGCTACCACCACCTCCACCTTCCTGTTCACAGAATGGTTCACACTGACGTCACACGGATGAGGCGGCTGTGAGGAACTGTGAGACATTTCTATACATAACTTGGCAAGGGATCCGTCACTATATTGGAATGACTCTACCTGTACGTCTTGCCTGTACATGGGTTATTTCTCAATAAACTTTTTGGTTCTATATGTATATGGAAGTGTGTAAACTTGTGTGTTCTTGTGATTGTGAATTAATGTGCGTTTTCACTAATGTAGACATGCATATTTATTTATTTCTTTTATCTACCTTTCTATCACTTACCAGCCTACTAGCCGTTCATTGTTAGTGCAGGAGGTAGCCGGTGTACAGTACTCAGAGGACTCCTGTGATGTTTTGTAATCACAATGAATAACACTCTTCCTACATTTGTTCCGGGTCAAGACTCGAGCCCAGAACACTATCGTGAAAGATACGCGCGTTAGTGCTGTCTTTATGTATACAGTACAAGTTCAGGTAGCTGCCTTCATATGTGAAAACCTAATTGGCAACACACACACACACACATTGCTCCATCATCAATGCTTCCCTCAGCCAAGCAAGATGCCCAGCTAACTGGAAGACCTTACTTGGAGCTGGCGGACGCTCGCCCCACAAGGGGTCACAGCTCAAGATTAACAACTGGGCATCCACTCTACAAACTGAATTAGTTGCCATACTCACAGCTATTAAGTTCATTGAAACCACTGTTACTGACAGTCTCATCATCACTGACTCTCTATCCTCACTACTTGCCCTTGGCACCCTCGACTCGGGTTGTCACGCTCTTGTCTCTGAAGCCAGACACAAATATGCGTACCTTGTTGACCGGGGTGTCAAGGTCAAACTGTTGTGGATCCCCTCTCACATAGGCCTCATAAAACATGACAGAGTTGATGCCCTCGCCAAATTCGCGTCTAACAAAGACACCGTTGAATACAATTTGGGTCTGTCAAAAAGAACCCTTAAAACTGTAATTAGGAAAGAACTTATTGATGAGTGTGACGCTAGTAGACAAGTGCAAACAGACACTAGTCGATCCATAGGTTACCATGATGAGATGTATCAAGTGAAACATGTATATGGAGCAAGTAACAAGATCACTAGATTACAAGATGTTGTAACCGATAGATTAAGGTTAGGATATAAGTACCTCTGGCAGTATGTTCCTCAAGCAGATGTAAACAAAACTAAATGTAAAGTGTGTGGCCAGACATATGGCCACACACTGGCAGTATGTCCCTCAAGCAGATGTGAACAAGACTATATGTAGAGTGTGTGGCCAGACATATGGCCACACACTTGAACACTACGTCCTCGACTGTGTGAAGATAGAACCTTTTAGGGACAGGTCCAAGCACACTGTGTGTGAAATGGTACAACACTTCATCTCTAATGGCAAGATAGCCGACATATTAAGATTGTATCTACTTTTTTGCACTTAGTAACTATATCAATTCTCATGTACAGAACCAAATACGCAATGTGCTTGAATACCTCCCACGTAAATGTGAATAACAAAGTGTGAGGCCAGACATACTGCCTCACACTCCTGCGGCCAGACATACTGCCTCACACTCCTGCAGCCAGACATACTGCCTCACACTCCTGCGGCCAGACATACTGCCTCACACTCCTGCAGCCAGACATACTGCCTCACACTCCTGCAACTACTGCATCACACTCCTGCAGCCAGACATACTACCCCACCAGACATGCTGCCACCTCCTGCAAACATACTGCCTCACACTCCTGCAGCCAGACATACTGCCTCCACTCCTGCAGCCAGACATAGCTACTGCCTCACACTCCTGCAGCCAGACATACTGCCTCACTCCCGCAGCCAGACATACCTCCACACTCCTGCGGCCAGACATACTGCCTCCACCTCCTGCAGCCAGACATGCCTCACACTCCTGCAGCCAGACAGCACTGCCTCACCTCCTGCAGCCAGACATACTGCCTCCTCCCTGCAGCCAGACATACTGCCTCCACACTCCTGCGGCCAGACATGACTCCTGCTACTGCCTCCACACTCCCAGACATACTGCCTCACACTCCTGCCAGACATACTGCCTCACACTCCTGCAGCCAGACATACTGCCTCACACTCCTGCAGCCAGACATACTGCCTCACCTCCTGCGGCCAGACATACTGCCTCACACTCCTGCAGCCAGACATACTGCCTCACACTCCTGCGGCCAGACATACTGCCTCACACTCCTGCGGCCAGACATACTGCCTCACACGCCTGTTCTCACGCATTTGTGAATAAGTTACCCTTTATGTATAGAACTAAACAAATAATGTAAATGAAATACTGTGTAACATTCAGTGCCATAATATCCTGACAACGGGGGTTAATTATTATGACCCTTTGTGACCTCTACTCTGTAATCCTTTTGTGCTACCGCTCACAGGATGAGTGTGGGGTGCACAATAAAGTAGCCGCTGTAAGTGGCAAAATAAAAAATCAAATCAAGATTGAAGAAGCCGCCAGTCCAGAAAACTGTGAGGGCAAACTTTTTCGGAGTGAGAGTTGTAAACTCTTGGAACAATCTACCAGAGTGTTGTGACGGCACCGAGTGTGAGCTCTTTCAAGACCAGACTTGACCAGCACTGGAGCAGGTTCAGGTACATTCAGGAGCCGGTGAATTACACGAAAGCGCTTGGGAACTTCTTGTTTTCTTCTTTCCTTGTGGTTATCAGCATATACCTAGATCACGCGCACCTACAGTGATTTACTTGCATATATATATATTAAAATGGATTTGGGGAATTTTGATCCAATCTAGGGAATTTTTGATCCAATCTAGGGAATTTTCAACCTTAGTCTAGGGAATTTTCAACCTTAGTCTAGGGAATTTTCAACCTTAGTCTAGGGAATTGTTCACCTGCACTGGGAACACTGATAGTCACTCACCTACACAGTCACTCAGATACAGTGGTGATGAGCGACTGGGTTGACGTCCAGGTGAGTCTACTTACATTACCTCTTCTACCATGTATTGACAACTATCCTGAGTCTAACAAATAGTTTAATTAAATATTGATAGTTATCTATATATTCCTTAAATTTGTTAAACCATGTAATTATCTCTTGATGTATACTAATGTTTGAGTCATCCATATCTAAAAATATTATACTGTTACCTGTTTGGAATTATTAATCTAGATTCTGGAAATTTTTTGTGTCGTTGCCGTCTTATGTATTGATAAAACCACCAGGAGAAGAGTTAATGTATAAAGGAAGGTAGAGATGTGACTAGAGTATTAGAACACCGGCTACCACTTGATCTCTTGCCCTTGAAGTGTAACCGAGATCAAGGCTGAAGAATTATCTCAATGGTCTGCTTATACATGTCATGCTGCCTCTACACTCTAAACCAGGGTGTCATGTTATTAAGTCCCATTTTTTGCTAGAATTATGATGATTGGGTAGTTTAGAAACACCCACTTTCCTCGAGACTAAATTTTAGTAGATGAAGGTCGAGAGGGAAGGATCACAAATTTATTCACATTTGTATTATTTTTATGATTTTCACCTTCATGTTTGTTTGGTTAAGTGATGTAGGTAATAGTTAATGACCTGTATTTAGGCGGCTCATTATAATTTGTTAGTGCAATGTCTTAATGTTTGTGGTAAATATCGAGAATGAATGTTGGATCTAAAAATCTGGTACTGTTTCTTGCTTTGATAGTTTTGTGCTACAGTATTTATTTATGCAATACATAGTACAGCCTGTGTTCCATAATATTAATAACCAGAGTACAGTATGAATACACCTGGTAATACTTAAGGACAGGTGCCCTGGTTACCCAGCCACCCGACAAAAAATATATACATGAGAAAACTTGTTTTGTATCTCAAAACTGAAGTAAATTACATGGAGGAATGGCACTTTCTTTAAGATTTTGTCCCTTGTTTTTCCTGTAAAGATGCTGATGTCACCCGCCCACTTCGCGGAAAATGCCATGTTGCGCTTAACAAATGACCAATGCAACGCACACCAACCAAACAACCCCGAACTTTTAATTGACTCGGCCAGCCAGCAAATAATGACCGACCTTCATTCTTTTCCAAACCTTGTTTAAGTTACAAATCTACCTAACAAAACCTAACCTAACATACGTTAAGAACAACATAAGAATGGAGGAAACTGCAGTGGGCCTATTATGGCCCATACTGGGCAGTCCCATTTATACCCAACCCCTATCCTCATATATCCATCCAACCTACTGTATGTTTGAAGCTATCCAGAGTATTCGAGTTAATGATGATGTTTGGTAACTTGTTCCACTCATCCACTACTCTATTTCCAAACCAGTGTTTACCTATTTCGCACCTAATTCTTAATTTGTTTAATTTAAAACCTTTGTTACGAGTTCGCTGCTGGTTGGATAGTTTAAATACCTTTGTTTAGCCCTGACTTCCATTTATAAACCTTGATCATATTGCCCCTCACTCTACGTCTCTCGAGGGAGTGTAAATTAAGATGCCTTAACCTGTCTCTGTACTCAAGGTTCCTAATGCCCGGAATTAGTCTTGTCATTTTCCTCTGAACTCTTTCTAGGGATTCTATATCCATTATGTAGTACGGTGACCAGAATTGAACTGCGTAATCCAAGCGAGGTCTCACAAGCGCAAGATATAGTTTTAGGATGCCCTCGCTAGTCTTGCAACTAACACTCCTTTGTATGGACCCAAGTACTTTGTTAGCCTTGTTTAGAGCAAATACACATTGTTTACTTGGTTTAAGATTCCGACTTATCATTACATCCAAGGAGAGTTAGGTTAGGCAAGTTTTGTTGGTTCATTTTCCCAAAGGTAAATCACAATATAGAACTGGAAATATTATAAGATAACATTCGCTGCAAGTGTATGGCAAGTACAGGGATATTGCTGCTGGGAAGCCTATGCTGCCATTGCCAGTGTGTTCAGAATGTAGTACAGTATTGTTAGGAAAATTGCAAATCCTACTGTCATTAATAATAACTTGACCTTTTTGGAGAAATTAATATATTATTATTCTTAATGGTAGACAGAATAATTTATCATCCACAGAATTTTTGGGGGGGTAAAGTTGCTGCTGCTTATGTTGTTATTCCTCAGTGAGGAAACGGAGTGGCATTATTGGTAAATATTTGGAAGTTGCCAACACCTGCTTATATATTGAGTTCTTATGTAGGGGGGAAAGAGAAAAAACTAAAATAATTTATTCTATAGCTTTTCCATCAGAAATTTATATTTTTCGAGTATTTTAACTGATAAAATTACCAACAATATTACTTGTTCAAAGTGGGCAGGGCTTTGTTAGAGGCAGGGGGAACATGTGGGGTAAAATACTCAAAATTAAACACGAAACAAACTTTTGAAAACCTTACTTAACCTTTCATAACCTTTAAAAATCTTAAAACTATAAAAAGTTTACCTTATTCATGTTTTCAGAGTTTAGTAGGTGATGGTGTTGTTTTTGGTGCTCAGATGAGGAGGGATCCATAAACTCAATAGTGATTCTTCAAATTTTTACAAGTTAGGAAGGGTTAGGTAAGGTTTCCAAAGGCTTGTTTGGCATAATTTTTAGTATTTTACTGCACATATTTCCTTCTACTTAAAGCGCAGTCCACTTTGAACAACTAATATTAAGGGAAATTTTTTCGGTTAATGTACTCCCAGAATATAAATTTCCAATGGAACCGCTGTAGAATAAATTATTTTAACTTTTTACTCGTTCTCCATATTACAGTATAATACTCAGGTAGGTGTTGGTAACTTCTAAATATTAACCGTGTAGTTATTAATGTGTGAAATATTAGGATTCCTCCTCCTGATGTTCATGTTAACAAAGATGGTGACTTCGTGCAGGCAGTGTGTTTGTTTACATGAACAACTGGGGACAAAACCTGAATAGGATTGTGCTAGTCCTCCTCATTTGCTTCATTCTTGAGGTAAGAAATAAGTTTTTTCTATGCAGGTACTCCCCGACTTATGATGGGGTTAGGGACCGACATCCAGGTCGTAAGTCGGAAATGCTTAAATAACACATAGAAAATCGAAAAATGGGTGTCTCTTTTTCTTCTCAGCACCACAAAACACTCACTTTTAAGCTTGCCAGCCATTTTAAAGTGAATTACAGATGAAAATTTTGTCTGTGTACTGACTTTGGGACTCAAAAATACTGTACATAATTTGACCACATTTTGGTACGACTGAGGCGGTTGTAAGTGCGGGTGGACGTAAGTCGAGTCGGTCGTAAGTCGGGGACTACCTGTAGTTGGTTTTGTTAAGCTGTTAGATAACTTCGATCATTGTTCTTAATATTACTTCCAGCATTATATCATACTTTGTGGCACTTCAGGGTTGGTAAGGTTAAACTCCTTGATACATATACCGGTAATACCTTGATTGTGTAAATAAGTACAGTCGGCCCTTAACATACGCGGGTTTATAATACACGGATTTGCAAATACGCGGATTGCCCCGCCGGAGGAATATTCTGTACATTGAAGTAATTGAAGTACATTCAAATCGCGCGCGGCACCGAACACGGGACACCGCCCGCTCCCGCAACCTCTCACACACACACACACGCATAGCTCTCCCTCACTCAGTCAGTCTCGCTGTAACCACGCTTGTGTTGAGATCAGCATTGTAGTTACAAAAATATTACATTTCCGTGAATGTATTATATCAAGCACAGTATGAATAGAATATCACTAATATAACAGTATTTTAACCGAAAACTACTAAAAAACGAGTAACATATCTTGAGCATCGGAAGGCTAGGTAAAGTCTTTTGTTTTCATGTAGTTTATCCTAATTTACATTGAAATGCATTACGTTTCAGCAAAACTACTATTTATTTCTGAGAATATGGAAATGTAATATTTTGCTGAAATGACGTACGTATTACAGTGGAAAGTGACGAAAGCAATGACTCGCTTTCTTTCGTTCAAAAGATGTTACCGTAATCGCTTTTCGAATGGTTTTCAGTTAAAAAACTGTTGTATTACAATAATATTCTATCCTAATTCACTTGTGATGCAACAGTTTTTTTAACTGAAAACCATTCGAAAAGCGATTACGGTAACATCTTTTGAACGAAAGAAAGCGAAAGTCATTGTTTTCGTCACGATTTCCACTTTCCACTAATACGTACGTCATTTCAGCAAAAATATTACATTTCCGTGAATGTAGTATATCAAGCACAGTATGAATATAATATCATTGTAATATAACAGTATTTTAACCGAAAACTATTAAAAAAACGAGTAACATCTCTTGAACATTGGAAGGTTAGGTAAAGTCTTTTGTTTTCGTCATGTATTTTATCCTATTTTACATTGAAATACATCACGTTTCAGCAAAACTACTATTTATTTCTGAGAATATATTCATTCAGGCACAGTTTAGGTAAAATATACATGTGCTGTAACATTTTTTTAATTGAAAACGATTCGAAAAACACGTACCCTCTAGCCCTGTTCAAGGAGAAGACTGGGAGGAGCTGTTTGGTGCTTAAGACGATGACAAGGAAAATGATTTTGATGGATTTTAATGAAAATATTCAGAAAGACCCTGGCACTGTCAAGGAAAGTGGCTGCTGAAGGCTTCCAGGACATGGCAGAGGACGAGATTAGGGAGCTAATTGAAGAGCACGACACTGAGCTGACCGAGGAGGATCTACAGGAGTTAGTAGACTCAGGCAAGGAAGAGGAAGCGAAAGGGAAAGAGGATGAGGAAGAGCACCAAGAAATAACGTTGGAGAAGTTGGGGGAGATGACCAGGAATATTGAGGCACTGAAAAACCTGGCCTATAGTATGGACCCCTCCATGGTGCGTGCCCTGAAATTCATGCGAGGGATGGATGACGTTTTCGCTCCATACAAAAACATCATGGAAGAAATGAAAGAAAGAGACGACAACTCCTCATCACCATGTTCTTTGATCACCGAAGGAGAGATTTAACACCATCAATCACTGGCGGCAGTGAGGAAGCAGCTGAATCCACCGTCGCCCCCACTTCACCACCCGTTATGGAATTGAGTGACGATGAGCCCGATGACCCCCGTCCTGTCGCCGAGGATAGGTACTGTACAGTAAAGTGAAATTTTTATCTCTTTTTTTTAATAGCTTTTCTTGCCATGTTTATTGTTTGTAAAAATGCACAGCACAGTACAGTTCAGTACTGTACATAGGAAGTGGAGGTGCAGTTATTCACAAAACATTTGTGTTCGTTGTCGGCAGTAGTGACGGGGAGGAGGCAGAGGGGGTGGAGGAGCAGAGGGAGCGAGTTGGGAGGAGTGGTGACCTTGGACGCGGGAGCAGGGACGAGTGGAGATGCCAGCCAGTACATTACGGGTGTATTAATTGTTTTTATAGCTATTTTTGCATTTTAATATTAAATATTGTACATTACGTTTCAACAAAACTACCATTTATTTCTGAGAACATGGAAATGTAATATTTTTGCTGAAATGATGTACGTATTACAGTGGAAAGTGGGATAAAATTGTGACGAAAGCAATGACTTTCTCTTTCTTTCGTTCAAAAGATGTTACCGTAATCGCTTTTCGAATGGTTTTCAGTTGTGGGATTATAAGGCTAATGATAGGATAGAATATTATTGTAATACAGTACGAGTACAACAGTTTTTTAACTGAAAACCATTCGAAAAGCGATTACGGTAAAATCTTTTGAATAACGAAAGAAAGCGAAAGTCATTGTTTTCGTCTTTCCACTGTAATATGTACGTCATTCCAGCAAAAATATTATATTTCCATATTTATTTCTGAGAATACCTATATTCATTCAGTCACAGTTAAGGTAAAATATACTTGTGATGTAATATTTTAATGAAAATACCAGGTATTTAGAAATACGGTATCGTAGTTTTCTTTTGTTTCAAATTTAATTAACAAAGATTGATGTTTCAAATGTAATGAACAAAAATTTATGTACAGTATCTATAAATAAACTTTAAAAAATGAATACTTTATGTTTTACATCGTCCTGTGCATACCATACCATGCATTTGGCTACTTTGGGCTTGCTATGATGACGCAAGAGATCTGCCCTAGCAACTGTACCGACACTCACAGCTGGTGGTGCGTCGTTTCCATTGTTTACTGGTAGTTACTGGTAAATATTTTTCAACCTAACGAAACTATTACCCGTTTAGAGGTCGACCCCCAATTTTTTGCCAAATAATTTGGTCTTAAAAACTTGAACTACACACAGGTATATACGGTAAATAAGGACATGGGGGGACCAGGTTTTTTTTTCGGGGGGGGAGGGGGCAGCCCATATACGCGGATTTTTAACATCCACGGGTATCTCTGTTACGTAACCCCAGCGTATGTTAAGGGCCGACTGTACAGTAGTGCGACTGGTGGAAGATGTACTGCTACTTGGGCACTTAGAGCTTGTGGTTGCATCATGCCTCCTTACTCTAACTTGCTTTTGTATACTGCAGCTACATGAGTCGCCTGAGACCAGCACTTTGTTACAAATGAAGGATTGATCTTGAAATCCTGTTTTCTCACTGAGTCAGGTTCAGGTGACATTGATTGTCTTGATCCCTCTGAGGTGGCAGAGTGGGTAGGAACTGATTCAGGTGATTAATCTTGCATTGTTCTTTGTGTTTAACTTAAACAGAAGAGGATTGAAGAGTGCACTTGTTTACCTGGTGTTGAAAACTTGCCCTCCTTCATCGAGGGAGAACGGCCATGAGCGTCTCTATTTGAGGTTTTCAGTGTTGTCGGGAAACTTGATTTAATTTTGTAATATTATTTGATTTTTAGACTCAAAGCACAAATTTTGAGTCCTGGAAAACTTGATTTGCAATCCTCTAGACTTGTTGACTCATTAAACAGGATTTCAGGATGAGTCACTTGAGGTGCACACCAAAACATGTCATACAAGACTGGTGAAAAACACTTCCAAGAGCAGACAGTATTCACAGCTTTTACTGTATATGTATGGTATGCCTCCGTTGATTAAATGTTGAAGTTAAAGATTGGTTTTGGCCATCTTTACCCAGGTTAGGATATACAGTAGTCATATTTACTTGAGAATTTGACAACAAATATTGATAGTCTCTCATAGTATAAGACAGGCGTGTGAGTATTACGAACCATCACATAAAATAATTTTATTATCTGCAACAAACATTTATTCATCTACTGAATGTCTGTTGTATAAAGGGACCTAATATCTCTGCTTAAACTGTTTAAGACAAGTTTTCACCCGGTCATCAGCAGGCACCCCTTCAGTGACCCAAACACATGAAACTTGTCAATAGCCAAGATTTAACTGTAAGTAACTGTAAGAGAACTTTACAGTCAAGATTCTTCAGTTTGTGATGGGCCGCTTGAGAGCATTCATTACCTGGTCGAAATGATATGTTCAAGTGGCATAATCAGGGCCGGGAGGTTCTTCCTCACCACTCCACACATTCTAAACTTGGCTCATAAATTATACCTGTTTTCAAGCCAGTAACGGAATGACTAGATGGGCGGTGATTCTAATTGACAAAGTTGAAGACCCATGTCCTCAAATGATTCAGGCAGAGGAACAGTTATTACTACACTACTGGCATTCAGTTGCATGTACAGGTAGTTCTGCTATAACGCGATAATTGTGTTCTTGTAAAATATCGTGTTATAGAAAATCGCGTAATAGAAATAACAGGGCTTATGGAGAAAATAGGGTTAGGTGCAGATTACTCGAAATCGAAAAAATTTAGTAGTTAGCCTAACACAAAGGATAGCACAGTCTAAATAAATGTTACATTCATATCTAATAATGAAATCATACAGTAAATTTAACACTTTACCTTGAAAAAATATGAATGTAACTTGATGGGGGAGAAGGGTGATTTTGAGGTTGATAACATCAAGCTTCTCTTCAAGTGTTATATCCTTTCTTTTACGATAATCACCGGGAATTCTATCATCAGAATGCTTTTTGGAGATATTCTTCTTTACCATATTCACAGTTAATACCACAAAATTGGAGAAATAGTAAGCAAAAATCGCGTTATAGCAAACAAGCGATCGAGTTATACAAATATTGTTCCGAATTCATAAATCGCGTTAGAGCAAATTCGCGTTATCAAAACACGCGTTATAGCAGAACTCACTGTAGTACAGTACAGTACAGTACTGCACATTGATGGGACGACAGTTGCATTACTGAACAGAGGAAATGTAAAGAAATTGGGGAAGGTTTGTAGCTTTATAACTGACTTGTTTAAACAAGAGTCTGAAGATGGTTCTGGAGTACAGTACAGTACAGTACTCTCAACCTCTACAGGTATTCATAGTACAATACTTGCCGACAATTACGCTTTTTCATTCTCTTGGTACAATTTGGCTCTCGCTTCAATCCAGCCAAAGATTTTATTAATCACACTTGTATGATGACACTTTGAATGATAGAAACTCTAAAAGACTTAATTATTAAGAAGCATATCATTTGTTAGTTCACATAATAGTGCATTATTAATATGTCTTGAATATTTTAGGTTGTGGCGTAATTGAGTTGGAAAACTGCTATTTCTTAAGACCTACAAAATGGATCATGTCAAGGTATGATTGGTGTGGCTTGGTTTAGCACTGAATCAGTAATTAATGCTTGTTGTTTCTCTAGTGAAAAGAGAAAGTATTTTAGTTGACAATAATCCAAGTTTTAATGGAATGAAACCTGCTTGTCTTTGGTTTGGCTCCAGTTTTCACAGGAATGAAACTCGTTTAACCCCAGTTTTAAAGGAGTAAACTTTGTTTTGCTTTGGTTGAAAGGAGTGTTAATGATTAACAGGTTTCCATTTTTACTTGGCAACCCATTTAATTATTGTATTCACTACTGACTAGTCTCATGTCAGAGCCTGATTATCTTTCTTTAAACATAATTGTCATATAAATAACCAATAAGGCAGTGTTTCTCTAACGCCACCATAAACAGTGACAAGATTATCACCAACTGGTAGATGGGAACACTACTTCTTGACCTGCTTCTCTCATTTCCATCATTGACTCATCTTTTTATTAATATCAAGTCCGCAGATACTTGGTAATCTGTCACATTTTCTCATTATTTTTGTAAAACTACATCAATTTCTCAATAACTTACTACAGTATTGTCTTTTTTCATGCTTCTCTGATTTCTTTAAAATGTAACAGTAACATTTAATGTTGCTCATTGAATTGATTTGCTTTATGTATTTAAAACAATACAGTAGTACTTTATCTTGTTTCTGACAATGCAAGCTTAGTGGAAGTAATTAATTTATCAAACTAGAACAAAATTCATCAAATGGGTAAATGATGTTAGGAATGCCTAAGTGTTTTATGATAATTAGCCAAGAATAATCCAGCTTTAAATATTAGTTGTCTTTTCCTTTGCTCTTCTCTTAAGAAGTGGAGAGAGACATTTTTGTATGCCACCTGCTGTTGTCTTGTGCCTCCACTATCTTACTTGGGTTAACACTAGAGACAAGGTGTATTATCAGTTAGTACAGTACCGGTGTACATGGTGTCTTGAGTAATGCATTTTATAAGATTGTGTACTTGAGGCACAATAGTACTGTACAATATAGTTATTAAGGTACAGTATTGTATTCAGAACACATGAGAGAAAGGTCATAGGCCATTAAACCAATTATATCTAGAGTATTAACCTAAAAAAATATAAATGGAAGAAACAAATAATACTGTAGTGACATCCGGCATGTTACATACTGTACTGCTATACTGTATTAGGTTTGAGAATGTGTGACAGACCACCAGCATTGAACTCGGTCTAAGTTAGTGTTATGACGTACATTAGTTAAAATAAACACTTGCTGCTGTAATTTCTGAGAGTTGTCAGTGTTCTCCTGCCACTGACATAATTCACTTAAGTTGTTGCTAAGTGATTGGAGATGAATAAGTTGAAGAGATGATGCTGTGTCATTACCACACGTTGAGAGGGAACTTTCTGTATGATGAGCAAAACTCTACATGTATTTGCATAGACTTGAACTAACCATATACAGTACAGTATAAAATTTACAGTACTGTAGTGTGTGAATAACATTTTCCTGTTTTAAGAGCTTTAAATATAACAGATAATCTTGCTAACTAAACCTTATATACGTATTATGCAGAATAATGTTATACTAATTAGGATTTTATTTAAGCTACTGGGCATTTGTTTATGAAGGGAAACCTCTATTTAATGGACTAATATATTGAGAGGAAAGTGTGTTATATTGGGGGTCTGTTTGATGTGGAAACCCCATCTCACAGATCATATGAAGAGATATGTCCATTATGTGGAGGTTTCACTATAATTCGAAATTTTTTTAAATACTGTACTGAATTTCATTAATTTTTAGTTTAACTTTGATTTATGTTAATTTACTGTTGCTACAATATATTGTTTAGAAACTTGTATTAGTACAGTGTTTGGTGATGCTTGTGATGTTGTCTTGCATTCATGGAGTGTATCCAGGCAGGGGACTTGAATTTAAAGGATAGTGAATCTGTCCTCATTAATTATGTATTGTACAGCTCTTCGTTACTTTCCATAATGCTTAACACTTCATGTGTAAAGTATGGTATGTAAATTAAGCGAAAGTAGTGCAAGGGAGAGTTGGTTATACAGTACTGGAATTTGTTTTGTACTGTTAATCTTGTTAATTGCAAAGAAAGTATGTTGTGGGGTCTAGGACAGTAAACAAACCCCTAACTGGCAACTGGGACCAATCTATGCCCATCACTCAACCATCTCCCCTAAAATGGAGGCTAGGAAACTGTTTATCTTTCTGAGACAAAAGGTCTAAAAATAGCTATGTCTTTTAAGTCTGTATAGACACCATACCAGTTTCAGCCACCATCTTCATTTCAAAGTCAATTTGCCATTTTGGATTCGGTCCCCAGCTGCCTACGTTTAAGAGCAGTCATCCCTCTCCAAGCTTTACCTGCTGAGTTGAGCAGTGTCATGGTGGGTAGTGGGAGGTTACTGCAGTTCTTGGTGTTATTGTGTCCCTGAGGTTAGGCTGAAAGTCCAGGTTGGGACATTGGCATTTGGACTAACCGTGACAACTATGACAATAGCTGCACCAGTCAAGCAGTACCTCAGGCCACACTATTTTGTAGTTTTGTTGTGATTTAGTGAGGCTGCAGAGAGCTGGCTTATGGTTTCAGAAAGCTGTGTACTGTACAGTGCTAGTATTGGTCCATGTGGGTGCAGCACAACATTGCCTGCATGTGATTTCACTCTTCCTGTAACCAAGAAGATATTATGTGTTTGTGTAATTTATTTGGTTAGATCATGATTACACCCTTGAGGAGGATCTGCAACAGGACCTGGATAGATCAAATCTCTTCAGTAAGTGGAATTTTGTTTACAGGGAAATTTAAATCTATTATTTACACTAACAGGTTATCCTTCCAGATACAACACCAGGCTTGGTTTAAAGTACAGTACAGTGTATTTGTTTGTACAGTACAGTACTTGGTATGCTCAAGTATGTACCAGTTTTTAGGTACAGTACTTATGTTTATACTTGAATTTCACAATAATCTGAACTTGTACTAAATGAAATGTTTCTGAAAAATTCAAGTACTGTACACTACAATATTTGATAATGAAAATCTAGGTTACTCAGGCCAATGTTTCCACTTACAAGGGAATTTCCATGAACTACGGTAAGTAAATTTAGTAGGTACGCAAAAGGATATTGTCGAGAAAATGATACATCTATGGAAATCAAAAGTTGGGAGTGAAATAAGGCCAATTTTATTTTATTTTTCGTCAAGGTGTATGGAATCAGGTAATGAAAACAGAAAAGAGAAACTGTAATAATTGTGGTCAAGTTCTTCCTGTCCATGAGGACAGTATAAAGTACACTATGGTGGAAGACTCGGCCATACAGAAAGAGGCACAGGCAGTAGTGTCTACAGTCAAATCCAGCATCAGTATAGCTTCAGGACATCTGGAGAAAGTCAGTGCATCCCACCAAACCTTTGGGAAGGAAGAGAAAGCTGGTGGAAGAATTTATTGGACCACTTAACACTGGAGACAGAAACAAGCTCTGTATTAATCCTAGACCAGATGACTCACCTGGTGAGAAACTGTCGTATGCCCTGAACCCCAAGGTGTGGAATATATCCCTGAAATTTGATTCAGGAATGTTAGAATACCCAAAACAGTATAACTCCCGTGGAAAAAAAGATTTTTGACCTTTTTGGAAAATTTACATTTACACATTCAACAATCGCCAGGTTTCATAGACCTGATCATCTGTTGACACACAGGTATGAATATCTAGTGGCACACCGTCTCCTCTTTGAAACCAGAGACCACTGATCTGCTCTCAGAAAATGTGGTCACAACATTCTCCTGTCACCAAACACTTTTTGCACAGTATATCTAATGACATAGTCACCCCCTTTAAAAAATAGGTCACTGGATTGTCTTAGGTTTTACAGTAATATAACCTGTTGGTCACCAAACTTATGGGTATGATCCAGTAGTGGTACTGAAGTTGTTTATTCACCTGACTGAAAAGCTGGTTGGTGTGACCTGTTTCTGGAGATTTTACAGTATATTTAGGCCACATGTTTTTTTTCAACTCAAATTCTATACTATATCTCCTTATAGTCACTATTCTTCACATACATGATCATCTAATAACATTTATGTACAGTAACCTGACTTGATGGGCATACAGTACTGTAGTGATAAATGGTCAGTCCTCTGAAGAACAGGGCACTGTGACTCTTTAATTAGGTCTCACCATGCTATAGTTACTAAACTTCATGTACAGTACACAGCAATAAATTTGTCACCTAAAATCTATTTAACAAAATTTAAGAGTACAGAATGATTTACTTTAATTTTCAACAAATTGAAAAAGTGAAAGTGGGTACCATGTGCATGATTGCTCATTAGGGACAGTGGATACAGCACATTGTATACGGAGTCTTCGGTACTGCCAAACCATAAATTACTTTTACCCCTTTGGTGTTGAACTATATAACACACCAGTTAAATTTTCCTTACTAAGCCCTGGCATCTGGGTTGACATAGATAGTCCTGCTGTCCTTATAGGGAGGTATGTGGAGCCGCCAGTGTCACTATTGCTGTCATAATGTAATATCCTTTTCTGTGTAAACCTAAAATGGTTAAGTTTATTGTTAATTAAAGAATATAGATTGGATGTAAACAGCATATCCTGAGAACATTGTGGACTTCTTACATTATCAGTTTGAGGAACATGTAGTACAGTATTTCAGTGTATGTTTATTATTATATCAGTACAGTACATGCAAACAATAACAGAGACGATGGCATTAATTGCTGTCATGACCTGACCTCGGTATGAAGACTTCTGAGACAACCAGAGCAGCTCTCCACAGGTGTGTACAAGTCCACAATAGTTCTGTGGTTTAAGTGTTCTTAAAACACTGGCGCATCACCACTGATGATCAGCCAAGGTAATGGAGACTGGAGGTACTTATACAAAATATTAATTAAATATAACTGATGATTGAATATTGTCTGCCTATCCAAGAAGTGAATAAAGACCGATCAGAAATACTGAAACAATACTGTAAATATAAAACATAATTTTAATTTCTTTGATTTTTCATCTTCAGAGAAACCAGAAGTACTAGTAAGCCTTGAAAACCTGCCTGGCAACTATAGATGCACAATACTGTTGCCAGGTCCTGAAATTTCATTCTGACTTTTTCCACTTCATTTCATGCCACTATAATCATACCAGTATTAATGTTTGTTTGTTAAACATTCACAAAGAATTTTGTATTTGTTGTTTAATAATGTGACCAATAGCAAAGATAAGTAAAAATTGACAATACTGTATAACAGAATTTATTACGAAGACAAACTTCACTCCTGAAATTTTTTTAATAAATTGATCTTGTGATTTTTTGGGTGTTGAATTTGCCTTATTTAGAATTGAACTCATTTTATGTTCTGAAATATGATTAGACTATTTTATCTAACAAGGATAAGGGAATTGATGTCTTAATCATGCCTACCAACCCTAATGAGAAGACAGGTGAGGTATTGTTAACTTTGAAATCCCTGACACCCAGGGATGAAAGTAATTAATGGTCTGGTTCATCAGCACAAGGAGGCAGCATGGCTGGTACTGCACTCAACCATTTTCACTTTACCAAGTTGTAAACTTAGGTACCCATTTACAGCTGAGTGAACTGGGGATTGAACCACTGACCCATGGAACAGGAGGCAAGTGTTGTATCCACTCAACTGCTGCACTACTCCTATATATTACATGAGAGTAAATGAGGAGAAATTGAAGTCCGGCAACTGGCTGAGTGACTGTGTGTGGCGGTGTGGGTGACAAGTCTACGTGTGTTTAAGATGATTGTTGGAGAAGGACGACAATGACAGCTTATTTGTAGACTTACCATAATAACATTGTGGGTGTTAGAGAATAAGTTAGTGTACAGGTTCAGTATATGAAGGAAATGATGATAACCAAACTTAACAAGTACAGTACTATGGTTTATTACATGCTTCCCTTGGTCACATGTTCATGATAGTATCCACTTCACTGTACTGTGTAATTATCCATTTTACAGAAGCCTCTTGGTCCCTGACTTCTCGGTTGACAGATACTTTGCTGTACAGTAATGACTTTGAAAATATAAATATATATATATTTTTACTGGTACCAACATTTTGGGTTTTGTGTGGTATTAAAGCAGAACATAGTTACCAGGCATTATGGATTTCATCAACTATGGTACGGTATCTAGTCACCTCTCTTAACACACAAGATCGCTCATCACTGACTGTTGTACAATAATGCATCATGTTAGTCACCAAATTTCATGTGAAGGAAATGCATCCATGGCCAAGATTTATTGTCTTCAGATAACTCTTATTAGAGAATATAACAGAAGAGTATTTTTTAGATACATTTTATTTATCCAGGCCTCACTATACAGGAGGGTACTGGATGAATACATACTTCTTCCAAAATCATTGTACAATATTAAATAGTGCTTCATTCCCCTGGTGCAGGCCATCCCCCTGGTGGTGGGGCTGGTGATAGTGGTGGGTACAGCTGTTCTTACCAAACTCTACCTCTCCAAAAAGCGAGGTCCTCCTCGTACCCTCCAGGACCCTGGTGTCAAGTACCCACTAGAGCTGACTGAACGAGAAGAGATATCCCACGACACAAGGCGCTTCCGCTTCAAGCTGCCATCTCCTGACCATATTTTAGGTAAACTTTGTATTTTATATTTTTTATACTGTAGTATATGTATGTGTAAATGGACAGGTTGCCCATCTTTTTCTCTTCTTTTATCTTATTGCCATAGAATAGATCCTCCTCCAGCCATTCTTACAACATAATCACACCGCCACAGTTCTCTGGCTCTTACTTAAGGATCTTTCCGGCCACAAAGTTTTATAGTGACATTATTTTTTTAATCCTGTTTTCTCCCTTGGCACAAGTTTTAAGACAGTCCATCATATAGGATTAGGATCTCCTAGCCATTTAAGTACTCATAACTGTTCCAGCAAGCTTGACCATAATTATTTCCCATTTATTTCATCTTTTTATTACTTGTTAGGGTGAGGGAGCAAATCATCTTCCAAGAGCTGGTCACATCCCTCTCCCCAGACATGAGATTGGTCACCCCTTGTTCTTGTGTTCGGTCGTCTCATAAGAAAATTGGTGATTGAAATAATGATGAGGGAAGGAACTTATATGGAGTGTGTGTGGTGAGGCCGAGTGTTCTAGTTTTTATCTCTCCTTCCCCTCCCCGTTTTTCTCATTCTTTCTGCCCACAGTTATATTTTCCAAGATAACGATCATGAACTGTTTCCATTGTTCATCTACCTCTTCTCCTTTCAACTCTCTCTTTTTCACTTTCCATGTTCTACCTTGACTCAATCTCTTCTTTTAAGTCTTTAAGTTAAACTATCTTTACTTATATCCTCACATTTTATAACCTTCTTCCCACTTTGAATCTTGGTCTGTACAGTCACCTACACTTACACCTGGTACAGTGGCTATCACATTTTGTGAGATGTGGCAGCTCTGTGGAATGCTTTTCTAACATCCTTAGTCTGGCTACTATTGTGAGGTTCCTTAGGGGTTATTCCAGGAGTTTTAATACCATGTAAAATGGACACATTCCATGTACGATCTCTTTAATTCCATTCCTTTTTACCTCTACATTTTCTCTACATTCTCCTCCACTACCCCATTCCCCCCAACATCACCTCATTATCTGTCATACTGAAAATATCAGTGCAGTTAATCAGGTCGTCTCAGAACCTCTCTCTCGTCCATCTTAGTGTATTTGTTCTCCCTACAACCCGCCCTTCATTCACTAATAGTTTGTCTCGTCCATAATACTTTAGGACTGACTCTGTTATGTTCTATCATACAGCAAGAGTTCCATCATTCAGAAACACCGGGACACCATCTGGTCTCATGTTTGGTGATACTCTGTACTGTACTTTGCTCCCATAACACTTACCAACTCCTGTGCTCTTCAACTTGGCTCTATACAAAATAGGGACATCCGGGTTTCTTCCCGTCGCCACAGTTTGATCCCAATTTTTTGTTTTGATGTAATGAGTTTCAAACACCTCATTATTGTTGGGGATTCTTTTTTCCCTTTTTTTTTTAAATAACTACAAAAATATGAGATAACTAGGAGGGGAGGGAGAGGCTGTGTTATTATTCATTATATGTATAGCTAATGTGGGGGCCGAGTGTGGAAGAGGAGCATCAGTGATAAGGCAGTTGGAGGGATAGAATGATAGCAGATGAGGAGCAGAGTTGTGTTTGATTATGGTCTTCCTGTGCCCTAGTGGGAAGAACTTGGCATGAAGGAATAAAAGTTATATCTATTATACTACATTGAGTAAAATATAGACTTTTATAGATTTATTTTTTACTTTGAACTCACTCAGGCTTGCCCATTGGTCAGCACATCTACCTCTCAGCCCGCGTCGACGGCCAGCTGGTGGTGCGTCCATACACTCCAGTCTCTAGTGATGAGGACAAGGGACACATGGATCTTGTTGTGAAGGTAAACCAACTTAAATTTTGATTACCTTTAGCTACATAATGGATAATCAGTTCTCACAACCACATAAATGCTGTCCAATGTGTAGCACTGTTGTGAAAACTTTAAAGGATGCATAAACGAATTTCAGTTAACACGTGAACCTCAGGTAATGCATCGCTGACCTTCAAATGATATATTAATTTACAGCATGCCCTCAAATTTGGCAAGGGTTAGGTTCTCAAAATGCCCACCAATAGCCAAATCCGCGAATAACATATTTACGCATGTGCAAAGAAATACTGTATATATTTGTGTTTGTCCTTAGGACGATTATTTCTTTTACCTGTATTGTATATATGTGTGTGTGTGTGTGTGTGTGTGTGTGTGTGTGTGTGTGTGTGTGTGCGGCAGTGCAAGTGCGTCTCGGCGACCTAAGGTCAACTTTTCTCAGGATCCAGGTACAGTAGTGACCTTAGGTGACACATCTCTCCCACCTGAACCCAAACTTGAGTAAAAATTTGAGACCACAGATGTCCAAGGCTTAAGACCAAAGCACCTGAGACCTAGTGTTGCAAATTAGAGGCATTTTTTATACTAAAATTAGAGTCCAGTTACTATATGCCAAATTGAATAGGCTCACATTTCTTTTGTCTAAGAACTCTGTGCAAGATATTCCATCAATCTAGTACAAGAATGTGTGTTGCTGTCTTTTGGACGATAACTTACATTTCTGCTGCATTCTGGCGACAAAAACAAAACACCCTCTTGGTCCCAAGAACATGCTGATGAGGAAAAGTTTCACACCTTTCCTCTGTTGGGTGAAAAAATTCCTTTAAGGGAACTCCTGGATGAAGTAAATCAACAATGAAGACTAAATCACATGGCACACAATCTTCCCACCACTTGTGTTCCACCTGAGAAATCGTCTCTTGGGAGGCTCAGAAAGACCTCTGAGGCCACTGACATGCTTATGAGATAAGTAGTGGTGAGGACTCCAACAATGTCTGTACAGGAGCAGAAATAAACAAGACCTCAACCTCCTTCAAGATGTGTCGGAACGAACCGTTCACCACCGACTAAAAAAGGAACTGAACATGTTATTTCATGCCACCAAAAATAAGCTGTCCTCAAGAAGCAATGCAAAAATATTCAAGTGCTAGAGGAGCTTGGAAGCTCAGTGCGCCTGACAGAGAATGCATGGTACGAGATGGAACACAAACTGTCAACAGAGCATCAGTACCTCACCTTCAGGAGGAGGTCAAGTAGATCAGGATAATGGAGATGGGTTTTGATTTGTTTCCAAGCACCTACTGGATCCACGCCAAATCAACTTCATCTGGTGTTAAAATCAAAGGAAAATGTGAACAAATATTAGATATGGAAATAAAAGTTTGTACTGGTATGTTATATTCATCCTGGATTTGTTTTTTGCTGGAATTCATGCCAAAAAAGGGTTATAAAGCTCAGTATTTTTTTGGCAGACACATTAAGGTCTCCATAATCCAAGTTGCTTTCGACAAATTGTGTTTGGATTCTGGAGGCCCATAAGAGGTACAGTGTCAAGGAACAATGCAATAAACAATGAGTTATATTCTTGAAAATAACTAAATTACCTGGTAAGTACAGCACAGTTTAGTGCCGAAGTCCTAGAACATTTCCCTAAAGAAACTTTTTACCATAAATTTCCTATAATAATGGTAGACTGTGAAATATGAACACAGGAACTTAAATTAGTGAACAGATACCATACAGAAGGTATATTATGTACACAAGAGACAAAGGAACTGTTATTTTAGACGTGAAAGTATGGCTGTGTTGAGTTATTTTGACGGGGAATGAGCTGTAGGTATCAACAAAGTCCTAGGCTCAGCGATTAACATAATTTCTTGATGTTTTCATATTTTTTCATCTGATTTTTTTCCCCGTTCAAAAGAAAAGCACAATGTTTTATTTGAAGTACGGTACTGGTAAATCTCGACGTTTCTCAGTGTTTGACATAATCCCCCCCACCAAAAAAAGAAGCTTCATTTAAATTAACTCGACGGTTATCTACAATTATTATTATTTTACCATTTACAGGAAATAAATTCTATACAGTATTCAAAGTTTCATGTGTTTTTATATGCAGTGCAGAACACAACCAAATATGAAAGAAAAATGTCATAAAAAATAACCCCCCAGGAGTGTTAACACCTACTGAGCATTAATAAGGTTCTCGGGCCACAGTAACAGCCCAACTGAGATACATTCCTGAATATTCTCCCCTTTATCTTTTTCTCCTTTTTTATCAATAACACTTAATAATTTTGCCTCCCAAATGATTCCTACCAACTCTACATTAAGCAGACATGTATTGAGATATCTTGGTTCCTTACCTTAAATTATTGTATCCACTTGCATAATGAAATTGAGGAGTACAGTACCCAGTAGTTACAGATGGAAAGATAAATTATTGCTAAGAAGGGCAGCTCTCAGCGGGGACTATTATGGTGATCATTTTTTCCTCAAAAGCTCCGTCTCTCTTGCTCTCCTTTCTCCTTTTTTGCTTGTAGTACTGGAGGGTGCAAGAAAAACTGTAAACACTCGTTGTCAAGCGATGAATACAGTTCTGTAGTTCCTTTTCTGTTTAGTTAAATTTTTTCTGGGGTTACACCTTGTAGTAAAGGAGTTTGATCTCGAAGTACAGAAAATGGGAATAATTTAGGGAACCTTGAAATAACAAAAGGGAAGTCTTGAATCACAATATATCGAGGACCTGCTGTGTAGGGGGGGGGGTGGTACATGCTTGTGTGTGTATACTTACTTTTATTTAATTCTTTCTGGTTATTAAGAAGGATAAATAATCAGTCTGGACAGATGTATGTCTTCAGTTGTCATGATTACTGTAATTATTATCAATTCATGCTAAGTGCTGTTGATGCCCTACAGTCTACACAGTATCGGGCCAAGGGGACATTCCAAAGGTACTCAAACTATCCAACCAGGAGCGAACTCGTACCAATTGTTATAAATTAGACAAATTTAGATTTAGGTGCATAAGTGGGTAAACATTGGTTTGGAAATAGAGTAGTGGATCAATGGAACAAGTTACCAAACCTCATCATTAACTCAAATATGCTGGATAACTTCAAACATAGGTTGGGTGGATATATGAGCAAAAGTGGTCGGGTGTAAATAGGACTGCCCAGTATGGGCCAATAGGCCCGCTGCAGTTTCCTCCATTCTTATGTTCTAATATTATATAGTTTGTTTGTAGTGTCTGCCATCTAATTCCATTTTATTATTACTAGATACATATTGTCTCTTTGTGGATAAAGTGCAGCACTTGAGTTACAAAGAGTTGAATCTGGATTATTGAGAGGTCCCTAGTACTCAAATAAGCCCCAAGACCTAGTGAGTTAATCTATTCATACAAAATATAAATGGCAAGTTCAGATAAGCTTCCACAGCAGTTATTACTCTACGAATGTGACTGATGGACACCAACTCTGTCTCCCTGCGGCCATGTAACCTCCTCTGTTATTGGATGGTAATTATTTTAACTGTCATATTCATTTCTTAGAAGCTTGTACAGTACAGTATATAGTTTCCTTCATTTTTTCTTCATATATTAAATGTAAACTGTCAGTAGTCTGATCGTTAATTTTGTAGGCACATATAATTGGTACTGTATTAATGATAAATTAGTTACTCTTATCTTAGGTTTGTCAATTTGTACAGAATAATAAATGTGATGTACAGTATCTTCCCTTTATACCTGTACAGTAATAGAAAAGGAATGTAATGTGTCTGTATCCTCTGCTGCACATCATAGCTGTGAGACCTGTACTGTAACCCAATGCATCTTACCAGCATACTTACTTGTGCACCTGTCTTGTATAGTATCACTTTTCCTAACCACACAAATTATACCCAACAGACTGTGATTTTATCCAATAATATAACTACTTCCCCAAAATTACACATAATTAGTTTACAAAAAGACTCGCCACGCACACGAGTATCAAGACCCGATAGCGAGAGTATTATTTTAGAGGTGAGCCCAGATATTAATAAGTCACTTGAGCTTAAAGGAACAGAAGTTGACAGAGAGAACATGTACACACTTTTCTACATGTCATTATTACCATAACTTATGTAATTCTTGTGATGGTGGGTACTGTAGTCTTGTGGTGGAGTCTTGTGGTGGTGGGTACTGTAGTCTTGTGGTGGTGGGTACTGTAGTCTTGTGATGGTGGGTACTGTAGTCTTGTGATGGTGGGTACTGTAGTCTTGTGGTGGAGTCTTGTGGTGGTGGGTACTGTAGTCTTGTGGTGGTGGGTACTGTAGTCTTGTGATGGTGGGTACTGTAGTCTTGTGGTGGTGGGTACTGTAGTCTTGTGGTGGTGGGTAGTCAGTTGATAAATAGGCATGAAATGATAAACATCCCTTTCAGTTGTACATGAGTTTATAATGTATACCATTTCATGTATTTTGTTATGTATTTCATGTATTTTTAAATGTTTCCCGTGGGGTTAATATAAAAGTGTTTGAGGACGACTGTTTTTACAAGAATTATCAAATTAACCTGAAATATTGAGTTATGAACATTGAATTAGTGTTTTGAGTGGTATAGGGTGGGAGGTCGGTGCAGTTACCGACTTGCACTGTTACCACCTTACACAGTTATGGCCCACAGTGAGGTGACATTCACACCATTTGTTTGATTAATACAGTTTCATTGAATAAAGTAAAGTATTTGTGGAGTTTCTTGTATATAGTGAGGTCTTGTTTTGAGTATACAGTATAACCTGAAAAATACACCTCAGTTGGTATACATGTACAAGAACTACTGTAATTGTGTTGATGTTTGGCTCATTGTTGCCAACTTACTGTGCTAGATGGCTGCTGATACGTGCTGCTAAGTCTTAGGTGATCACAGCTAGTCTTACTTAGTGACCACATGACTGCCCGAAGAAGGGTACAGGACGGTGAATATTATGGTATGTTAGAATTCTTAATCCACCCAGTCTCAGTGTTACAGTTCATCAGTGCACAGTTTTTATATTTACATTAAAGCTTTACTGCTTTAATACAGTACAGTACTGTTTTAAACCCGGCTGGCACATGACATCCACTAAACAGGCCTGGTAGGATGTCAGAGATGGCCGTCAAAATGAAATAGTTTGAACTATTCTTTGGGGTGCAGTACTGTATGGCAAATTTTACTTATATTTGAACAATTCTATGCTGCCTGTAGTTTAAGGTTAAACTGCACTGTACTAGTAGGGAGGAGATAACAGCAAAAGCTTTGTTATACAGTATTGGAGTTTGTGCTGTTCCAGACCATTATTGTCCAATAATGAAGCAGGTAAAAGAACCAACTAGTCACTGTACTGTGTATGAAAGTATAACAAAAATGCACACAGCAGAAACAACAAACTGCACTTGTTGGCCATGAGCGATCCTCTGAGGTAAACATCACCAATGATAGGCTTGAATGCTGATTCTCTAGGTTCTTATGATGAATATTTCTTGTACTGAAGATGTAACAATGTATTAATACCAAAATTACATGTAGAGACTATCTTAACTAGATAACACTAATTAAGAAGGTAGCATTAATATTTGGAGCCTTGAGAAAGATCCTCCTGCACAACACAGACTCTCTTCTCCTCCATCAGTGAGAGGGTGAGCTGTGATGAAGTGAGCACCAAACTCTATCTCTCTACTCTGCTTTGTTTTCTGCTGCTTCACTACAGGTTATTTCTTTATGGCCTTCAGTCCTCACTAATGACACTTGACGTACAGTACTATGACGCGACAGAGGTATGGTTTTTTTATCCTTGGTTTATCATCACTTCTTCTTATCCTTTATCTGGCACCTTTTGACCTTGCCTTGTTTCCTCCTCGGCTCACTCTCCCATCATGTGGCATCATTGCACCTCATCCTTGCCTTACAATCCACTCACCCTTGACAAATTCTCCTTTTGATTTTATTTTGGCTGAGGTGATGAACAACCTAATTTGTTATTTATTATTTTTATATCAACAGGTCTACTTCAAGAATGTCCATCCCAAATTTCCCGATGGTGGTAAGATGAGCCAACACTTGGAGGCAATGAAGATAGGGGAGACAATTGATGTACGTGGACCTTCAGGCCTGCTGGAGTACCGAGGACGTGGCGTGTTTGCCATAAAACCAGACAAGAAGTCGCCACCGAATTTGATCACAAGCAAAAAAGTCAATATGATTGCTGGTAAGACTGTTAATCACTGTAGTATGTTGGAGTAACTTGCTACTATGTACAGTAGCTACTTCTCTCGTATCACAAATTATCAGCCTCTACCACCTACCGGTTTCTCTTCTCTTTTCTTCCTTTTATCTTAATCTCTGTGTTCTTCTTCCCCCTTTCACCTCCATCTTATTCTCAGTCTTCCTTTTCTCTGTTTCTTTATTATTTTGTTCATTTCTCCTTATTCACCCTATTAATTTAGGAAGGCAAGACTATAGCATAAGAAACATCAAAAGTGTGTAAAAAGAGAGCGAGGAAGAGGCATCAGTACAGTATACAGGTATTCTTAACATGATAGCTATACAGTGAACCCTCAAAGGTCCGGGCTAAAAGGGGGGGACCATCTGTCCGGAAAAGCCGATTGTCCGAATTTTCCGGCGAATAATAAATTATATAAGAAACGCCAAAAATACAGTACTAATGTAGTGATAAACAAATTACTGTATATAAACCATGTATTTACCTATGATAACATAATAAGAAACATTGTATCATTACTAGAGTCAATGAAATAATATTGCCACAAACAACAATTGTCAACTCTGTTTCCCACCTCCTCGGGCACCTGTGTCCAAGCAACTGACGGGTCAAGCAGCGCCCACTGACCTAAAATGTTCTTTGCTCTGGTTTGGGGATGTTTCTTCGGCAAACTTCTAGGAAGCTTCTTAGCCCAGAACCCCCAAAATTTTTGTCCGGATCTTCCGAAATCCGGATTTCCTGGGTCCGGATCTTTCAGGGTTTACCGTGTTTTTAAAAAGTATCATGCTAACCAAAGACAAGTAAATTGAAAATACTAATCCTATAGGCAAACATGTGATAGGTAAGAGAGAGAAAGATATTCGTATATGTAAACAAATAGTTACACTTTATATCATCCACACAGTAATGTATGTATGCTTAAGGTAAATGAAATAAAATGAAAAATAATTCTAATGCAGCCAAAGCTAATAATCAAACATCTTGGGACCAGATAGAACTTTAAAGGACCAGATAGAACTTTAAAACTTCAGTACTTTTGAGTAGTAAATGCATCCTTATAGCCTCATGTTGGACTGTTCTGTTGGATAATTAGAAGTTCTCTGTACTGTACTGTTTTGTCATCCTCTCCCAGTTTATGTGAAGAAAACTGGAGATGAAGGAATTTTATGGGAACAATATTTCAAATTGTAGCAAGTACAGTATGGCAGAATATTAGATAAGGTAGTGCCTCATCTACAGTGTTTAATGGACATACTGGATAGAACAGCAACCTGTGGCATAGGTAAATGTGGTATGTTGAATGTAAATGTAGTTCTGCTGAGTACAGTTTCAGGAAATGCTGACTGTTTTTGGTGTTTGCAGGTGGTACAGGGATCACCCCCATGCTTCAGTTGATGCGTCAGGTGGCCCGTGATGAGGGAGACAAGACACAGTTGGCTCTCATTTTTGCCAACCAAACTGAGGCTGACATCCTACTGAGACATGAGCTGGAGGAAGTACTAGCTCAGCACCCAGACAAATTCAAGCTCTGGTACACTGTGGATCGTCCAGAAGAAGGTGGGATTAATGATTTAGTTCAGTAAAATGTTCTTACATATGTTTCTCAGGTGAGCTTTTGGAGTTATTAAATGAACTATACTGTGTCCTTCACTGATCTGGATTTACAGTTTCCATATTTTAATGTAGTTTAGATGAGAGAAGACTTTTATCTTCTGAGGGGTAACTGTACTATATTGTGCATGTTTCTGGGAAATGTATTTTTATGCCCCTGCAAGAGAGGGCATGCAGCATTACTTCTGTTTATGGTCATACAAGAATATAATAATGAATCATTAATAAAATTCTTGTTCTTTTCATAAGAAAATTATATAATTTTATCCATTTTTTAAAACCCTCATCTTTCCCCGTCAGAGCAAATAGTCTGAGTCAAAAGTTTGCCGTCATTTAAGGGTTAAGATAGTACATACTACAACCAGTAAACAGGATAGAACAGGACTTACTGTCTGTCTTGGTCACTACCGCTCATGGGTGACAAGCACAGGAAGATGTGTTGCCATTATCACCATTTATTGTGGGTTTTCTTTGTCTTCCATAATTAGTTTGTACAGATTTTTGAGATGATATTTAATAGTTTTTCAAAAGAGTAAATGTTTAAGTCTGGCTTGAAGATGGTAATTAGAATAAGACACAACCCTAAAGTCCCAAGGGCATTGTATTTGGGTCTTTGTACTGTACAATATTTTACTCTGGGACCCAGTGTGTCAAATGGGGGAGTCTTTTTCTATACATATGTAGTATTTTCTCGATTTAACGAACTAATTCGATCCACCCCTTTCTGTTAAATAAATATTTCCACTAAATCGAACTTTCCGTTATTTTTGCTCGATTCGGTGAACTAGTTCACTAAATTGAGCGTGATTGTTAAATTCTGCGTCAAATGTGCTGCTTGGTGCGTGTGGTTTGTTTACATCTGCTCGGTCTGTGTCCTGCCGCCACCGTGTGTGTTGTTCACTGTTACCTCTTGGTCTACATCTCAGTCAACTAACTACTGTGCTGAGACATCATGCTGAAAGTCTCTCAGAAGTCTCAGAAAGGAAGTGGAGTGGGGTAGAAAATCAAAAGAGTGCGACTATCAATTGGAAGAAAGTTTAAAAAAAAATGAAAATAAACCGTGAATAATGTTTCTATGTACACATCATGTGTTGGAGGTGTCTTCGTAGGTGGAAGCATATTAACAGAATTAATCTCGATTTAGCGAACTAGTTCACAACACAAATCAAGCAAAAAAAAAAAAAAAAATTCCTTCAGCTAAATTGAAAGTTCATTATGTCGGATTCCGTTAAATCGAGAGTATACTGTATACAGTGAACCCTCGCTTTACGCGGTTTCACTTTACGCGTTTCTACATTTACGCGGTACCCTGCCAGAACCGGAATTCCCACTTTACGCGGTGCATCTACTCATATACGCAGGTGAAGTATAATTTTTTTATTTAGCTCATAAAATTCATACAAATTATCCGGCCAGAATATAATTTCCATTGCTGGAATTCTTACAATTTGATGATCATTTTGAATATAAGCATCATAGATTTTGCATTAGACATAAATTTTAGATCTACTTTAAGTATTTTGTTTACTCTGAGTAAATATGTTATCTTTTGTGCAAAATAATATATGACATTTATATTCAAAATATTCCTGGTCTTACAAGGAATCCAGCAATGTCAATTATATTATCCTAACTTTAGTTTGAGGTATTATTTGTTACTATACCTTAAAATCTAGTGGTTTTCCCCCAAACATTTCTCAGAGAGGGAAGAGCCAGGAGTGTGAGAAGAGGGGGAGGGAGTCGAGTCCATTATTTGAATCGACATTAACTTGGCGACTGTATTTCTCTATTTCTCTTTAGTATTAATTGTGTGCATGTACCATCATAAAATTAAGATGTTATTTTTACTAGAACATAGGTATTGTCGGAAAAAGTGGAGTTTGGGGGTCAGCCGGTCTCTATTTCATTTAATCCCATATGTTATGTTGTTCACTTTATGCGTTTCTCGCCTTACGCGGGCCTCCGTGGGTTCAATTGATCGCGTAAAGTGAGGGTTCACTGTACCATACTTGATTTAGAAAGTCAGACCGTCAGCAACTAATCCCCTTCCCTCCCTCCCCTCAGTTAGTCTGAACAACCAAGGGTTTACTTGAAGGAAAAGGGCAGTAATATAGTCAGGCGTGAAATGAAAAGTCGCAACAATAATTGATGCACTTGTATATTAATTACAAAGTCATCAATAGTACTATACAATATTTGACTATTGATGTAAATAACCTGATTTATCTTTTATAAGTACAATATTTAAATGTATATTGTATTTAACCCTACAGCACCATAGCATTTATCAAATACTGTACATTACGGTCCATTTCTGGGGATTTACTGATGAAACTTATTTCATTTAAAGGATGGAAATACAGCAGTGGATTTTTGAGTGCAGATATGATCTCAGAGCATCTATACCCTCCCTCTGATGACACCTTGATCCTGATGTGTGGGCCACCTCCCATGATCAACTTTGCCTGCCTCCCCAATCTGGATAAACTGGGTTACTCGCCCAGTATGAGGTTTGCTTACTAGACATAGTAGAAAAGATTCTCAGTACTGTGTGCTCAAGTGAGCCCAATGACTATAGATGCTAACCCTTCAAGATCCAGCAACTGACAGCTTATTTTGAAGAGTGTTAAGTTAATAATTTTATTTGCAGTAAAACTATTTATTGAATGCATTTAAATGCATAATAATATAAATATATACAGTATATATATATATATATATATATTGAAAAGATTCATATAACAAGAACATATAGAATTTTTTTTAGGTAAACCCATTAAATTAAAGAACAGGGTAAAATATAAGTAAAGCACCAGGCTAACCCCTCCAAAAGGTTACTCAATCAGGTGAAAGTTACAAAACACTGGCAATTGGACCTGCATCAGTTTTGCACTCTGGTTGTGTGGCAAGTCTTCACAAAGTTAACGGTGTTGAATATCATTAAATTTACCAGTTGTAGTTAGTTTGATTTATTGTGGTAAAAAGCATGAGGTGATTAGGTAAATGCAAGAGTTTGTTCATTATTTTAGTGTGATTTTTAAGTACATGTGTTTGTGAATAACTTAATATGTCAGCATTGTTCCGTTTAGGAGTTCCCTATCCTGAGTGTTGTCATCTGCATACTAGTTTGGCTCTTATAAAGTGAAACAGTCATCACTTGTATAAAAACAAAAAACAAAAACAGTGCAATAAAGAATTACAGTAATTGAAAGGAAGGAGAAAAAAAAAGAATGAATAGAAATAAGACAGAATAGAAGACAATGAATAACTAAACAGAGTACAATGGAGATCAAGCAAAGAGGCATTTGAGGGTTGTTGTGTGAATATGGTCTAGAAGAGAAAGGACACTCCTCATTGTAGAACTAACCAAGTCAACCAATCTTATGTTATTTATAGCAGATATAAATGTAAAATTAAAGTATCGGTAATATATATGTCTCGGGTGAAAAATACTCTTAATATATATTGAAGTCAGATCATATATTGGAAAGATTACTGTACTGTACTGTATATAGTCTTGACCTGGGTGTTGTGGGGTAGGAGAAGAAATTGTTTTAACAAGAAGTATTTTATCTAAAATTGTTTGATAGTTAAGGTTTGAAGCGAGTTTGTTCATGTTTTTCAGACGTGTGTGCTGTACAGGGTATTATAATATAACTGTGTGGAAGCTTTATGCTTTTTATATTTTAAGTAGAAGTACTTAGGAGCATTATCTGATCTGCTTTGGAATATACGTTTTCATAGTCTGTAGTACAAGTATGAGCATTGTTATGTCTTGATTTTGTCATTTTTCACACACTTAAAACATATCCGGGTTTGTAACTATATTAAATCGATCCGATATGAGACTTCCTTTCTTGGTTCTTCCCTAACCCTTACATTAAGATCCTTTGTGGTTTTTAAGAATGAGTTACTTGGTTTGACTTACAACCTAGCAAAATTTAACTTAAGCCTTATGATATTAGTTTATTTTTAATAAATTTCACTACTGTATATGTTTACTGGGTAATATATATTAGGCATTAGAGACCTTATTTATCTACTGTACTTGTATTGCCCTGGTGACAGTGTAGGCCATAGTTAAACTAGGTTGACTAGTGTGAAGCTTCGACAAACACTAATCACTAATTATCAGAGGCTCTGCAAATCAGTGCTTGAACCACTGTGAGCTATGCTGTACAATGGTCTTGATCAGTAGCTTCAGTAACATAATTCTTGAAGGAATGAAGTTAAAAGACCCACTAAGGTAAATGTGATAAGTGCTTTTACAGTGCATCAGGTTATACAGTAACTAATGCTTCCATTTTTCTCAGATAGCAAGACATAAAATATGACTTGAGGAAATACTGGATTCTTATAGCATTAACTGTTATTATGATGCACTGCCACCTCATCTTTGACTCAGAAGTTCCTAAAGGAGTTCCCATTTCTTGAGGGAATGCCTTTCTGAAAACCACTTCCTTGAGTAGTTAACCATAGATAAGATCTCACTCCATGACTAATTTCACATCGCAAGTCATATGTCAGCACCTCGAGAAACATTTACTGAAAAATTTCACCTGCTGTTAAACTATCACATATGAGATATACTTCCCTCTTTCCAGTGATGCTCTCATATATACAAAGCACTCGTCACCTGTAATACTCTTGTCTCTTGTTTGTTAAGCCATCACATGTAAAACACTTGCTACTCCTGCACTGACAAACATGAATTTTCGGAAAGGTTCAAGCAAGCCTCCTCAAGCATATACATTTTCACAAGTAGAATAAGAAAAAAAAATCAACAAATTACTGAACGTAAGAGAATATTGTTTAAACTAATACAGTGTAACGAGATGTCTAAGGTGTTGTATACTACTGTACGCTAATGTGACTGTGGCCCCCAGATAGTGGCACCAGATTACTTCTCTCATGACAAAGCCTTCATGCAGTAGGTAGCTGAGCTAAGCAGTTTATGTAGTTTAATTTGGGTTTTTACTGATTTTGTTTTGGTTTAGAAAAATGCTCTTGTTAAAGTTACTGTATGTATCTTGAAAGTTCTCATCATTACTGCCAAACAAGATACAACTTGGCTACATCATAATTTGTCATGCAATTTTCACTTGATTACTCCCAGAAGGTTACTATACTGTAGTAAGTTATAAAAATCTGTCCTCTTCGAAGTCTTACAGTTTTACCTTAAATTTTTATCATTAAAATAAAAGAAAATAAATATTTTTCCTTGACAGGTTTGGTATTCAACTTTATAAGATTGTTATGTATTTTAGAAAAAAATAAATATGAATATTTTCTTCATAAGTACCATAACCTAAGTAAAATAATGGTGTGCATAATATTCATATTAAACTCTGTAAAGTACTACTTGGACCAATTCCAAGGTGAGAATAATCCAATCTGATATTAAAACTGTACGGAAATTATGTGAAATTAATTTGTTAGAAATAAATATTTGTTCAGATAATGTTTTTCTTTACAAAATCTCCTTGAATGTTACAACATAAAAATCATGAACATGGGAAACTGAAATCTGGATTCATCTGGTATATAAATAAAGTTTATAAAGCTTTGCCATTATCTTTAAGCTTTGTAGCTGTTATAACTCCAACCTGTTTGAGATAAATTATTAGTATAGTTTGGATGGATGACCCAACGGTGAGCAGATATTACATCAGCTCAGTGTGTTCTGTAATACTGTGGTGGTTATGCATACATTACCATAGTACAGTACCATATAACAAGTGGCGAGTACAGTACTGTACATATGTGTACCTGATGAACATAAACTTACCAAATACTGTAAAGATTTATATCTAAATACAGTACAAACATACATTGATTATGAGAAGGTTCTGCTCCTAATAACCATTCATAAATTTTGTGTACTGAATGTGATATTTCCATTGACATCCATTATATAATTAGAGGTACATTGTTACAAAAAATATCTGCCCCAAACCTTACTCATAATGACATCTCAGGCAATTTTAAGGATGTATTTCATGGGAAACAAGAATTATATTATGAATAAATAATAATATGGGCACAAAACTTTATTTACTGATAATTAAAGTACAGCGTAGTAGAGAGATGATCGTGCTAAACTCCTCTACAAAGGCTGATAACTCCAATGTTATTGTAATTTTGGATAAAAGCGACTATAAAGATAAAATGAATTCCTTACTAAGAGATGAAAGCACTTATTGTGAGCTTAGAGAAGATCCCCTGGAAAATGTTAATAAGTTATATAATCCTAAAATGAAGGAGTTATTGAAAGAGAACCCAGATCTCATTAAACAGTTCTCTCAAATCAATCCCACTTTACCTTGTATGTATGGATTGATCAAAACACACAAGCCTAATAATCCATTATGCCCTATCGTGAGTTCTGTGGGTTCTGTTACGTACAAATTATCCAAGTGGTTAGGATGCTATCCCCTCTTACAGGCCAGTATATCTAATTCACATACAGTACTGTATACACAACAGCAGTGATTTAATTGATAAATACAAGAAACACAATTAACCATGTGAATTAATAAGTTTTGATGTCAATTCATTTTTCACTAGAGTACCAGTGAATGATACTTTCATTCCTTAAAGATAAATTGCATCGGTTAGATTTGACAATTGAACATGATACATTTCTCAAATTGATAAAGTTATGTATTACTGACAATGTTTTTAGAGCAAATGGAAAGTCTTACAAACAAATATTTGGCATGATCATGGGTAATTGTCTTTCTGCTCCAGTAGCCTGTATTTATATGGAGTTTTTTGAAGCTAGATTACTACCCAACAAAAGTGACTTTATTCCTTAATGGTATAGATATGTAGGTGATGTTCTTTGTCTTTGGCCGAGAAACAGGGACCCACTGGAATTTTTGGACAAGCTTAGTGATCTTGTCCCTAATATTACCTTCAAAACTTAAAGAGAAACAAATGGATCCCTTCCATTTCTTGATATGCTTATCATGAGTGAAGGTCATAGCAATAAATTTAAGGTGTACAGAAAGCCGACACAGGTTGACAGCTTCATAGATTTTTTATCGAGTCACCATGAGTCTACCAAAATGTCATTTTTTTCTGCCATGTTGATGAGATGTTTACGTATTTGTGACAATTTATTGAAGAAGAACTGCAACACATTCAGTCCATTGTGCAAAATCTTGGCTACCCTTCATTGTTTGTTTACCATTGTCTTAAAAGGGCTAAAACATCCCTTTATTGTACTCATACTAGACAAGTTCCTACATTTAAGAATATTTTGACTACCTTATCGCAATGAATTTGTTCCGCTAGTTCGGTCCCTTAAATTACTAAACATTAATGTTGTTTTTAAGTATGACTCAACTATTACTAGTACTGTGTGTTAATTAAGAATAGCCCAACCTTGAATGTAAATGGAAGTGTTTACTGCATTCCATGTAGCAATTGTAATGGTAATCATGTCGTTCAGACTGGGAAATCATTACAACTTAGAACAAAACAACATAAGTACAATATTAGAACAGCATCTGAAAGCAGTGCACTGTTTGTTCATATAAGAAACAATAATCATCTCATATATATTGGGAAAACAGTTTAGAAGTATATAAATAAAAAATGTGTCACAGAAAGACTTATGGTTGAAGCAAGTTTAATTAGGGAAATGAATTCTATAAACCCTAGTGATGGTCAGTACAAAACTGATAATATATTACACAAATATATTTGTCAATGGCCCAAGGTTAAAAATGCTTTGAAAGCATTTGAGGTGGATGAATAGTGGGTTGTAGGGTTTTGTGATATAATGTTGTCTAGCACTCAGGATGGATGGAAACTCTAAGGTGGTTTTCTTATATAATATAAGTTATATGGTAGACAGTCTGGTGCTGGAGGTGCCGTGTGGTGAGGAGCTGCTCAGTAGACACGTTCGGTGAGTAGCGTGTTGAAGGAGGTAGATGTGCAGGAGCTTCGTTAGGGAAGATGTTGCCTGTTGCTGGCCTCCAGGTTGAATGAGAACGGGACAGCGAGGAGCTTGCTTGGAGGAGGTGTTGCGTGTTCAGGAAGAGAGGCCAGAATGAATCTCAATGGAGAGACAGAGCTTATATACACAGCAGCCGTGAGTCAGCCGTGAGTCATGGTGGGAAACCCCTGGAAGTAGCCGGTCTTTTGGCTCCGTTGCTAGGATACTGTGGCATCTGGTGACGCCCCCCCGGGCCGCTCGTTTGGTTGCTAGGGAAGACGTAGCAGGTGGCATGCAGCTACGCAGTTGTAGGGGAGACGTCCACTACAATACTCCCCCTCCCCTCCCAGCGCGGCGGGAGGCTGGATGTTGTCCGGGTTGTGTCTCACACATAACACATACCGGGCAAGTGTACGTACGACTCGGCCGCTACGTGTAACAACTCCGTCTAGTGACACAAAACCTGTGGGAGAATTAGGAGGAGATAGAGGGTTTGGGATTAGAGGAGGTTGTACAAGCAATGGTGGTTGTGCTCCTGCTGCTGCAGGGGCTGCGTCAGGAGGAGGGTCCATGGCAGGAGCAGGTTCTATGATAGAAGGGAGGTCTATTACAGGTTCAGGTTCTATGACAGGAGCAGGTTCTACAGCAGGAACAGGGTGTACATGAGGGTGAAAAGAGGGTGCCCAGAAATGTCATGGGCGTGGTGTTGCTGCCGGTGGTAACTGCGGGTAGACTGGTGCAGGCGTAGTTTGTTGATGGTGCTGCTGGGCTGGGGGCCCGACGGGTAAGGTGGCCGGTTTGACTCGGTCTATGCTGACGGTGTCATGTCTGCCATTCCGGATAATTGTCAGGAACTTTGCTGAACGGGTAACCACCTGGAAGGGTCCATCGTAGGGGTGTTGTAATGGGTTGCGGTGAGCATCATGCCTGACGAAAACATACTCGGCTGTGAGTAGTGCAGGAGGGATGTGTTCAGGGCGCCGAGTAGGCTGGCGTGGAGCAGTAGTTCTGAATGCAGAAACTGCTTGTCGTAGCTTTTGGAGTAAGTCGTGACGAACGGCTTGAGTGGTTTGGTTGGGATCAGGAGGAAGTGAGAAATCCCCGGGTAGCCGAAGGGGCTCGCCTAGTGTCAGATCTGCTGGGCTACAGTCCATATCCTCCTTGTGTGAGGCACGGATGCCGAGGAGCACTAAGGGAAGCGCATCAGTCCAGCTGTAAGAGTCGTGCTGTGCCTTGAGTGCGTCCTTCAGCTGCCGGTGAAAACGTTCTACCATGCATTGGAATACGGCTATGCAGTTGTAGGGGAGAGATCCACTACAGGGTTTTGTGTAGTTACTGGTGGTCGACAGGTTATAAAATGTTCAGTATTTATGTATAATTGGAATGCCATACCGTAGTTGAAATAAATAAATAATATTTGTAATTTATAATCTGGCGCCTCTACCTCTGATAAGATAAACTCAATATCTTATCACTTGTAACCACCACACAGGCTCAATCTTTCTCCAAGGTTCGTCCATTTGTGATATTTATGGTCTCATTTATGGGAAAATATATGTATGTTAAATAATGATAAGGTAAATAACAAACAAACGGGGAGATTTGTGTCAGATTATTATATACTACAGTTATAGTATACTGTAAATAAGAGTATAATACTTGTACTATTATTTACAAAAAATGTTTGGGTTACAATTGATATATTTTTAAATAATATCATAAGAAAGGGGAACATAAAACATTTCTAAACAATTGCATAGTTATCCTATAGTTAATAAGAGTTTAAATACTTCATAGAGGAACAATCCTTCCTTCTGTGGGGGGGGGAGGCCTAAGAGCTAGTGTTAAAATAATACCACAAACATAATCACCATTCACGTAAATATTTATTCTATTAGTATTTCCAACCATATAAACAAAAAACAAAACTAGATTAATAATTATTTTTATGATAATTAAGTTAAATATCATTAAATTTAGATAATAATAGATTAAAACTTGAAAAGTATATCGGTTTTGTTCGTGGTAGATTTTCAAGATCAGTGGTCTTGTTAAGGCAACATTATCTGTAGTGAAAGTTGAGCAACACGTGAGTTTTTGTGTGAGTTTTTTTCTCGTTTCCAGGTTATTTTCAGGCTACTGTCATGTTCAGCTTATGAGCACTCCATTTAGACAAAGTAATATCGCTCCTACAGTAACAAGAGGTTAAGAATATGAATACATTGTGAAGTACAGTACAGTATTGGTGAAGGACACAACTGGACATGCTAAGTGTACTTGTAGGAGGTCTTATCCTCAGTAACAAACTAAACAACCAAATATTTTACCTGAATATTGTTAGTGGACAACCTATATTATCTACGGGATGCAGTTCACTAATTACATATCTTATTTTATTGATGTTTTTCAAATAATATACAAGTTGGTTCAGTAAGTAGGCTGTGGCGTCCCTCAACAGCCTCCTCCCTGCTACTGCAACTCAGCGGCGGATCCAGGAATATCAAAAGGGGGGATCCAAGAAGTGGTACATTTATAGCAGTTCACACAATTATGTTAGAAAGTACAAACTATGTTTTTCTACATAAGAACATAAGAATGGAGGAAACTGCAGCGGGCCTATTGACCCATACTGGGCAGTCCCGTTTACACCCAACCCCTATTGCTCATATAAGCATCCAACCTGTGTTTGAAGCTATTCATCGTATTCGAGTTAATGATGATATTTGGTAACTTGTTCCATTCATCCACTACTCTGTTTCCAAACCAGTGTTTACCTATTTCACGCCTAAATCTAAATTTGTCTAATTTAAAACCATTGTTACGAGTTCGCTCCTGGTTGGATAGTTTGAGTACCTTAGTAATGTCCCCTTTGTTTAGCCCTGACTTCCACTTATACACCTCTATCAGGTCGCCCCTCGCTCTACATCTCTCGAGGGAGTGCAAATTAAGATGCTTTAACCTGTCTCTATACTCAAGGTTCCTAATGCCCGGGATTAGTCTTGTCATTCTCCTCTGAATTCTTTCCAAGGATTCTACTGTATATCCATTCTGTAATACGGTGACCAGAACTGAACTGCGTAATCCAGGTGTGGTCTCACAAGAGCAAGATACAGTTTTAGGATGACCTCGCTAGTCTTGTAACTAACACTCCTTTGTATGAACCCAAGTACTTTATTAGCCTTGTTACGAGCAAAAACAAGGCTAATAAAGTACTTGGGTATGTGTTTTTTTTTTGATTGGTTCTGACCTTGATGTCTGTCGGAAATTGCCTGGTTTTTTTTAGTTATCGCCCCCTCCTACCCCTAACAAGATAGGTCCTGTTGGTAACTAGGGTTTGGGGTTGGGGAGAGAAACAAGCATTTTCCAACAAAGATGATGGCCAAGTGAATACAAAACACACCAAAAAACACGAGAAAAACATATAAACCTCATACCAATTATGAATGACCTAACCTAACCTGACGTATCCTAACCTAACCCAACCTAACTCAACTCATGGTGTTTTTATGTTACCAGACTCTGACAACACCATAAGATCTAAAAAATGCTATTGCTTGTTTGTGTTTTCCCCCCCAAAATGCTCAATTAACTCCATATACTGTAATTGAAGTGACACCCATCGCGGACTTCAGTGGTCAGAAATGAATTTAAATTTCGGAGCATTGAGACCCAAAATCACAATCGAATCTGATTGGATAAAAAATACCGTGAATTCTAAAGGCAGAAATCACAATTCATTTTAATTGGTGAAAAAAAAAATGAATGCTTTTGATTGGCTGCGTGACATGTACGGGAACTCACGCGCATGGCGATTTATGAAAGGAACACCCTGAGTGGGAGGTCGGGTAGTTGATAATGGCTGAAGATTAATGGAGTTAAATAGAGAAAGATTGGCATGTGGGATCTCTTGTTACTCTACATTCCCGAGAGTAATGTAATAGAAGAAAATTATCTTAAAATTAGACGTCTTTTTCGAATATGATAATAGATCTGGGGTAGGAATGGTGTGTGAACTACAGGTACTATAAAAATACCCAAGAAGTTGTGGGTGAGGGAACATAGCGAGCACAGAGGGTGCACCCGCCTGGGGGGGGGGGGTGCATTTTGAGGCCATTTTGAAGCCATGTTCATTTTATATTAGAAGATATTCTTAGGTCAATAGTAATTACTTTTTACTATATAAAAAATGCCTGAACACAATACTGGGTTAATATTGATGAATGACCTGCTGACGTGTTATATGTTTTGATGATTATTTTCTTACTATATTTTCATCTGTGAGTTCTGATATGATGATAATTTCTTGTGCAAGTGCTTCGTTTGGTAGACATTTAGGCGGCTATGTGCGCACTAATTTGTCTTCTGAGGGTAATGCGGCGGTGACGTCTCATCCCAGGATGTAAGCGGCCAATCATATCGACGTATTTCAAAACACTCTACTGCTTGGGCCAGATCAACGCCAATGCTCAGTGTATGCTTTATGAACCTTTCTGTAAAGTTACACCATATCATAGTAAGTCCAGCTCCCGATTACCATAGGAAGTTAGGTAGGTTTGATTTAGAAATAACTTCTTTTTAAGACATTTGCTCCAAATACGAGCGTCCACTATAAAACACAGTGAAATTGCATCATTTTTATAATAATTTTCTATGAAAAATCGGACGCGGGTCAGTCTTCAATAATTATCGTGCATTTTACCCATAACTGAGATATCGGTAGTTGAAAATCACAAAACTAGTATTGTAAATGTAACACTTTACCTTGAAAAAATATGAATATAACTTGATGGGGGAGAAGGGTGATTTTGAGGTTGATAACATCGAGCTTTTCTTCAAGTGTTATAGCCTTTCTTTTACGATCACCGCCGGGAATGCGATCACCAGAATGCTTCTTGGAGATATTCTTCTTTTCCATATTCACAGTTAATACCACGAACTTGGAGAAATAGTAAGCAAAAATATCTGAGGACGCTTCAAAACAACCCACGTGTTTGAACTGATCATGTGATGGAAACAGAGCGCAGGTGTAAAACGCTATTAGTCCACACTGCGAAACATTATTTTTATTTATTTTTTTCATGCAGTATTTATGGGAACAGCTAAATTTGCAAATAAAGGATGAAATTTATAGTCCTTATCAAATAACACTTCACAAACAAAACACATGAATCAATTGAACATGTGATGTCGAACGCAAACTGTAAACACTGCATAACCCCGCGACAGTACACTTAAAACGTTCGAGTGGAATCGCGTTACAGCCAACACGCGTTTTACAAATATTGTTCTTCTATTCATCAATCGTGTTATAGCCAATTCGCGTTGACAAAACACGCGTTGTAGCAGACATGACTGTACCTCCATTGTAAGTCGTTCGGGGAGGGAAACATCATAGAAGATAAGTGTCTCGGAATCTTTTATATATTTGTCAATCATTTGCTTGACAACAATTATTTCAAGTTCTGGAATAATCAGAGACCATGCACTCCTCTCAGTCTCAGACCTCCATAAAATATCATGGTGTGAAGGTGTGGAACAACTTACCCCCACCCATCCGAGCAAAGACTACGCTCCCTTCCTTTAAATCATCTCTTAAAAAATATCTATTGTCTAAGTACAATATGAATATTTTTTTAATACAGGCATCCCCCCCGTTACGGAACCCAGGGTTGCGGAATTTCGCTCGTATGGGATTTGTAAATTATGACCAATAATTTTGCGATACGGCCCGCAAATCCGCCCTTACGGAAATTGGGGTAAATTTTAACAATTAAAAAAAAAATCTATATAAAAATAAATTTTTTTGTTAAAAACTAGAATTTGTTTGGTGTGGATTTCTTGGTGTTTGCTACCGCCAAATGTGGCGTCGCCATGCGAAGTGACTCCATTGTTTACATCCAGTGTGCGCGCATGTTTCTCGCCCCAGCAGTTGGATTTAACTTTTACAAACATACAAGAAGTGCAGTACAGTGCAGTACAGTACAGTGCATTACCCTTATTCAAGATGACTGGAAAGAGGCCATCAAGTGGAAGTGACCACAGTAGTGCAAAAAGAAGCCACAAAGGCATTACATTGGATATTAAACTTGATGTTTTAAGAAGATATATCATAAATTATTTAATGTACTGTATTGTATGTATTTATAAATGTTTATTTTCATTCATAAAAGTGCTTGAATTACTTTTTGGGGGCCGAAAAAAATTCCTTAGGAACGCATCTCCAGTTTTATAATGGAAGTCAGTGGGAAAATAGGTTTCTCGTTACGGAATTTCGCGATACGGTCAATTTTCCGGGGACGCAACCCTTCCGTAACGCTGGGGATGCCTGTACCTACTTTATATTCCTGCTTTTATTATACAGTAAGATCTCATATTTCGCGCGATTTCATTTTACGTTTTGAATTTTACCATCATTACCTAATGTAACCAAGTCTTATATTTGGTGAAAAATATCGTGAGTTTCATGAGATCCAGCCAGCTGAATGCTGGCCACCGTCTTGAATGACGTCACAGCCTTCATACCAGTTACAGTCATTTCTGCTACAACGCGTGTTTTGTCAACGCAAATTGGTTATAATGCAATTGATGAATAGGGGAACGCTTTTGTAAAATGCGAACTTTTGCATACGAATGTTGGCTATAGCGTGACTCCATCCTCAATGTTTTGATTCCATCCTCAACGTTATAATCGTGGCGCGGGGTTATGCAATGTTTCCATTTTACGTTCGACATCACATGTTCAATTGATTCGTGTCTTTTGTTTGTGAAGTGTTTTTTGCCAGCAGCACCTTAAGGTGTTAATGCAACCCAGATATCAACTCCTTTGTAAAATATGCACTATATTGTATATATTCTAATATAAATGTAAAAAAATACTGTAAATAAATAACGAAGTGATACCGTGGTAACTTTCTGGCATGTTATACTACCACCATGTAATGTGTACTATTCCAGATGATACTAAATGTTACATAATACTTCCTTGAGATAAATGTATAGTATATATGAGGCACCTTCAAGAGAGCTTAGGCTCTCAACTGGCTCAGCCATGTTAATATTGTTATTATTATCCACTCTAACTATTTCTTTCTGGCTAAAAAATAAACTGTTTCAATATCAGTACCTTTAGTTTTGTACAGTATATTTCTTAGCCAGTGTTTACATTCATAACCTCTTTTCTTTTTACTTATTTACAATTTTTTCTTGTGTTTCAGATGAAATGTTCACTCAAAATGAAACTAGTTTTACTTCAGTGTCCAAACTTCAAAGGTCATGGGTGCCAGTAGAAGCCCGTCAAGCATGGAAGAACCTCCGGATCTGTTGGGTCAGTGAGCTTTGTCATGTACAATACTGTTGTGTCGCTTCTTACGTGCATTTAACTTAAGAGCTCGACTTAGGGAAAAAAGAACACAGTGAGTGTAGGAGCGTATGACTATCGACCCTTAGCAACAGTTGCTGAGGGTTGGTAGGCAGAAGCAGAACATCACAGCTGTGCTGCAATGCAGTGTGTGCACTATCATGTATAATTTTTGCTTTTGTATGCTTTCATTATTTTTCCTAAATATTCTCTGCTGAACTCAACTTGACAATCAGTGGCAAAGAGGATAGAGTAAACTTACAGTGCAGTGTATTGGGTCCATTGTTGCTTGTTTTATGAATGACATGCCAGAAGCTATACACTCTTCCATGCAAATGTTGCGGACGATGCCAAGTTATTCAGGGAAATTAAGAACCAAACTGACTGTGAGGAGCTACAGAAAGATCTCTGTGGGCTTCAAGAATGGTCAAAGAAATGGCTGCTAAGATTCAATGTCACGAAGTGTAAGAGGATGTACCTGGGACATACCAACTGTAAGGAGGCGTATCATGTCCCAACAAGACGAAGATACTGCATTAATTGAGACTGAATGTGAAAAGGACCAAGGTGTGTATGGTGACAATGAGCTGAAGTTCTCGGCCATTGTGAGAAGGTGAATCGAGCATTAAAGCTATGCTATGTCTGCGCTAACCTGGCCCATAAGCAAAGCTGTTACTCTCAAAAATCATGTTAAATATCTAGACTATCAAAATTCAAATGTTTTCAAGGCATTAGCACTTCAGAGAGGATGTTAGAAAATTTTAAATATTTATCATAAAGGGTCGAAGTCAAAGATGAAATTCGCTTTCGATTGAAGTCATTTCATTATTTCTTTGTTTTGTACCAAACATAACCAACAGAAACAAATGACACCAGACATAACACAATAGGTAATGTACTACAGTGTGTATGGCTGGATGTATCCCCAATCATTTGTATAACTGATAAAACTCTATATAAATATGTGCAGTCTGGGGGGAGGTAAAACTCTCAGGGGAACAGCCACTGGATTTGGCAGGAATTTTGCTCATCTTGAGGCACAACAGCCACCAGATGTCAGCTGTCAACAGATGAATATAGAAGGAAAGATAAAGCATTTGACCACCAAGATAAAGTTTTGTTATAAGCATTGATGATGACAATAATGATTCAGACAGTGTTACTAGTAAGCCTACACTTATCACCTTACTAGCTGTTTGGGTGCCCTATTTAGTGTTAGTAACTGGGAAACCTGTGGTGTTTGTTAGTGAGGGTCACACTGGATAACACCCTTCTCACGTGTGTCTGGGCAGAGGCTCAAACCCTTGACATATTGGTGAGAGATAAGTGTGTTGCCAATATTATTTGTATTCATTTACCATCTGTATTTATTGTAATATTACATAGGATATTTCTATAATAAAAAGAGAGAAAAAAGAGAGGAAAACGTTGGCTCTTAAAACTTCTTTTCTTTTAATGATAAAAACAAAACAAAACTATTTACACCCACAGTTCTCAAAACCTTTAATAATAATAACAACATAATTACCACTGATAAGTTATGTTTCATTACCTTATTTACCAATTGGCCACCCAATAAAGATGGCTACTGCCGAGGGAAGGGGGCCAGTAGCCTGTGCAGGATCCCTCCATTAGTTTTGATAATTATGTCAAGGGCTGGTTTGAAGTCCAGGGCAGCGTTCATTTATAACACTAAGCAATGGACTATCTAAGCAAATGCAACCTGAGAAAAACACTTTTTTTGCCTTAAATAAAGTGGTTTAAACCCAGTTAGTCTGGGTGGGGTTTTAAAAGTTTGTAAGAAAAAAGTATTGGCTAAATAACTTTTGAAAAGCTCTTAAATTAAACTTTTTACTTCTATATTTTTATCCTTTATCGATCCAATTTTGCTGTGATATATTTTAACTTGCAATAAGAGATTAATCTATGTACTGTACTGCTTAATTACCATCAGTTGTTCCTTGGTGGAATGAGGCTACTTTTGAAGAGCATCAGAGATCATTGTCTGAAGAGTTACAGTATTATTTCTCTTGAGCCACAAATTATATTTTATAAGCTCATCTTGTGTTATCTATTGCTTGAGTAAATGTATTTTATAAATAACTAGTGAATTAATTTACAACTCATGAAATACTGTTGAATGCTTGTACTAAAAACATGCTGTTTTTTCAGGTAGAAGATGCTGGCACACTGTGGGTTCGAGAAGCTCCCTCGGAGTCATTGTCTCGAGAGATGTTGGTATTTCAACAGATGGAAAAGGATATGAACAGTTTTTTTAACAAGAAACAAAATGGACATTCATATTTGCAGTTTTCAGCCAGAGCTGGAGATGTGAGTCTCAGTTAAGGCTGTTGTCATGACTATACAGTACAGTAGGGTCGGGATATATTGCGAGATGGGGTCCAACGATGTTCGCTATACAGTATACTAAATTGCAATATATAATTACATGTAATCAATGGGGAAAATAGGGTTAGGTTCTGGAGGCCAATAAAGGTGATTAAACTTGACTTATGAGTTTATTTTCTTACTAACTAAAGCACCAATGATCACTAGACTCGAGAACAACAGGCTGTTTCAATGTCAGTATCAAGGAACACCAGACTCGGCAGCTGACACACCATCCTGGGAACACCGGACTCGGCAGTAGACGCCACACTGCCACCCTCACTTGACAATCCCACACCTACATAAACGAACACCAAAAATATTAGTTACTGTATTAAATCTTTTCTCCATTAAGCTTTCCATTATCTTCAGTTCACTTTTCACGTCACCAGCAACCCATTTACACTCACCTTAGAAGTTGTAATCTGCAGCAGAGTTGGCTGCTGACTCATCGCTCACTCAGAAAGACTGAGCGGGTGAGCGTGAATGCGTGAGTGAGCAGCCACGGTGGTGCCTCTGGTGACCAAATAATGCATTTGTTTGCCATGGCGGTACATTTGAAATATTTCCTGCCCGATTTTCCTCGCGAAATAAAAAAAAATTATCTCTTAATAAAGTCGCAATGTATCCCGACCCTACAACAGAATTATTTATTTATACAGTAGATTAATTTACGCGTATTTTTCTTATGCAGTTTCAACTATACGCGGATTACCCCGGGGGTTAGGCTACAATTTCCAATTTCAAACTCAAAATTTTCATGTCTAGTGCAAACTATAGCATGTTTATATTCAAATTAATTACTATCTTGTAAGAATCCCAGCAATGTAAATTATATTCTCCCAGGTCAGTTCAGTGACATGTTCAAGAAATTTTTGTGGGCACTTGATGGAAAATCTCTACAGTAAACACCTGTATGATGCAAATTACACAAAACATCATATCATGGCAACAGTGCAAGGCAAAATTACTACAGTATATTATTGCTTCCAAGTAGAAATGAACTTATGTATTGATATCGGTGGAACACCAATTACCCCATTAACGTCGCTTCGTTATAGTGTCGTTAAAAAAGAAAAGAAAATATATATGAAAATGATAAATGTGCTAAAAGTGGTACTTCATTATCTGTTACAAAGTTTACTGGTAACAGAAGTGGTATTATGGAATATATGGAAAGAATGCTGAATATGTGAATCGAGGATCAACATCAACAAAACTTTCCGTGTTTATTGCTCTCCATACAGGTGAAAGCTTCAAGTTTATTTGACACTTTAAAACAAAAAAAGGTGATAATGCTGAAAGGGAAACAATTGTGGCAAGTTGTAAGAAACGTACCCAAGGAACATAACTCCTATTTATGTCATCGTGTCTTTGGTACAAAAAATTTCACCTAACTTCGTTTCACTTGAAGTCGTGGTTTTCAGGAACCTGACAAGGACATTAATGGGAGAATTGGTGCAAAGATTTGGGGAAATTCTCAACATGGAGGAAACCTTAGAAGACTGACCCTCATTTGTTATGTTAACTCTTCCTTCTTGACTAATACAACTGTTTACCATGGAACCTTTTCAAAGACTGGTTAAGCTCGGGTATCGGTGAAGCAAAACCAACAAATGAAATAACAGTATAACTAAACTATTTACAATACATACAAGAAACAATAATGACAAAATAACTAAATAGGAAGTTTGTTCAGTTGGAGAATTTAGCCATTGACAAAATAACACTATTAAACCTACAATTAAATCGGTTACAATATACAGTACTTAACCTAACCGGAGCAGGAACACTTATAAGTGATGACAGTTGACATAATACAAATAACAATTTTCTCATCACTATGGAGGAGGTGAGACCCACAGCCGGCAACCGTACTATCCACCATCTGACTGACTGTTCTCGTGTGGTTGATCCAACACCAAACCTCGAATGAATGAGTCGAAGCATTAAGACAGTCCAGTGTGGTGACTCTTGGTAATCCTCACTCGTGCCTTACTTGTGACTCTTTGTTTCAGTATATATGATTTTTGTGTGTACTTTATTCACTTTGTAAAGCAACTGACAATAAGAAGAGAAAAGTGCCGAACCTTACGAAAATTTCATATTTTGCGGGTTTGCCAAAAATTCATGTCCGGACCTTACGAAAAATGCTTTTTTGGCCGGTTCGCCAAAAGTGCCGGAACGACAGGTCCGGACCTTAAGAAAATTTCATTTTTTGCGGGGTCGACAAAAATGACAAAAATTCATGTACGGACCTTACGAGAAATGCTTTTTTGGCCGGTTCGCCAAAAGTGCCGGAACGACAGGTCCGGACCTTAAGAAAATTTCATTTTTTGCGCCAAAAATGAAAAAAATTCATGTCTGGACCTTGAAAATGGTTTTTGGCGGGGAACAGGTCCGGACCTTAAAAATTTCATTTTGCACAAAATTCCGGACCTTACGAAAATGGTTTTGGCGGTTGCCAAAAGTGCCGACAGGTCCGGACCTTAAGAAAATTTCATTTTTTGCGGGGTCGCCAAAAATGAAAAAAATTCATGTCTGGACCTTACGAAAAATGCTTTCTTGGCCGGTTTCGCCAAAAGTGCCGAAACGACAGGTCCGGACCTTACGAAAATTTCATTTTTTGCGGGGTCGCCAAAAATGACAAAAATTCATGTCCTGACCTTACGAAAAATGCTTTTTTGGCTGGTTTCGCCAAAAGTGCCGAAACGACAGGTCCGAACCTTATGAAATTTTCATTTTTTGCGGGTTCGCCAAAAATGACAAAAATTCATGTCCGGACCTTACGAAAAATGCTTTTTTGGCCGGTTTCGCCAAAAGTGCCGAAACGACAGGTCCGGACCTTATGAAAATTTCATTTTTTCGGGATCGCCAAAAATGACAAAAATTCATGTCCGGACCGTACGAAAGTGGATTTCTTGAATTAGTTAATGAGACGTGAGAGTTTGGCTTCTGTTGGATGCCATTACCATGAGGTACACAAAAAAGTGAAGAGATAATAAAGTAAGTGGTGGTGCAAGCCTCCATGATCCATCCTTGGAGAGAAGGAGATATTACTTATTGTTGGGGTTGAGGAGTAGAGTGAGTGAGAACTGAAGATGAAACCAAACAAACATTTATATTGTAGTTATCAAGTTTTGTGTCATTATTAATATACAGTACAGTACTTTCTTTCAGGTAATTTATTTACTTTTATCAGGATAATGTAATAAGTATCACGAAAACAATGCTCTAATATTTTAATTGAAGTGTACAGTTTGGCAATAAGTTGAAGTCCCATACATATTTTTCACCATTACCACATAAGGTTTGCACTTGATGGCTTTGGGGTTTCTAGGGATTTTTAAGAGCCTCTCCCCTGCTAGTGGTAATAACCTGCTGTATTAACTAAGTTCACCTTTCTGACCAACAGACTGTGGCTGTCCACCATAAAGCCAACTGGTTCAGAGGGAGAGTGAAGAATGTGATAAAGACTATGAAGGACCAGAAAGTTGAGGTGTTTCTCCTTGACTATGGAGTTACAGTTATTGCTGATGTAAGTCAATACCATAATGGACTCGGTGAAATTTTTACTGAACTTAATATAAATGGTTTTAATCAATGTGGAGGCTAAAAAAACATTTTTGTATGCAGTATAATATTATGATATTTGAGGATATGAGCAACTGTATGTAGACTTGACTATTTTTGTTTTCCATTGCCTTCCAATTTCTACACTTGTCTTGCACCTTTCTGATGGCAGCTCTCCATGCCGTACAATATCTCGTAGTCTCTCTTATTAGGTTCTTAATTCTGATTTAATTTCTTGTAAAATTTCCTCATGTCATTTTTAGTCTACTGTCCCTGGCTCTCCTTCCCTTCATATTTAGGCTCTTGTACCTCTTGACTCAGCTGGTGTCATCTGTTCTCTCCACATACCCAACCTATCTCAGCCTGCTAATATACCTTCAATACCCAGCTGCCCCCTCAGATCTGAATAAGGTTTCCTATTTTTCTGTGTCACTTTACACATCCATCTTACCATTCTCATTTCAGCTCACTCAAGTCTACTAATGTTATCCTCTGTAACTGCCCATGATTCACTGCTATATAACATCAGTGTCACACTTCTCACACTAACAGCACACATCTTTCTTTTCTTATGAAGAGAAGGTCCTCTTGCCACCAGTAAAAGCAGCAGCTCCCTAAACTTCCTTCAGCCACTTCTGTCTCTTGCAACTGAGTTAGTTTCAGCTCCACCTTCAGCACTGATCATGTCACCCAGGTAACAGAACTTATTGACACTGTCCAGGGATATATCCCCAATGTTGAGTTTCTACAACCTTGCTAAGGCCACATGATTACCTGCTTATACAGAGCAATTTAAATCAGCAACATCCTGCAGTCTACCATTTACATCACTGTACCTCTTGTATACCCATCTTCCACAATCGCTGCATCACAAATCTAAACTCATTTCTTGGACCATTCTTGAAGCTGACAGATCTTTACAGTATGCAGCTCTTTACATTCCATTTTGTTCTTAATTTTCCTGAATAACTTGGCATAATCTGCAAACATTTGTATGGAGAAGTGGATAGTTTCTGGCATGTCATTTATGAAACAAACAAAAAACAATGGGCCCAATACACTGCCTTGTGGTACACATGACAGTTTTGTGCCATTAATTACTACACACTGCTTTTGGTCATTAAGAAAGTCTCCGATCCTGGCTAGGACAATTCCCCGAATCCCGTACCCTTTCAGTTTAATTCTCAGCCTTTTGTGGGTTATGCTGTTGAAAGCTCTGGCAAAATCCAGGTATATATATATATATATATATATATATATATATATATATATATATATATATATATATATATATATATATATATATATATATATATATATATATATATATATATATATATATATATATATATATATATATATATATATATATATATATATATATATATAGATTGCCACCCTGTTCCAGAATTTGAGTCCAAACATCCAGCACCTTGAGTAATTGTTAAAGCATGATTGTCCCGGCATAAATCCATGTTGGCAATCCTTCACAAGGCACCCCTGTCCTTTTAATTGTGAGCTATTCATGGGTGATTGAACCAGAGGAGAAAGTCAGTTAAGTATGATTTCACATTTCATATTTTTTTAAACAGCGTTATATACAGTACAGCTATCCCTCGTTTAACGATCGTTCACTTAGCAAATTTTCAGTTTAATAATTTAAAATTTATAACACCCTTTCTCATTTAACAATCGTAAATTTTTGGTTTAGCGATCTTCGACTCGCTTGGGAAAATTCGGGAGAGGTCGTAAAAACTGGGGATTCTGTGCTCCTTGTGCACATCTTTACAATACTGTACTGTGATGTGGCTTAGAAATAAAAAAAAATACTGTACTGTACAATATTTTATATACTGTAGTAGTTTTATACAGTATACTGTACTGTACAATATTTTATATACTGTAGTAGTTTTATACAGTATACTGTACTGTACCATAGTACTGTACTATAAAATAAAAAAAATGAAGATCATGGGTGTGTATGTGTGGGAAGTGAACATATGTATTGAGGTAGTGAACTGTAACTGTGGCCAGCTGCACTCTCCCTCCCCCCACCCTATGTGATGTCACAGCATACAGCCACACACGTTTCTTGAGTCAGCTTGGTGACTGCCCGGATCAACTGTGTTACGTGTACAGTACTGTATACTGTACCAGTGAATGCAGTAAATGTCAGAAATAAAAAAAAATAAATAAATAAAAAAAAATAAATAAATAAAAAAAAATTTCTTGGAAGTTCCAGAAATTGCCCATTACATCATCTCTCGCACCCGGAAAAATATCCCTCATCTCCGGAATTTTCCGGGTACCTGGAAAATTTTATCAATTTTTTGGAAAATGTGCTCCTCAGAAAATCGTTCCCAAAGCCAGAATTTTCCGGAAAATTGGCTTTGGGAAAGATTTTCCGAGAAAATTTCATTTCCGGCTATTGGAGAGTTCCGGGTTTGAGGGATTCCGGCTATTGAAGATATTACTGGATGTGATCTTTGTTTCCTAGACCTATGTCCTGTGTGCTACTTGTGTACAAGAGTTAAGTATTTGTTTTTCTCTCACAATAGGTTTCTTCTATTGTTTGTCTGAGTCCTGAAGAATGGACAAGTGTTCCCTACCAAGCTAGAAAAGTCCGTTTATTTGGCGTTACACCTTTGTCACTCGGCTACTCATTAACTCCCTTCACCTTGAAAGTTATGCCCAAGTAAGTTTCTTATATTTTGTCATTTAAATTGTGTGGTGAATGTGAACGTGCATATGGCAGTGTTCTAATAAGGATAATTGATATCTTAGTAAATCAGTACATTGAGATGTATAATTTGTACTCTTATCACCTCTTCATCATCATGTCATTTTCATTATCTATCACAGCAAAGAATAGTAATAAGAATAACACCAGATTGGACATAAATGTTAGTGTAATAATTTTATCTGATGGTAGTTTGGAAGTGAAGTATAACCTGAAGGATTGTTTAAAAGTTCAATTATTCACAGAAAAACAATAATGTTGGGAATTAACTTTGCAACTAGGGTGAAGGAAAATAATATACGACATGGTGTCATTTAAATGTTGACATCTTTAAATTAAACTGTATTTTACACAAATCTGAATGGTCATTTATTTCTCTGGATCTGACAATACAGGCATGAAGGTCAGCTCCAGACTCTGTCCTCAGTGTCCATATATGCTCCAAACATCAACACTTGCCTCATTGTCTTATATCAGTTTTCGTGGCATCCGTATGTTAGACACGAGTCCTTCATCCTTCCTCCATTTTGCCCACCCAATCCCTCACATCTTCTTCACCTTTCCATCTTTGTCATCATCTCCTTTCTCATGTCCACAGTCCTAGTCTCATCCTGTCCCATCTTACCACTAGGGATGCACTGGAGCTTAGTTCCGGCCAGTGCCTTGATTTTAATGAAGTTTTTGGTCCGGCCAGAACTTTGGTAAGATAATGGTCATGAACCAGAACATTATATAGTGGTATAGGAAAGCCTCCGATAATGACGGTTCTACTAATGACGGTTCTACTAATGACGATTCATATTTAAGACCCTGGTTGATTTAGGATCCAATTCAATTTACACCATTATTTTCTTCGTATTTACGGCAAAAATATAATAAAAAATAAAGTAAAATTACATTTTCATATAAATAATAACTAAATCCTGATACGTATTGTACACAAAAAAAACACGCTTTGCGCACGGAGGCTTCCGGGCTTGTGAGTGGTGATACCAGCATCACTAGTATAAACTTTCGCAGCTTGGCGGGCCTTTTGTTTTCACGCATCTGCACAGGAAAAGTAGAAACTTTCTCAGGTTTCTTATGGCATTTTTGTTTCTCTATTCAACATAAACAAGTGATGTTAGTGCTGGTTCAAAAGCTAAAAGAAAGTGTATAAGCTTAGCTGAGAAACTAGATGTGAGAGGTCTGTGGATGTTATATGGAGCAAGCAATGAACATATTTTCTGAAGTGGATTCATTCACAGAACAAAGCATTAAAATTAACAGGGACGTGGAAAATGCATATGACCCCTACATTAGGGTGTGACCGCTGCTCTCCAAAAATAAAAAAATGGTCCTACAATGCTGTTCAAAGTTTTAGTGTTGTGTATTTATCTAGGAAACACCCCTGTAAATTTTCTTGGGGATCGGTGCATGTTTGAGCTAGCACCGTCGGCTTTACAAAATAACAAGGAATATTATTATCTAATGAACAAATTTAGTGGAATTTCTTTTATTAGACTTATAAGATATACTAACACCAAGCAAATGATCGATCATATCAATCTTAATACCCCTAAAACAATATTATATGCCTGGAGTGTTTGAGGAGCGCCAGCAGGAGATGGCTGACTTCTTCCGTGAATCTCTAGCCCAACCATTTACACGTGGCGACTACAAGGAGCTGGTAGAGCTTTGTCTGCTGCTTGTAACTAAAGGATCCGAGCCAGTGAACTTCACGATGGTCTACCCCGGCGCACTTCACAAAGCAAGGTGGATGGCTAAACTGCTCTATACCCTCAAGATTGTTCTTTTGTCAGGCCAGATCAAAGAGCAGTTTCCCAAAGCCGAGTTGTGACTAAAAGTCAAATCAGCAAGTTAGAACGGTTTGCTGTGTTCACAGTCGCTGTTTATGTCCCATGGTGGATTGTTTGCCCCGTTCCAGCAAGTGCGCCACTGAATGACTTGAATTTGGTCGAAACCTTGGCTGAATTTGCCCCATATGACGCCACAATAGTTGACAAAGCACGTGTGGCACTCGGTAGACACACTTGGTACCTAACTGAGGAGTTGGCCCCACTGGCTTTGTTCTCATCCCAAGTACAAGAAAGGACAAAAGAGGAGATGAGGAAGGCCCTTCTTTGCCATGAAGGCACTGAAGTTACTAAGAGAGTGGGGCTCAATCATGGGGGCTATGGAAAGCCATATCTTCCCCCTGTCCCAGAAAGTGGCACTGCCATGGTGGACCTAATTGGACCTGACTCAAGCCGGTTCTTCACCATTTTAGGCATGCCCTATCAGTTTCTCCACAGTCCAGCCAGTGAATGGGCGGATCATGACGACTACCTGAACATGAAACGGGTTGTGGACAGGCTTCAGGTCGTCAATGAGGCTGCAGAGCGTGGTGTAAAACTTTGCCATGACTTTCTTAATGTTGTCAGGGATGAGGAGCACTTTCAAGAAGTCCTTCAAGTAGTTGAAAATGACAGACTCCGCGTTGGTAATCGGCGAAAATGATCATCTGTTTCCCAACAGAAATCATGGTTTCTTGCTCTAGAGAAATAATACCTTGTGAATATATGATAAAACCCCTTAATGTACCATGAGAGAATAAGAATGATTAACTTTTTTGTGTTAGTGATAACAGCTTTTTATTAAGACAGGCAAATGATTTGTGTTAATATCCCTTATGATGGTTGTGTAATCCCATATATAGGCGCATATGCCGTATAAGCAAAATCGCTATTTTTCAAATTGCTTGTGCTCACTCAAATATGTATGAATCTTCAAAAAATTGCACTTGGGTATTTTTTATGTCAATATGCAACACCAAAATTTTGAACAGCATTGTAGGACAAAGTTGGGGCAACTGTCACACCCTACCCTACATAGAGATGTATAATGAGAAAAGAAAGCAGTTGTGCAAGGTTCTTTAGACAGTTTTATTATTCATTATTGAAAGGCCTAAACCATCAACTTCAGCTACACCACCAAATTTGGCATCATAAGCAGCTTCAGTAAAAACTTCAGGTTCAGTAACAATTTCAGCAACAACTATGACATCTGCATGGAAAGCTTGAGCCAGAGTTGAACCTATAGCTTGAGTCAGAGTTGAACCTGATGACTTCGTCATCTGAGTAAGAACTCGCACAGCATTCATTGACTGTCCTTATGTTTTAGACTTTACCACTATTGGTGAGTAAAATTTTTGTTTTACATTCGTAAGTATTATAAGCAACATATATGAACAGTAATAAGTAATGCTTTCATATTCTTATGGAGATAAATGACGATGTTTTCACATGTACGCACTTACATCCGATGGCGTTCACAATCCATTTACTTTTTCTTTTATCCTCTTCACCACTCATCGACTCGTCAGCCACTTGGGTGATCGGTCATGTCTCTGTTACGCACTGTAGGCAAGTACTGGGCATGCACCGGCTCCTGAATGTACCTGAACCCGCTCCAGTGTTGGTCAAGTCTGGTCTTGAAAGAGCTCACACTCGGTGCCGTCACAACACTTTCTAGTAGATTGTTCCAAGAGTTCACAACTCTCACTTCGAAAATGTTACCCCTGACAGTTTTCTGGACTTGCGGCTTCTTCAGTCTTGAGCTGTGACCCCTTGTGGGATGAGAGTCCGCCAGCTCCAAGTAAGGACACTCGACTGAGTAGTGGCCCCTGAGATGCTTATACACCTCAATCAGATCTTCCCTTACCCGTCTGTAGTATAAGCTAGGCAAGTTGATGCACTCCAATCTCTCAGGGTAGCTGAGGAGCCGAAGTGCAGGCACCAGTCTGGTGGCCCTCCTTTGAACATTTTCAACCAACTGACAGTCCCTAGCATATCTCGGGGACCAGACGGGGTGACAGTACTCCAGATGGGGAAGCACTTCACTCTTGAAGATCTTTACTAGGGACTGACAGTCTAGATATCTGAACGACCTTCTTATAAGACCCAATAATTTATTTGCCTGATTTACCTTCTCGCAATGACCCGAGAACTTCAGCTCATTGTCAACATACACACCTAGGTCCTTCTCACATTCAGTCTCAAATAGTGCAGTTTCTTCATCCCGTTGGGACATATGATACGCCTCCTTACCGTTGGTACCCCCCAGGTGCATCCTCTTACACTTCGTGACATTGAATCTCAGCAGCCATTCCTTCGACCATTCCTGGAGCCCACAGAGGTCCTTCTGCAGCTCTTCACAGTCAGCTTGGTTCTTAATTTCCAGAAATAACTTAGCGTTCATCGGCAAACATTTGTATGGAGGAGTGTACAACGTCAGGCATGTCATTTATGAAACAAACAAACAAACAGCGGGTCCAATACACTGCCCTGTGGTACCGCACTTGTGACAGGTACGGATGACGATTTCGTGCCATTAATCACCACACACTGTTTGCGGTCATGTAGAAAGTCTTCTATCCATGCTAGGACATTTCCCCGAATTCCGTATCCTTCCAGTTTGATTTTCAGCCTTTTATGGGGTACGCTGTCGAACGCCTTGGCAAAATCTAGGTAAATATTGTCGATATTACCACCCTGTTCCAGAATAAGGGTCCAAATATCCAATACCTTGAGCAATTGTGTTAAGCAGGAGCGCCCCAGCATAAAACCGTGTTGGCAATCCTTTACAAGGTTGTTTCGTATTAGATATTCCATTGCGGCATCTCTAATAATACTCTCAAGTACTTTACATATTATGCTGGTCAGGCTCACCGGTCTATAGTTGCTCGTGGAGTGACGATCGCCCTTCTTGAAGATTGGGCTCACATAAGCCACTTTCCATTCACTTGGGACCTTTTGTTCATCCAGGCATTTACAAAACAGGATTTTCAGGGTTCGTCAAGCTCGTTGCACAACTCTCTTAGCACTCTAGGATGCACCATGTCAGGGCCGGGACTCTTATGGACCTTTAGCCTGGACAGTTTATTTCTAATACCCTCTTCTGTGAACACAATGTGGGTCAGTGTTGTGTCGAACCGTCTATCCTCAAACGCAGGAAGGTTAGTTGCATCCTCTCTTGTGAACACCAAGGAAAAGAAGCTGTTTAATGCCTCAGCTTTATCCTGGTCAGAATCTGCGTAACTACCATCTTCAAGCCTCAGGTCTGATACTCCTACTCGAGTTTTCAATTTGGACTTTGCATAGCGGTAAAACGCCTTTGGGTTTGACTTGGCCTCGCTTGCAACCAGCCTCTGGAACTCCTTTTCAGCCCTTCTACACTCTATCTTTGCTTGGTTTCTGGCTCTTGCATACACTGTCTTGCTCATCGTTTGACCCAACCCAAGTATTGAATTTCTGGGTTTTCTTCTTAATTCTGTCGACCGTCGCATGGTTCATGTGTAGGGATCCCCTCATATTCCTAGAGGCACTGGGTTTGGTCTTGGGTATATATTTATCGATCAAATGGGTCACATTACAAGTTATGATATTCAGCGTAGTGTCAGCGTTCTTGTGCCTTAATGAGTCAGGCCAGTTAATACCTCTCGTCTCTTCCCTCATCCCATTGTAATTTCCCTTGTAATATTTGCACCTTGGCCTGACCTTATCCTGAACTAGGTAACAGTTAAATCTGAATGACAACACTATATGGTGACTGGTGCCAACTGGGGCAAGGTGTTCCAGTTTGGCCACCATACCCTCCTCGTTTGTTATGATGAGGTCAAGTGGCTTGGGTGTTTGCTCCCCTCTGTATTGTGTCGGGTCTCTCACATGTTGGAACAGAAAATTATCTCTCAGAGTTTCTACAAAAAGAGTAGCAGGGTTATTCAAGTCATTTGGGGTGGACTCGTTTCTCCAGTCGATGTCGCCATAGTTAAAGTCCCCCATGATAAGGAGGTGGCTAGGGTTGAGCATCGCCGCATTGTTTATTAAGGTTCTTAAGTTCCTTTGATTTAGTGGGCCACAGTTTGGGGATCTGTAGATACACCCGACGATAAGTAAGTCCCCTCCCTTTAATTTAATTTTACACCACTTGGACTCTTCAAAAACATCCTCTCCCTGTACCCTCGCCTGGCTGGCTCTAAGGTCTTGCCTAGCATAGATAACCACACCCCTCTTGCAAGTTTCTTGAGAAAGGTTCGTAAATGAGTCATATCCAGCAATACTGAACTCACATTCCTCTGGGTCGATTCTCCTGTTCTTGTACAACAGTTCTACAACTCCTACAATATCTGGTTGGTGTACTCTTAGTAGTGTTTCAAACTCCTCTCTCTTATCAAGGAACGTGTCAGTATTAGTGTACATGACATTCAAGCCAGAATTTGTTCTCGGTAACGTCTCTGCTCTTAGTAATAAACCCGCTCCACCCACATTCTCAGAAGCTGCAGCATTTGCTAAGTACACTGTATTTTGCAGGGTGTGGTTAGAAATGTCATTGTTTACACGGCGCTCGTTCCCTCCTGTCCGGTAGGCTGAGCTGGTGCCGCCTCCCGGGTGGGGGGTTGAGTGGGTGGAGGGTGCACTGCTGCCCCCTGGCCCTGTGTCGGCACACTTGTTTCCACTACCCTCCCCCTGAGTATAACCCATGTACACCTGTCCCCGTTCCTCCTCGACTCCTCCCTCTTCTGCTTCAAGTCCTGCAGGAGCTTCTTGTGCTGTTCCCTCTGCATTACCGTGCGATCTGGGTGAATGAATACATCCCGAAATGCCTCGCTCCTTGCTAAGTTTTTTGCCTGCCGAATAACCTGCCATTTCTCCTCCTCACTCACTAGTGTGATCCTGAGGGGGCGAGGCTTAGCCCCCTGCTTTTGTCCCAGCCTCCTCACATCCTGAGGGGTTGATGGAATCTTCAGAACCTCTGTACAAATATTTTGAAACAGCACCTTATCGTGTGTTTCCTTACTCACAGTTCCCTCCGCCTGGCTCTCTGGGACTCCAAAAACTATTACATTGTTCCTGCGCTGGAGACGTTCCTGGTGTTCCTCCTCTCCCCTAACAGTAGGTCCGTTAATTTTCATTTCTTCGACACACTTCTTCAGAGTCCCAAGCTGTTGTAGAACCTGTTCTGATCCTGCATTACTCTCCGCCCCCTCCCGTGGCCCTGCTAATATGTCAGCATAACTCCTCTTAGCAACCACCTCCATTCTATCGGCTACTTCCTCAGTCTTAGCAAGGATCTCTTTCCCAACTTGCTCCAGTTTGTCAACCAGCAAGGCTCCAGCTTCATCTATTTTCGTCCCTAGAGAACTCGTTCCCTTATGGCTTGCAATCGCCTCATTCACCTTGACTGCAGTTACGTCAATACCAGCAACAGCCATCATATTTTCCGGCAGTTAGTAGCGTCCTAAATATTGCATTAGACAGGCCTGTATTCTCCATATCCGACGTCTCCCTGCAGTAATCACATATCAAACTCATGGTTGTTGTTGTCGTGGGGGTGCAGACTGTGTAGATTACACCTATTTAAAAAAAGTAAAGAGAGAAAAAGAACAGTACTTAGCTACTCTCTGTTGCCTATAGAGTTGTCGTCTGTGACTGCGTACACTGTATCTCCCTGTGAATGGTGTAGTTTAGGCACAGTTTCAGTCCTTGAGAAAGCACACAAACAAAATAAAATTTAAAGTCTCTGTGGCACCTATGACACTAATAGGCTGGCAGTGGTCCTTACCAGCTCGATTGCCAATATGTATTCACTTAAAGTTATTTACAGCCTCTTCTGCGGACACTGATGACACTATGAACTGATATACCTAAAATCACAGAATTATGCTCTTGATACAGATGTTCATGCTTGTTGTATGTTATATTGATAACTTGTTTCAGTGGTAGGATATTTTTTTACCAAACTGTGTATGCTGGTGGTCCTTCTTTCCACTCACATATGCTTCCAACTTCTCTTAAGTTTGTAAAGAAGATGATGGAAAAAAAGTAGCCTCTGTAGGTCATTTAAATTTTGTAGGTTTTTGTTTGTACAGTACATCCCTGGATTATTTGATAAGATATGGCATTTTTTTTTACTTCTTGCCAGAACATGTCAGAATTGGGACGAGGCGGCAGTTACTTTGGTGAGAAGAATATGCGAACTAAAACCAATTGCTGAGTTTGTGCCTATGATGCTTGGTCCTGATGGTAAGAGAAGTTAGCCACAGATGTGATATTGGTTGATGTTACAGTATAATATGGATCTATCTACTAACATAATATCTCTTCAGCCACTAAGTACAAAGTTACATTCTTAATTTTCTCTGTATAACTTTAACTAGTCAGACCTACAATGGAAACTGTTGATGTTAATGAATTTTATCATAGAAATTCCACAGATTTTAGACTCCACCCTGGTAGTGCCTACAGATGTGCTGCCATAGAAGTGTATTCTTTTTAAAGGGAGAAGAATATATGATTGTGTTTGAATAATGATAATGGTTCTTTCTGAAACTTCTAATCTATATCTGCCCTTTAGTCTTAGGTAGTCCTTTATACAGTTTACAGGTATACATAGGATAGTATACAATTATGTACACTTAAATATTATAACTGATCAAACTTTGTGTGATTTTACAATGTGCTTAATTTTTAAGTTGCTTTTCACTTTTTATAATTTAAATAGACCAAGTGGCTGGAGGAAGTTTAGGGAGTTGCTGCCTTTATTGAGGCCAAGAGAACCTTCCCTCTGAATAAAAGGAAGAAGGTGTGTGGCTGGTGTGAGGAGTGTGATGATGTATGGCAGTGAGTCATGGGCAGTTAAAGATGACAGAAGTAGACTTGAGTGAGCTGAAGTAAGAATGAACAGGTGGATGTGTAGTGTGACACTGAAAGACCTGTTCAGAGCTAAGAGGGCAGCTGAGTACTGACAAAGTCCTGTGTAGAGGCAGGCTGAGGTGGTTTGGACATGTGGAGAATTAATGAAAATAATGGGGTGAAGACGAGCATGAGCCTAAATGTGGAAGGGAGGAGAGCTGGGGGTAAGCCAAGCATGGCATGAGGAGAGGGAGTAAGAAATGACACAAGAGTTAAGGACCTAACAAAAGAAACTGCAAGAGACTGGTTAACATAGAGAGCTGCCATCAGGTAACCATGGCTAACATGTAAGTCTGGAAAAGGGCTGTAAAGTGATGATGGTGATAACCTTACTTAAGATACGGTGCTGAAGTTGTGGTTTTGCTGTACATTATTATTATTATTGTTGTTGTTATTAACCCATAATATTATTGGTCCCAAGGACTTAAATGTCACCCACTTGATGACCAAACGAGAGAGAGTGTGTGTGAATGTGTGTGTGGTGTGTGAATGTGTTTATTTTATTGTTTAGGCCCTGAGATAATTTATGGGTCGTGGCTGCCACCAGTTGATCAAACAGGATGGGTCTATTTGACCATAAGATTCAAACTATGGGAGGGAAAATTATTATCGCTTATGGTGTGGCAATCACACTAGCGTTGTTGACCACATATGAAGTGAGAAGTGGATCAAAGGGGTTATGAATGTACTCAAATGTAGTGCACAGAACAGTGTGTAGAGATTTATATTTAAACCTGTTAATCTATGTATGTGTTGGTATTGAAATGCATTCATTCTTGAATATTTGTGTCTTTACTAATATAATGCACTTTATTTCTCTGCTGGTCACAATGTTATGCATACTTTCTTTACTTAAACATGTGTTTGCTTACTGAGTAACTCACTGCACATATTTATATAGAGTTTTATCAGTTATACAAATGATTGGGGATACATCCAGCCATACACACTGTAGTACATTACCTATTGTGTTATGTCTGGTGTCATTTGTTTCTGTTGGTTATGTTTGGTACAAAACAAAGAAATAATGAAATGGCTTCAATCAAAAGCGAATTTCATCTTTGACTTGACCTTTTATGATAAATATTTAAAATTTTCTAACATCCTCTCTGAAGTGCTAATGCCTTGAAAACATTTGAATTTTGATAGTCTAGATATTTAACATTATTTTAGAGAATAGCAATGTCTTCTTACCAATTGTGAACAAATTTAGTTTGAATAAATGGACAGCTACAGTAGGTTACTTCCCAGTACTTGTTGTACCCTTTACTGCTTGCAAGCGAGGTCAGTACAAACCCAAAGGCATTTTACCGCTATGCAAAGTCAAAATTAAAAACACGAGTAGGAGTATCAGACCTGAGACTTGATGATGGTAGGTACGCAGAGTCTGACCAGGAAAAAGCTGAGGCATTGAACAGCTTCCTTTCCTCGGTGTTCACAAGAGAGGATGCGAACAATCTTCCTGTGTTTGAGACTAGACTGTACGGCACAGCACTGACCCACATTGTATTCACAGAAGAGGCTAAAGGTTCATAAGAGTCCCAGCCCTGACATGGTGCATCCCAGAGTGCTAAGAGAGTTGTGCAACGAGCTAGCTGAGCCCCTGAAGATCCTGTTCAGTAAATGCCTGGATGAACAAAAGATCTCCAGTGATTGGAAATGGCTATGTGAGTCCTATCTTCAAGAAGGGCGATCGTCACTCCACGAATAACTATAGACCGGTGAGCCTGACCAGCATAATATGTAAAGTACTTGAGAGCATTATAAGAGATGCCATGATGGAACATCTACAATGAAACAACCTCGTAAATGATTGCCAACACGGTTTTATGTTGGGGCGCTCCTGCTTGACACAATTATTCAGGGCAATGGATATGTGAACCCAAATTCTAGATCAGGGTGGTAATATCTACAATATTTACCTAGATTTTGCCAAGGCTTTTGACAGTGTACCCCCATGAAAGGCTGAAAAGTAAACTGGAAGGGTACGGGATTCGGGGAAATGTCCTAGCGTGGATAGAGGACTTTCTACACGACCGCAAGCAGTGTGTGGTGATTAATGACATAAAATCATCATCTGTATCCGTAACAAGCGGGGTACCGCAGGGCAGTGTATTGGGCCCGCTGTTGTTTGTTTGCTTCATAAATGACATGCCTGAAGCTGTACATTCCTCCATACAAATGTTTGCGGACGACGCCAAGTTATTTCGGGAAATTAAGAACCAAGCGGACTGTGAAGAGCTGCAGAAGGATCTCTGTGGGCTCCAGGAATGGTCGAAGGAATGGCTGCTGAGATTCAATGTCACGAAGTGTAAGAGGATGCACCTGGGGCGTACCAATGGTAGGGTGGCGTATCATATGTCCCAACGGGATGAAGAGACTGCATTAAATGAGACGGAATGAGAGAAGGACCTAGGTGTGTACTTTGAAAATGAACTGAAGTTCTCGGGCCATTGCGAGAAGAATGTAAACCAGGCAACTAAGTTATTAGGTCTTATAAGAAGGTCGCTCAGATATCTAGATGTTCTGTCCCTCGTTACAATCTTCAAGGGTGAAGTGCTACCCTGCCTGGAGTAATGTCATCCCGTCTGGTCCCCGATATGCTAGGAACTGTCAGTTGATTGAAATTGTCCAAAGGAGGGGCCACCAGACTGGTGCTTTCTGCTGCACCTCAGCTACCCGGAGAGATTGGAACGCCCGTACTTGCCTAGCTTGTACTACAGACGGGTAAGGGAAGATCTGATTGAGGTGTACAAGCATCTCAAAGGGCACTACTCAGTTGAGTGTCCTTACCTGGAGCTGGCGGATGCTCACACCACAAGGGGTCACAGCTCAAGGTTAAAGAAGCCGCAAGTCCAGATAACTGTGAGGACGAACTATTTCGGAGTGAGAGTTGTGAACTCTTGGAACAATCTGTCAGGGAGTGCAGTGACGGCACCAAGTGTGAGCTCTTTCAAGACCAGACTTGATCAACACTGGAGCAGGTTCAGGTACATTCGGGAGCCGGTGCATGCCAAGTACCTGCCAACAGTGCGTAACAGAGACGTGACCGATTGCCCAAGCGGCTAACGAGCCGATCAGTGGTGAAGAGGATAAAAGAAAAAGTAAAACATCCGTTGGATCACCTGAAGAATTTCCACCCCAGCTTATTTCACCTAAATATTGACCATTTTAATGTTAACCTAACCTCATCCCCCCAAATAGTTTCAGGATGGTTGATCTTTAGGTCAAATAAGCTGGGGTGGAGATGCTTCAGGTGATCTCATCCCTTTGGTCATCATTCTGTGTTATTAGTCAAAGGCAAAATATTGTACAACTAGTTGGTATAAAGGAGATTCAACACAAATATTGTTCACTCATGGACGTCTTGTCAACATCCAATAAATGTAGGTGTACCCTGACTGGTGACTGTTGTTGAGCAAAGTGGTTTTTTTGTGGTGCTCTCCTGCTTAGATGATATACAAGTGACTGCTCATTGTAGCTCTTATATGTGGCATACAAAGCTGATCATTAATTGTTGTTTATCAGTCATACTAGATGCTTGGCTACCATCTGCTGTTACTCATGATACTTCCAGCTATGCTTTAATAAGAAAAAATAAAGTCCCTATGAAATTTTGTAGTGATACAACCAGATACAATGCTGAAACACTCAAATCATCAAATTTGGACTATACAGTACTTAACTTCTCAATAATTACAGGTTGTATGCATGGCTCATTGACTGTACACATCAATGACCACATTTGGAGTAATGTGATTCCATTGTCACCAATTTTCCATTATCGATCTGAAGGAGGAGTCACACCAATTGATCTTGCTTTGATTTTGGTGTCTCTAAAATATGCAACCTGGGAAGCAGATTTATTACACGAGATATTAAAGGAAAAGGAGGAAGAAGAAATGAGTAAAAACAGTGCAGGAAGAAGAGGTAAGTATTGTAGGATGTAAAAAACAAATTGTCAAATATTAAAATTTTTGTAGAATTTTTGTTGGATTGTTTCAAGTTAAGGTGAGATTAGTAATTTATCACTCATCATCTACACACACACACCCACCCACCCACCCCATTATAATGTGAAGAAACATCCTAAAAGTAAATAGATATATCAATGGACAAAAGGTCTATAGAAAAAACTAGATGATCTGAAGGGCCAGATGAGAGGAGGTAGTCTGCCCATGTAAGGAGTAACATGTCATCAGGCAGACTGCAGCATATTTACCCCACACCACCAGTCAAGAAAGAGTCATGATAAAAGTTTTTCCAGTGTAACCCATCTACTTTGTTTTAAGACACTGTGACAACTCAAGACTTGATTGACCCAAATTTCACTTGTCACTGTTACCTAGTGTGGTATGAGGAACCCCAGAGACAACTATTTGGTGACTTAGAATATTATTGATATGCCTGCTTTGTGCTTTGCTACACTAGTATCTCTCCAACTGATTAGGTCTGGGGATTCATAGTACTTGTCTATTTGCTCCTCTTGAGACAAATGGTTTTCACACACAAATTATTATTATGTATCGTAATACCCCAGTTATCACAAAGGATGCATCCTGAAAGTCATTGCCAAAAACCAATTTGTGAATGTCGGGGTTATTTTCCTCACAAGAATCAATGTAATTAAGGAAGTGGTTCTTCACATATTTGGATATGTATCCTCTGATTTAGTCTCCTTGTCTACAATATTCTGCTTTAATGATGATGATGATGATGATGATGTATTAAAACTACCCCCCCCCCCCTCCTATTTATGATGCAAACAATCTGTGTGAATGATAGTCAGGCCAACACAGACACATGGCCGTGATGGTGTAGCTCAACGATTATATTATCGGTCAGTATCTGGTGGTGTTACTTTTTTCCCTCGACAGGACGACTTTTAACAGAACTCTTGAACAGTTAATTGGTTAATTGATGGACTTAAAGAAAAAAAAAGTGAATAGAACCCAGTAATGAGTCACCTAGGAAATTAAATGTTAATCTTTTTAAAAAGGTTTAGAGAAAATTCTGGGGGTGAGTTGTGTGTTGTTAACTTAATTACTTTAATGATGGAAAAATATAAAGTAAAAGTTTTGTTGTTTCAGTTCCTCCAGATATTCTTTCATCAGAAGCTAACGTTGGAGTCGAGGATAATTCAGTGACACAAACACATCAGTATCAGGTAAGTTTGGGAGCTTTTAGAAAATTACTTTGTCAGCCATCTAAAGTAAACCTAAGTATCTTAATACCAAATTCTCTTCTAGGAGATAAAGGAGAAATTTACAGCCCTTGTTAACCTTAAAATATCTCGTCTCTTTCTAGCTTGAGTTGCAGAATGATGCTGCCCTGCCTCATCTAGAAGAAACGTTACTCTCCAGTGAAGGAATGGACGGTGGAAAAGACGAGGGGTTAATGCAACGTTCATTTGGTCAAGGCCGAGCGCTAAAGAAACTTCTTGGTTCGACTTCAAGTAGACATTCAGCTCCTCAGTCTTCAGATGTATGTGATAATCCTTTGAATTCCAGGTTAGTAGTAGACTTAATGTCATCCTTTTCCTGATTTATTATCTCCTTCCCCTTGTGGATTAGCTCGCTCTCTGAAGCCTCACAAATACACTCTAACCATCATATTAGTACAACCTTGATATTCATTCTTTAGACAAAATGTTTCATTCCCTGAATCACATCAGACTGTATACAGTTTTTTATTTATTTATTTTTTTTTTTTTCACTTACAAGCCCATTCCTACTATAGTGTAGGGTTGACAGAACCAGGAGTAGGATGGGCTCTCCCTTCACTTAATCTCACCTGATCTCTCTTGTGCTGTCGTGTTTTCCTCTGCTTCATTGTCAGTTGTCACAGGACTTTCAGACCGAGAGGAAGGGCTTATGGAAACTCGTCGTGTAAAAGTGACATATATTACACTACAGTATTTACATTCACAGAGCAAGTTATTATGTCCAAATATCTCCAATTACTTCACACACAACTCGGCGGCTATCTTGTACCCCGGGTCGGTGTGTGTGTGTATAAGGCCCAGAGTTCCTGGTTCTCCGTGCTGTCCAGTTCAGTCGGTGGCTCTCGCTGACCGTCACCACCACCACACAAATATGGCTCGGTTGCCAACTAATCCTAATACAATACATCAAATATTTTACACCTTATACCCTACAAAACAGAATATGGCTCTTACATAATGTCTTAACAACCAAAACTAAATAACAATGATATAAAGAAACATCGTAAATCAAAACATTTGAGAATTTATATAAGCATACAGGCCGTGAACCACCCTCCCTGACATTGGTCGCTCTCCGGTGTCACCTAACTAGCCAATCCTAGAGAGCGGTGTGGGCCGACATGTGACACCCCAGTCATTCGTCTGTTGTATTTCAGTCTCTTGTTTCTCGCTTAATTAACACAGTTGGATGGATAATGTGCACAAGCTTCTCACTCTATATAATCTGTATTTAACAACATTGTTCTTTTCTCTATTAAAAATTTCTCCAATGTGGGTATTACGGATGTGGTATTATAAACATTCTATTTTGTGAACCATGTGCATGACTCTTATCACACCAATAAATTTGACAATGTTTATGCATAAAAATCTGTTTTAAAATAAAGTGATTCACAGGAGTTGAAATTTGATTTAAGGATATACGTACAGTGAACCCTCGCCCAACGTGGGAGTTAGGTTCCTTGAAAACTGCGTGTTGGACAAAATCGCGTTTGGGAAACTTAACTTAGCTTATGGGAAAAATGGGATGGTGGGATCGTGGCCAAGTAAGGGCTTTTACCACGTGAAATGCATACCTTTTAAACATTTAAGTAATGCACAAATATGATAATAATAGAACTAATATACCATAAAAATTGAATCATATTCATTGTAGAATCACATTATTGTATTCATGGTTAGATGATTGTAATGTAACTATGATGATGATAATATAGTATACGGTAGGGTCGGGATATATCGTGAGATAGGGTCCAAGGATGTGTGCTATGTACTAAATCGCTATACAGTGAACCCTCACTTTACGCTGTCAATTGAACCCACGGCGGCCCGCGTAAAGTGAACAACATAACATATGGGATTAATTGAAATAGAGACCGGGCCGACTCGTTAAGTGGGACCGCGTAAAGCGAGGGTTGGCTGTATACTGTATAATTACATGTAGTCAATGGGGAAAACAGGGTTAGGTTCTGGAGGTCAATATAACTGACTAAACTTGACTTGCCGAGTTTATTTTCTTAATAACTAAAGCACCAATGAACACTAGACTTGGGAACACCGCCCTAGGCCCCGTTGTGGGTCGATTACCTGTGCCCGGGTGGGTTATTCCCTAAAAAAAAAAAAAAAGGAACACCAGACTCAGCAGCTGACACACCATCCTGGGAACACCGGACTCGGCAGTAGACGCCACACTGCCACCCTCACTTGACAATCCCACACCTACATAAACGAACACCAAAAATATTAGTTACAGTATTAGATCTTTTCTCCATTAAGCTTTCCATTATCCTCAGTTCACTTTTCACGTCACCAGCAACCCATTTACACTCACCTTAGAAGTTGTAATCTGCAGCAGAGTTGGCTGCTGACTCATCGCTCGTGCCGCTCGACTCACAGCCAGCCTCCTTCTGCTTTCATTAAATACATCTTCTTTGGCATCTTTTACCAGTTTTTTCCTGTCTCATCACAATTCCACTTTTTTTCCAATCTATCTTTACTTTTTCCGCTGCAGCTGTGTCGGCCGATGCAGCTTCCCCCGACAGAGACATGCAGCATAATCTCAGCTCTCTTGATGAAGCAGTGAAGCCAGCCTTGGCGCGCTGTGAATTTACATTCACTTGCTGGCTTTCCAACTCTCTGAAGGAGAAGTGTCTGTACAGTATTTCCATTGCCTCATTCTTTATCATTGGACCCGATATAGCAACATTATTGCGTTGCATGTTTTTAAGAGCTGAATCAGAAAGACTGCGGACACGCGTGAATGCGTGAGTGAGCAGCCACGGTGGTGCCCCTATTGAGCAAATAACACATTTCTTTACCATGGCGTTACGTTTGAAATATTTCCTGCCCTATTTCCCTCACAAAAAGATTTTTTGCAATATATTGGAAAACGTCGATAATTTTGGTAGTTGCTAGATAAAAAAAATCATTATAAAATATGGCTATATATCCCAACCCTACTGTATGTTGTGAAGCCTTCTGGTGATGGTGGTTGATGAATAAGACTTCGACGATGATGAAATTGGGATGATTTTTATTTCTTAAGTCTATGAATCATCGGGTTCATTGGCTTCAGATTGGCAGATGATGTTCATGGTTGGGGTGACCGTTGCTACACACGCACCAACTGTTCTAAAGTCTTTATTCTCTCGGCTAATGTGTCATCACTTTTATTTTCTCGGCTAATGTCATCACTTTTATACTTTTCATGGGTGTATTACCACCTCTAGCATCACCTCTGTGTTTGGGGGCCATACTGTAAGGGCAAACACACAAAGCAATGCAAAAAATACCAAAAGTTCCAAAACCGCTAGAGTACGATGTTGACAGTACTAGCACGTAAGCTATTCCGGCGGGCGTCTCCAACTGGAGCGTGGCCGAGGAGGAGGAAGGAAGGCGAAGGCGGAACTTTGTTAGCTCGCTTATATTCAAATTTTCCGTGTTGGTCAAGTTATTTGTTCACATATATTTAAACGCATACAGTAATATTTCCGTTAGCTGGAATCTCTCAAACCTGGATCTCTGATAACTAAGAATAAAAGTTTTCCGGTACTTGGAATATTCCAGGTATGGGAGGTATTTTTCTGGGTTTGAGAGATGAAATAATGTATCATTCTGGAACTTCTGAAAAAAAATTTTCATTACTCGGAAAATTACAGAAAATTTCAGGAATGAAGGATTTTTTTCCGGCTTTGAGAGAGTCGTCTGGTTACCCGGAAATCTCTCATTTCCAGAAGTGCTATGCACCAATTGTTCCGGCTAACGGAGATATCTTTGTGTATAGCCAAAATCGTATTGGACAAAAACGGCATTAAGTGAGGGTTCAGTGTATTGGAAATCTTTATGTTCTTCACCGTGTGACTTAATCAGTGAATTGTAAATTTATTGCAAGGCAGAAAAGTAGCCCTTTATATTGAACTTTATTATTAGTTAGGGTTGAAGGAAGATGTTTTCTTGTAGTACAAGATTTGAAAAGAATATTAATCGATAGGTTATGGATTGAAATGACATACATGAGAAAGACAAGGTGAAACAGGAGTTGATTGCTTAGAAAAGGTTATTATGAGAAATGAAAGTTAGGAGAAATACATAAAATGTTTTGAGATACTCTGTATAAATAAACTGTGTTTTTTCTTGCAGAATAGCAGACCATGTGTCAAGTGAGTCCACTAATTCTAGTCTTTCATTCGAGGCAACCACTCAACCTACTGTAGTGGAGACTAAACATTGTGGTCATTCTTCATCATCTTTGTTTGAATTGGAAGAAATTCCTGCTCCTGTGAAATTACTCGAAAGCAAACTCATGGCGTCACGGTTGGTTCAAGCTCCACTCACTGAAGACGGAACCTCTGATAATGAAAGATATCTGAAGTGCTCATCAGTGACAGACAAGATGGATACTAGAAGCACCAGAGAGGAGGCAGCTTCTCTATACACAAGAAATTACACTGATGTGTGTCTTAACAGTTCCTTTGTAGGGTCAACTTCTCGATCTCAAGAACTAAAAGGAGGAATTGGTCAAAGGATTATTAAGAAAAGGGAGGATTCATCTGAAACTTCTCCCATTCTCCCTTCTTGTCAAGATAAGGAAGGCTGGAACTTGAGTCAAGTAGCTGATATTGTTGACCAACAGGATAAAGGTTTGACAGCAACAAGAGAAGAGAGCCAACTAACTCCATCAAAAAATAGTAGGACAGTACTGAGGAAAAAGAGTGTGGACGACACACATTTAACTGAACCTTGTGAAAATAATACTTGCAATGGTATTCAAGGGAGAGAAGATACTGCAAAGGGTTGTGATAAGGTAAAACCTGAATGTTTCAGTAAAACAGATTTTCCCTTATGGGTGTCCTCTCTCTTGTTAGAAACTGTACAGGCTGTAGGTCACCCAAGACCTAATAACAGTTCAGACAAGTTAGACCCTGCAATGAAATCCTTAACTTCTGTCCACTTAAGCCAGAACACTGAAAACGGAGATAGAAATCACGATGCATTTAACAAAGATGAAGAAAACGGCCAATTATTTGGGAGAAAAAATATAATCAACCATCTGGAATTGAGTACCTGTTTTATTTCTGATAGCCGGGATATTTGGTCCAGTGAGATGGTCTCTGACTTTAAGGAAGGGGAATTTGCACATGTATTCGCACAAAACCCCAATTCAGAAGCACTAAACATTGCTAAGCTGTTTCGAGTGTTTGTTGCCGGTGAGTCGCGCATTGCAGAAGAAGAAGTAATACTAAATGAGTATATGATTAGTTCCACTTTGAATAGTCATATTGTGAACGTCCTTAGTAATGTAGGCATGAAAGCCTCACGGCTACAGGCTTATGCTTGGCCAGCAATTACTCGTGGCAGTTCAACAATCATAGTAGGTGACAGATCCTGTGGGAAAACGGTAGGGTATGTTGTGCCACTGATTTCCACCATCTTAGATACATGGCGACACATCAGCCTTCGTCTTGTCCCTGGTATTGGGCCAGTCATGGTGGTAATATGTAGTAATTGGCGTAGTGCAAAATGTACTGCCGAGAGCATCGTTAGCCTGTTACCTGCTGATGTTACCTTCAAGGTGATGACAGCATGGGGTGGTTGTGGACATAAAGAAGCCAAAGATACAAAAATGCTTCTACACAAAGGGTGCGATATACTCGTCACCACACCCCCTTGCCTTGTAAGACTCCTTACATCTGTGTCTGTCACTAAAGGGGAAAGCCTTGGTCCAGAGGAAAAGGATATGCCTGCCACATCTCTAGCCAGGTGTTGCCACTTGGTTATTGATGATGCTCATATAAGTCTGAAATTATTTTCTGAAGAAATAAAGCAATTAATTATTTCATGGGGAGAGGTGAGGAAAGAGCAAGGCCGGAGTGACTTGAATCAGCAAATAGTATTGGTCAGTTCTAAGTGGACCAAATTATTTGACTCTTTGACTAGAACTTTATTGCCTCTTGTGGATCCTACAGTTATTGTTTCAGCACCTGGTGAGGCAGCCATTGGTGCAAGGGTGTTAAGCAAAGTACACCTGGTGCCAAGTGGGGATGCATCACTCATAAGAGCTGTTGAGCTTGTACAGAACTTGTATAGAAGACCCCAGAAAAATATAATCTTTGTGAGAGATGACATGACAGGGGACAAGATAAAAGCCTTGCTAGAAGCTGCTTCCATATATTCACTAATTGTCCCTAGCACCATTCTTTTCTGGAATTTAAGAAAGATAGTGTATACATGGCACAAAATGCAAGCTGTAACTTTGGTTGTGAGCAGAGGTGCAGAACTCCTTCTCCTGCAGCACGACCTTGCTGATGCTGATAACATCTTCCATACTTACATAGCTCAACCAGTTTCTAGCTTTACACTGAAGTACGCCTTTATGGTAGATAAATTTTCTCCCGACCTGAACCGGGAATCTCGGAATTGTGAATCACACGTGATAGTGTCAAAAGCAATGCTCCGCACGGTCCCTAATATCTTGACGGAACTGAAGAGGGTGTGTGGTCATATCGATGAGGAAGTTGCTGGTTCTGTGACAGAAGAGGGCAAACTCTGCAAAAACAAAGCACTCTGTTACTACCTCAAGGCATATGGTAGGTGTCCCATTGTCCCTTACTGTGGGTTTAGACACGAGGTAAAGATAACAGATATTCCACAAAGCTCAATAACAAGTGGGGAAGTTACCTTCGATGTTGTAAAGGTACTAAATGCCTCACGGTATTTAGTTCGTCTTACAGAATACCGTGACAAGGCAAGAACATGTAGGTTAGATATGAAAAACCACTATATATCTTTATTTCTAGATCTCCAACAACACTTTTCAGATCCTGCAAAACGTGAACCCCTAACATATGTTGAACCAGGCCTGCTTTGTGCTGTGGAAGATAAAGGCAGTTGGGCTCGTGCACAGATTATTAGTGTAAACTACTCAAATAACATTCCTATGATTGCTGTGTTTCTTGTGGATGAAGGAAAGGAACTAACTGTTGAGCTGAAAGCTGCTTGTTCTCTCCCGCCAAATTTTGCAGCTTTCCCAGAACTCATTGTTGAGGTTTATCTGTGCCATATTAAGCCATTGGATCATGACAAGGAGTGGACACTTGAAGCGTCCCAGTTTGTACACGAAGTCTTCACAAGTGGTAGCAAGAACAAGTTTGTTGGCCAAATTGTGTTGGCTCTTGGTCAGACAATCTGGCTAAGTCCAGTCAAAGAACTTGTGCAAGTAGGGAAGTTATTTGTGTCAAGAGGATCAATCAGAGGGAAACTAATTACTCATGGATATGGAATTGACAATCCTACTCATCTAAAAATATTAAAGCAACTCTGTACAAAGGCTGGCATTTCACTGCATGACCAAGATTTGTTGTATCAGAATGGTGAGAAAAGTGCTTTGAGTAAAACTTCTGGTAAAACACATCATACCCAATCAGAGACAGAGTTAATGAGCAAAAGCATAGAGCATAAAGACAACTTAGAATTAGAGATGCCAACTCATTGTGTAATAAAAGACAAATTGAGATGTGGCACAATAACTGATACCTGCCCTGAAGAAGACCAGAAGACCCACAAGTATCCTAGTGAAACATCAGCCATTATCTTGACACAGGAGGACCTACCACTTGCTGTAGATATAAAGGTGAAGATTGGTGAGGTTGTGTCACCTCATTGGTTCTTCCTTCTTCGAGATGACAAAATTGCAAGGTTAGAAAGGCATTGTACAGTATTTCCTGTTGATTTTGTTATTGGTACACATTGACATTAGAGTTTAATATAAAATAATACACTGAACCTATGCTAATTTGATATTCTGAGAATATCAAATATCTTCCTAATCTGAGAATGTTTTCCTAATCTGAGAATTCTCCTTGTAGCTTGAATAGTCTTGAGTCAGGACTGGAAGATTTTATCCCCAAACAAGAGTCCAGTTGTAAGGAAGGTGATGATGAAGACCTTCAGTTGGACAAGAACACTAACTTGCTGCCTTACCAGTATTGTGTTGCCAAGTTCTCAGATGACAGGTAGGGGGAATTTAGGTTTGCTTTGGTTTTTATGGCTGCTATTTTTCACCTTCAAGTACAGTACAGCCAACTCCCAAGTATTCACAGATCATGGATGGGCTAATACAGTATGCAAGTAATTGATCAAAGAAATTTATTGGGAAAACCCGCAACAGGCTGTGTTCTGGACTGGTCAGTTATAGTAAAAATGTTAATGAATTTATGAAATTATTTTATGCTAAATGTTATGGCATCAAAAAAATTGTGACCAAGTCCCAGGTTGATGAATCTGACTTTCTGCCTCATTTACACACAATTGCAGGGTCTCAATTGTTTCTCTTACTATTGACAACACAACATACATACTGTAAATTGTTTCTCACTACTGTTTTTTTTTAATTTATGGTCATTTATTATTATTATTACATTTTTGTTTTATTAACTTTTGTTAATCTTCATTTATTATTATTATTTTTTTTGCCCCTCGGCCCTGATGTGTGCCATTTACCTGTGTCCTGGTGGGCTACTGCCCGTTAAAAAAAATAAATACTGTATATATAGTATAGATTAATACTATAATATACAGTCTATGTACATTCTTACATAATAAGGCATCCACTAAGGTTAGAGTTTAAGACTAGGGTAAAAAAAAAATATACGAGGTTTGTCTGGAAATTATCCAGCCATTTACTATTAAAAAAAATATTGCTTACCTAGGACAATGGTGCCTTAGTCCCCTTCAAGGTACTCCCCTTGGGACCTCACACACTTCTCCCAGCATCCCTTCCACTTTTCAAAACAGTCTGCAAAGTACTATTTCAGGATCTTCATCAGCTGCCTCGTCGCATTCTCCTTAATCTCGTCCACGGTCTGAAATCTCCTCCCTTTCAATGGCGATTTTAGCTTTGAGAAAAGCCAGAAGTTGCAGGGAGCCAAATCTTGGCTGTTGGGGGGTTGAGAGACCTGGGTGATGCGATGCTTTGCCAAAAAACCCTGCACGAGACGTGAAGAATGGGCAGGCGTGTTGTCATGATGAAGCTGCCAGACACCACTTGCCCACAGCTGTGGTCGTTTTCTTCTTACCGCATCCCTCAGCCGGCGAAGAACTTCGATATAGTACTCCTTCGTTATTGTTTGGTCATTGTAAATGCGACGGTCACACAGCACCCACGCTCACTCAACGGCGTCTGCCGGGCATCCGAGTTGTCCCACGGGAGTGTGGCTGTTCACGCATGCGCAGTACGGTCCTCTCTGAGTGGCTGCCAAGTTACATCAAGGCCGCGCGACCAGTTCTCACAATATTCACAATGGCTGGATACTTTCCGGGCAGACCTCGTATATATAAAATAAAATAGACCGCTGTCATGTACAAATAGTGGTGGCATATCATCACTACCGGAGAGGTGAGTGATGGCTGGTTTGGTGGATGTGGCGAGAGAAGAGGAGGAAGTGTGTGGCAGTGGTGCATTATGGGAGGAGGGAGGAATCTACCAATCCAAGACAACTGCTATATTCTTGAGATAATTTTCATAACTTCATTTCCTTATTTTCAGTTCTCATTCAGTATGGGAACTCGTTATGAAATTAAAAAAACCCCAAGGAAAAATGACTACGCTACTTTTTTCTTTGTAATTTGGCACAATATCCCTCATCTTCATATTGTCCTGGGAGCAAGTTTGTGGTGTAAGGTAAACGGCTCTGTCTTGTGGGACTGATCATAACATATAAGAGGCTGCCACCACCACCATACTACTCATTGACACACACACACACACACACACACACACACACACACACACACACACACACACACACACACACACACACACACACACACACACACACACACACACACATACACACACACATTCTAACACCTCCACACTCACACCCCACCCCACCCCACCCCACCACCACCCCACCCCACCCCCACACCCCACCCCACACCCCACCCCACACCCCACCCCACCCCACCCCATCTTCCCCACCCCTACACCTCTACACTCTACCAAAGTAATATTGTACCTGGAGGTGAAGAGTAGAGGACCTGGAGATAAGCATTCTTGGTTGGAGGTGACTTTGAATAATTAAATGTATGTTACTTGTTTCAAATGAACTTGTCTTTTCATCTCTAATTTACAAGAACTTTTAAGGTAAAGTTTTTTCTCTAATATATTACCTTTGATATTGACACAGGTACTACCGGGCGCGGGTCATCTCCAACGAAAGGGATGGCGGGAAGAAAGTGTTTTTCGTGGATCACGGAGAAACTTTAGTGGTACCGAGTCATCAGGTAAATTGCACATTAGGCTGCCCGTCGTTGGAGCTCTTATTGATTAAATCTTCTTTGTGTGTGGCATTTAGATGGTAATGTATCAGTTCTCCGGTGGTTCAGCATGGTCCGGTGTAACCCCCATATGTCCCATAAATTACTCTTCATTTTCAGTTAGGTAAAAGATATGTCAGGGTAACACTCCCAAAGCTGGTAAGTTACTCAGATTTAGCCTTTCCGGGTATCTGTATGACCCGATATAAAACAATATTAAAATGGACATACAGTACTTCAGTTTTCAGCTGTACTGATTATCTTGTTTAGTCATATATCCTGGCTTGGTACAGTACAGTATAATTATTTAAGGTGTTCAACTGAGTGAATGTTAAATATATATATACTGTATATGAAAAAGGTTGGATGATATGTCCAGCAAAAGTTTAATTTTGGTTCCATAAACAACACTTATGAGATTATGGCAGTTGATACAACAAGGTTAGTGTCAGAATATTTAACACCATCTTTATGTTACATGGCCTATATAAGAAATACTGCAGTACATCAACTCACATTCAACTGGTATTATAGTGTTAAGACATCTTTGTGGGTCATGAAGTTATCTGCAGGAACGTACCTTACTTCCTATCTCTCAATGTCTGGTTTAGTTTTATTGTCTCTTCAGTACCTACAGTGTATGATTTCCCTATATTGAATATTTTCAATCATGTTGATTTCATCTTATAGGAATACCACAGGGCATTTTTTTTTTTACGGGAATTAGCCCACCCGGGCACAGGTCAAACGACCCACAACGGAGCCTGGGGGGGGCGAAAAAAAAAGAACGGAAAGAAATTGACAATATAGAAAAAATGGTCATACTGTATTAATCTACACCACGAAGATGCCGGAAAACCAGCTTTTTAAAGTGAGACAGATTGTAAGAGCATGGAAACACAGAAGAAGGCAGAGCATTCCACAGTTTGGCTGTGTGAGGAAAGAAGGAGGTACTATAACGGGTTATTCTTGTGTGACCGACATCCACAGAGAAATGGTGGGCACCGCGGGCAAGACGTGTGTTACGAACCCACGGCCTTGCCGGCGGTACACAGGATGCCAAATCCACTGAACATTGCCCGTTAAAGTACCTGTAAAAGAGAGAGAGTGAAGCAACATTGCGGCGAAGAGAAAGGGAAGAAAGATTATAAACTAAAGGAGGAGAGTTAATAAGACGAAATGCCTTTGATTCCATCCTATCTAATAGTTGGACAGAAGAAGAGCCACCCCAGATATGAGAGCAGTACTCCAAGTTAGGACAAATGAATCCCTTATATACTTGGAGCAACTGCTCAGGAGTGAAGTAGCTGCGGCATCTGTACAGCATTCCCAACTTTCGGGAGGCAGCTAAGCTTTTCTACAACTAAATGTGTAAATAATTGTGTGACTAGACACAACTTGGTTTGTATTGTTGACTTTATCTTTTATATGAACTTCAAACACTGTACAGTACCAGTTTCCTTTTAATCATCAGACCCACATCTGTTTCCTTCTATGTTATTATTTAGCTTTATTCACTCACTATGTCTTGTTACTGATCTGCCAGTAGTCATCATTTTACATATATGTCTAAATTGAAAAGTCATTGATTTTTAGTGAAAAAAAATAGAAAGATAGATAAATATTTTACAGGGATCAGCTGTGTATAAATGTATGTACAGTACAATATTATTCATTATCCTTGTATTGTACCACAGGTTCATGCTAGTCCTCGGTCCTTGGTGGAAAAGCTTCCTGCCCAGGCAGTCCTGTGTTCTCTGGCACACATCACCATCCCCAGTCACCTGCAAGAGAAGGCCATCACAGTTTTTTGGGAGTTGTGTCATAGTGCTGACACCTGGACTGCTAAGGTAGTTTATTGAATAATTTTTATAAGGTAAATAGACTAGTACTTGGTTATTTAAGGTCTATCTGTATTTTTAACTAAAAATAAATTCAGATACCTTAATATACTTGGCACCATATGCAGGGTATTTACAAATTTTGTAGCTAGTTTATTGTGGATTCTACTACATAATTTTTTATTTTTTTATTTTTTATTTATTAATTGATTGATTGATTGATTTTTTAATAATGATGCCTCCAATGAGTCAAGTTTATTAACAAGGTCACAATTCTCAATATATAATAAAGCCTCTATTGTTTGCACATCTTTAGGTCTGACCTTTTGGTGAACCTGTCAGTTATGTAAACTATAGTGTGACTGACATACAGTATTATGATTACTCCACAAATATAATTGATTACGATTGCATAAAAAACTGTAATCATGGTTCCCGCGATTCCAAATTAGGTAAACAAAAGAAAACAACATATAATCACTGTCATGACTGGTGTGTAATGTTGGTAACTTGTTCCACTCATCCACTACTCTATTTCCAAGGCATTGTTTGGCTAAATCTACATTTGCGTTATTAAAAACCATTGCTATGAATTCACTACTGGTTGGATAGTTTAAGTACATTTGTTATATCACCTTTGTGTAGCCCCGACTTCCATTTATACACACCCATCCTATCGCCCCCTCACTCTACGTCTCTCGAGGGAGTGCAAATTCAGATGCTTTAATCTGTCTGTGCTCAAGGTTCCTAATGCATAGAATTAGCCTTGTCAGCCTCCTCTGAATGCTATCTAGGGGATCAATATCCAATATGTAGTACGGTGATCAAAGTTTAAGGGTAACCTCGCTAGTTTAGTAACTAACACTCTTTTGTATGAACCCAGGTACTGTACAGGTATCCTTCGCGATATGAACGTTTATTCTCTATACCTGTACCTTGTTAGCCTTTTTCTCGAGCATTTCTATCTTGGGTTCCTACTTATCATTACCCCTAAATCTTTCTCACTGTCGGATTTCTCTGTAGCAGCATTGTTTATCTGATAACAGGTTCCCAATGTAGTTTCCTATGCTATATATTTTACATTTTCCACATTAAATTTCATCTGCCATTTTTCAGACCATGAGAAAAGTTTGTTTGGATCTTCCTGTAATTTTTTGGAGTCCTCGTCAGATTTAATTACTCACTCTGTTTATTGTTGTCAGCAAATTTTCTTCTGTTGTTGTTTACACCTATATACTTTATATTATATATAGTATACCAATATTTTTTTTATAAATTCTATGTCGCCCATATATTGTACTAATGTACAGTATTTATATAAATTCAGAACATCATAAATTTCTGTTACATGCTGCTGAGTAAGACTAATTTTCCAGTGTCATGGGAACTACTAAGCCAACAGTTGTCCAAACATCACCAGGGCACCTCCCACTCTTCACATTGTTGGCCAATAATATAACTCAGGTAATGGGGTCGGGTGAAGGTGGGATTAGAGAAGCGCTAAATCCTTTGGGTATTGGCTAACTCTGTGTCCCGTGGCGTGGGAGAGGTCCAGCCTCACCCACCTTTGTACTCCACAGTGTCAGTTTAATGTTGTGATCACAGAATGTGATCCTGAGTGTGATTCCATTTGTCTTGAAAATTATTACCATTCCTTGGTTTTCCAAGATGATGGAATCAATTATGATTACGATTCTTTAAAAGTGAAATCAATTCCAATGATTATGATTCTTGATTATAATTACTACATGTCTCTACTCTACTCATCAAGAGATAAACTACACATACACCCTCCATTTAGCCAGGGATGTAATTACTTCAGTCAATCAATCCATTAGCCTTGAGTTAACATCTATTATTACACTTTTTTGTTATCTCATACTGTTACTACACAAGATCCATGACATTAGTTGGATATTTGAGCAGTGAGAAACCTTTTTCAGTAATCATTTTTTTTATGTATTCGCTCTTTATTGTGACATTTATTGAGAATCAATCGACAGCTGCAACTTTCCCCAATATTTCTTCCCCAGTGTTTTCTATTCAGTTGGCTTTCTTTTCACATCACTGTCATCTGGAGGATGTTTGGGTGCCTCCTCCCTCTCAGTTGAATATTTATGTCTTAACTTATGGATCAGATCACTGGTGGAACATCCTCTGTACATTATCATTGCATTACAATTTTTACATTTTGATGATATCAGCCTTATAACTTTTTCAAAATACTACCATACAAATGATTTATTATTTCTTAGTGAATCAGCAATAGTTCATACTCTGTGTTATTTAAATTTTGTAACTTAACTGCAAGTTACAACTATCAGAAACAAAAGAATAATATATAACCATATGTAATACAGTAACTTGCTAAAGGAAACTTGTATAGATATTAGAAGTTATGAATACATGGTCAATTTACCATGTGGGATCCCAGTTGAGAAGCCATAGTGGAAACAACACAAGAAGATCTCATCCATCCATGCATTACTGTGTCCATTATATTCCTTTGGCAAATTCTTAACATTTTTAAATGCTCAGGAATTTTTATATTTTCCAATAACAAGAAATTTACCCTGGTGAGTTCCAGCACATGTGAGTGTGGTAAATCGTCTTTATTCTTCTTAAACCCTGCAGCACCAGCTTCAGTAATCCAGCAAGTGTTGACTCTGGCAGACACTTGTACAGTAAACCAGTTTTCTCTGGTGACTGAAGTGTAGGTGAAACATACAATATTAGTAAGTTTATTGCTTAGACTCACTGAGTAGTTTGAGTGTGTGAGCCAGATATATTTATTGATATTGTGGGTACATTGGTGTGACTTATTTTCGTATATTACAGGCAGTAGAGATTCAAGAGACGGCAGATGGGCAGATATACAGTGTAGAGTTGACTGGTATTTCATGCAACCCACCCAAGGAAATGTGGAGAGAACTTGTTGAGGCAGGAGTTGCTGTTGGTACCAATAAGGTGCAGTAATTTAATATTTGGTTTATATGTTTTGGGTTTTACCTGCTCCAAAAATTATGACTTTATTTAAAACTTCTGATTAATTGGGAATGGTTAACATACTATCATATTTGTGCCCTGTTATGTATGTGGAAGGACCATACAGTGTTACCCTTGTCCCTGTACAGTATATATGTACGGTTACAAACAAAAGATCACTCCCTCTCTGGGCCTCCCAAACTGAAGCAGTATCAATCCCAATGAGATAAAACAGCCCACCCACATTAGGCAACAGTCAGGGTAAGCCGGTCTTAATATATCACATAGAGACCCAAGGTCACTTAGATGTTGTTCCCAGTTGAAATTATTAATAACAGTGTTATCATAAGCGAATGAAAGTAGCACAAGCTGTTTTGAGACCAAAAGGCATTACTGTAAACTGCATTGAACCTCTACTGTATGGAGTGGTAAAAGCTGTGCTCTGTAGACTGTTCAGTGAAAGGAATATGCCGATAGCTCATACATAAGTCAATTTCTGTAAAATAAACATCATTTACAAAGATTCATCTAGAGTGGGTATTGGTGCAGCATCAAAGATTGTCACATGGAAAGCATTTGAAGTTTTTCCAGGCATATGTTCTGAGAGAATTAATTTAATCTGAGTAATTTGATCACCAGAAAAAGTACTTTTGATGTTCTGGACCACAAGGATAATCTGTCAGTCACGTTAATATCTGATGAGCCAGGTACAGCCACAATCCAACATTTGTATATATCCTGGTTTTGTTGTAGCTGGGTGACCTAACACTGCCCCCTCCCATGATAGTTTAGTGAGGTGTCAGGTGGTGCCAGATGGGTGTTGTTTTTTATAATAAACACTTGAGGAAGATGTAGTCAGTACTGGTGACCCCTAGGGTTCTTGTCTGCATTATTTTGTTGTATTAACGTTGGTAAAATGACTGAAAACCCATTTCTGTGTTTATACAGATTAAGTATTTTCTATGTTTACCCTATAGTACTGTACACTGTAGAGGTGTCGACCGTTATATGATGGATCTATAGTGTATTCTACAGATTGATCAATTTTATGATGTTGAAAAATTAACACCATTTACTGCTGTGCAATGGCTAAGATCAGTTTTACGATGGTAGCGGTCTCCAATGTTTGTTTACAAAACCATATAAATGCTAACAAAATAATTTTATAAGATATTTTTATTAATTTCTTTCTCTATACTATTGTGTATTGTATTATGAATTTATGTGTGACAATGGCATGTATATAAAGGCAGCTGTTGACTGTTAAATGATTCTGCTTGCTGAGAGACATTCAGTGAAATTCTTAATATGGTACACTTGTCAAAGTACAGTACAGTACATTATAATTTACAACTTGTATGTGTTCACATATTCTTATTAAATCACACACACACACACACACACACACACACACACACACACACACACACACACACACACACACACACAGTATGTTTCCTGCATTTTCACTATGAAAAAGTTATGTGTAATAACCTTGGCAACCCCCAGCTGCCACTTGTAGTAACAGCTGGGGGTTGCAACTTACTACTGTACACATACATGTTTTTATGACTTATCTAGACATTATTTAATCATTATAGCAGCAGGATATAAAACTTGTTTGGGCTCCTCAGGGCCAGAACCTATTTTCCCCCATAAGTTATTAATATCGATAAACGATCAATCACCAATCGATGGCTTTTTTGAGGTCCCTAACCCCATCATATAATGGTCAACACCTGTGTAGAGACAATCTCATTTCTCTGGTCAATTAACCAGTTATACAGTATAAGTTTTGTATTGGTGATAGTATCAGTAAAATCATTCATTATGTTATTATTTAAATGACAGGGTGAAAATTCTTTAAAAGTAATTGTCATGAAATCATTGAAGAGGACAACATTTTATTCACCTTATGGAGTGCCTGTAGTCTTCTCAGGAAACTCATTACATATATATTGTATTTATTTGTTGAATAAGTTGACAATCTCTTACAGTTCATGATAAGAGGCTGTTGTAGTAAGGAGCATATAGTCACACTGTACTGGTGAATGAACAAAACAGACAGTAATCAATATTTAGCTCAGTATATGGAGTATTATGTTTGTGATACCGGCATAGAAGAGTCATTTCTGCTTTGATTTCACATAAAGGTATTGAATAAATTTTTTTTTTTTTTTTAATTGAACTTTATGAATAGTAACCCCAAAATGGTTGTCACAGCAGGTGGAAGAGACTAAGGATAAGAAGCATGAGTCATTGGACACTATCAACACAGCGTTCATAGAGGGCAAGGAAGCTGCTGATTTCCTCCTTAGCATCCCCTCCATCAGGGTGAGTCTTGATTATGAAGTGTATAGTACAGTCAGCTCTTGCTTATACATCCTCCAGTCCCAGACAGTCAGCTCTTACTTGTAGATACTCAAGTCCCAGACAGTCAGCTCTTACTTGTAGATACTCAAGTCCCAGACAGTCAGCTCTTACTTGTAGATACTCAATTCCTGGACCCAATTATACAAGGTGACTCAGGCAAGTCACTTACTTAAAAATAAAGTAATAATCACTCAGGCTGACAGAAACCAATTATTGTGTTGCTGCACAATATATATGTTAGCACAGCAGCTGCCTAGAACATAAAACACAGCATAAAAGATTTACTCTGACCATAGGGAGAAGCACTGGGCTGTATACTAACTATCCAAAGTTTGCATCCAGGTCCTCAGTGAAGCCGGGGATCCAGAAGGGCCCGGTGACCCCTCCATGATAGGTAGAGTGGTAGTTGAGACGGCGGGAGCAGCGGTGGTTCACGTCCACGACCGGGATTATTGTATGTTGTTAAGTCCGTGTTTGTTGCTTTATTATGAGTGATACCGTGATGCAGAATAATTACATAACTATTGTGTCATGAGTCGGACTAAACAAAGTGAGTCATTCAAGACCTAAAGTAAATGAGGTACATTTAAAGTGCACTATACCCTCGTTAGTTTGACCAAAAAAGTGGCTTGGGTAACTCAATTTGCCGAAAAATCCTAATTAACCGAGTTCAGAATATTTTTACATTCGACATTTCCCAAATTTTGTTGTTCAATTATTCATTATTTTCTGTTCAGTTTTTGCACCTTATTCGGATCATTCTGAAGATTGTTCCTTATTATATCAACCAACAAACATACTCAGTTGCCTTGCCTTGGCTGCCATACTTTTTACTTTTATCCTCTTCACCACTGATCGGCTCGTTAGCCGCTTGGGCGATCGGTCACGTCTCTGTTACGCACTGTTGGCAAGTACTGGCCATGCACCGGCTCCTGAATGTACCTGAACCTGCTCCAGTGTTGGTCAAGTCTGGTCTTGAAGCAGCTCACACTCGGTGCCGTCATACTGTACTGTGCAAACAGGCAGGCAGAACCTTTTTTTTTTTTTTTTTTTTAACTGGAGATTAAAGTCACCTGGGCACAGGTCATTGACCCACATCAGGCCTGGAGAGGCAAAAATATAATAATAATTACGATAATAATAATAAATACAAAATTATAATAAAAATATAATAATAATAAAGAGCCATAAAAAAAAAAAAGATCAATAGTGAGAAATGATATATGTATGTTGTGTTGTTAGAGAAACAATTGAGACCCTGCAGTTGTGTGTAAGTGAGGCAGAAAGACAGCCCATCAACCTGGACTTGGTCACATATGGCAGCAGGGTCTACCAGTAGACAACACATTATGCTTCCAATATCTTCCCAGTACCTCCCTGTTTGGTAGCTGCCTACTACTACTTTGGTGACTCAGAAGGATGCAGAGGAAAGGTTATCTTACTGTACATGGTAAGAAACTGTGAGTCCATTATTGAATGGAGTAGAGGGGGCGACTTATAATGGAGGTGGAGGTGAGGAGTGAGGTTGAGATAAGGAGTGGGGGGGATGTACTGGTTGCTCATGGCAACCACTTAGCTGCAATTTTTGCAGCAAGCAATGATCACTATGTCCTCTAGTGTTAACCTATTAATTTATTTTTCAGGTACAAATAGAGAGAGATAAAAAGGAGTTTAATGAACAGATCTCTAAGACGACAAAGGGAAAGATCAATGGTGATAAAGCAACAAATGATGATGTAAGTAGAAGAGACAGCAGTGAGGCTCCTGAGAGAGAAAAGAATAGTCCTACAGTAGCAGAGAAGAATATTGACTCTAAAGTATCTTGTAGCTCAGTGGTGGAGGCTCGTGATACTAACAAGGTGCACCAGGAGAGGACAAATAATGCTTATGTGCCACATAGAAATCGAAAAGCATTTGAACAAACATCAGCTGTTTTTTATGAGAAATGCCTTCTTGTGCCTCCTCTGCAAGCTGTGGAAAATGTTTCCTCTAAACTGTATCCAGAAACATCTTGGAATCAGAACGAAGAATCTGTCTTTGTGAATATTCATCTCATGGGGGTGGAGATATACAAGTGTCGTTTTGGATCATCTCATTTAACATTTATGTAAGTTTCCAAGTTATCTATGCTTTGTCATGTGTAGTTTAAAACATTTCATGCTCAGTCACAACTCATTTTCCCTTGGTGCATCGTAACTCACTGATGGGTAAGGCTTTGAAGTAGAGGGAAAATATGGGGGTAAAATACTAAAAAAAAACATTAAACAAACCTTTAAAATCCTTATCTAACCTTTCCTGACCTGTAAAAAGGTTAAGAATCACTTTCCAGTTTATGGATCCTTCCTCGTCTGAACACCGAAAACAACACCACCATCACATACTGAACACCAAAAACATGAATAAGGTTAAGCTGTTTATAGTTTAGAATTTTCACAGGTTAGGTAAGATTTTCAAAAGTTTGTTTGTGGTTATTTTTAGTATTATGCCCAACATTTTCCCTCTACTTCAAAGCCAGGTCCACTATGAACAACCAATATTGATGGTAAGTAAGGGGAGGGGGTGGCATATTTCCACACTGGCTCTTTTGTGACCAAACTGAAGGTCCAGATTCGCTTGATGCAACATAAAATACACTTGGAAAACTTTTTTTTGTTAGTAATTTCCATGTGGTCAACCGAAAACCAATCTTTATCTTTTTCTTTAACATCTGAGAATCAAGTTTTATATTTAAACATGAAAGGCATAAGAATGGCTTTCCCTCACGTCTGCCACAAAATGTTGCTACATTTCAAGTTTCATTTCTCATACATTTGACACCTCATTGGTTGAGATCATCTCTTTTTGCTTATCATCATCTTACCAGCTGCCTCTTCCAAGTTATTAGGTGACTTTTTACCAGAAATAATTTGCTGTCGTCTTTCCAGGTCTAGATTTATCTATAGGTGATCCAGTGAGCAACCAAAATACAAAAGATTCCTTGAAATATCTGAGGACTAATGGTGAAGCACTGGAGTGATTATTACAGAGAACCCAAGTATTTACTCATTGGTTATACAGACTGATCACTTATACTGTACCTGTATCCTTGTTGTAAAATGTGGGATTAAAAAAAAATCTTGGTAGGCTGACTGACTATGAACAATACTCATTCATATATTGTACCATTAGTCATCATATGTTTAATCATATATCAAGTAAATACATCAACAATCATCCATTATGAATCATAAATACAGTAACCCACTAACTCTGCAGCAGAACATAATAGGTATGTTACTTGTGCAAGATGTCCTACTGATGGGGCACTATTTTTATTGTTGCCAGAGGCTCCTTTTACCTCCAGTAATATATGCGTGCGATCTTGCTTCAGTGGCTCAAGCAGTACTGCCATGGCTGCACCCCAGAGTTCCCACACATTGAGGGGGGGAGGCTGCTCTTCTGCCAGTCGCATTGAATGTTTTAATGTTGATTGACTCAATTTAAGTGTTTACACAAAGGACTCACAATGAGGGACTTGGCCATTAATGCGAGGCATTCCTGCCCTTATAGTTGCCTCATAGGATGTGCAGGAAATATGTTGGTTTTACTCTTCAAGACTTAATTAATCAAGTGGAAGGTTCAAGAGTATTAGGTTGGTCACACACATAACATGAGTTAACTCTGTCATGAAGGATTTGTCTGTTGAGAATATTAGAAATAAGAAGAGATTGGACATAATTATATACTATACTGGAAAATGAATGGTCTGTAAAATTGGAACAGTGAATGGAGATGAATTTTTTTTGTAAAGTGAATACTGTAGTTGTGATGCTACTATTGAGGAAAGATCAAATTTTTTTCATTTATTCTTCTCAACAAACATAATTTTAGGATAAATTGACTTCTTTAGGATTTTTTATGAGGTTTGGTGTCATGGAGTGATATAAGAATGATAGAAGCAGTCAAGTGTTCATGCTGTGCCACCAGTATGGAAGGGGCATACAGTGTTACCCTTGTCAGTCTGTACAAGCTGACTCAAACAATATTAGCCTTGTAGATGAGAAAAATTGTCGTACATATGATCTGTGCCTTTTGCTTATTTCAGGGAGTTAGCCATTGTGATTGATGCAGAAGGCAGAGCATCTGTTAATTGTGAACACAATTTCTGGTTTAAAGTAGCTCTGCAGCCAATCCATTTAATAATGCAGTTGCCATTTAGCAGAAAAAGGCTTGAAAAATTAAAAACAAAAAATTATGAATGAATTTATAGGATGAAATATATCTATCATAGTTTGAAGAACATAAGTGTATTAGCGCCCCCCCCAAAACTCCCAGGTTGGGTGTGTTCGCTCTGCTTGCCGTGCTCCCCAACGCAAAACTTCTTGGACCTCTCTACCCCTTTTGATATTCCTGGATTCGCCCCTACTACAGTATATTTATTTGTATGTTTTTGTTTTTTTTAACAAGTTATAATATATTAATACATTAGTTATGTTTTCTTACTCTCAGTTGGCTTGAGTTCTTTTATTTGTTTCAGGACCGTAAAAGAAGATAGGTTTTATATCATAGATGAAACTCTACAAGGAAACATAGATCCTGATAAGTCAACAATACAAATAAGGGGAGTATGTGTTTCCGTCACCCTCTGGAAGGCTGAAAAGGGTAAATATGTGAACAGTTTCTGTCTTTGCCTCCATTATTGATTACAACAACCCAGATAGACACTGTATCAGCCATTGTGGTGACTGAGCATCATCCAACACCATCATTGCTTCAGATTAATGTTAGAGAAGGTAAAATTAATAATCTCTTCAATATATCTGCCCAATGTGTTATGAAATTTCTGCTTAGATCCATCTGGTACACTCACACATACCTCAAGTAACAACATACATCTTGCATATATATTCCCTTAAACTTTTCTTTTATTTTCCTTTGGTTACACATTGATCCTTCATTTATTCACTTTTGACCACATTAAAGACTGTTTTAATTATTAACTTATATCCAGAGTATGCTCAGGTGAACATGGTAAGGGTGAAGTGTGAGGCTGTCCTCTCAAACAATTTTCCTGTACTCAGTCTCATGTTGTTTCGCCAGAGCCTGTGATGTAATCATAGGATGAATTGAAGGGGGGGGGGTAGGTCAGGAAGTGGTGGAAAGAGAATGAAACAGGTCTGATATTACTTTTATCCTCTTCACCACTGATCGGCTCGTTAGCTGCTTGCACGATCGGTCACGTCTCTGTCACGCTGTTGGCAAGTACTGGCTCTCTGTTTTGCACTGTTGGCAAGTACTGGTCATGTACTGGCTCTCTGTTATGTACTGTTGGCAAGTACTGGTCATGTACTGGCTCTCTGTTATGTACTGTTGGCAAGTAGTGGCCATAGAAAGATCAGAAAAGTGGTGTTATCACAACCATTCACTGAGGTGTCCCCTTGCCAAAGACTACAATAATATGAAGCATGTATTAGGTGTATTACCAGCATGTATAAGTATATTTGGTTAAGCATAATTGAAATGTGACAAATGATATCATGTAGATAAGTTGTGATAGACAGAACAAAGTCTTTACCTATTTCAGAAACTCTGGTAAATCAGTACACAGTTTTTTTCAGACAGTGATAACATATTACCTCAGCCTCCATCTGTTCTCTCTAGATACTAACTTTTTTTTTCTTTGCCTTTCAACTGTGAACTGAGGGATGTGTGTGTGTGTGTGTCCTGGTAAAGCACAAAACCTCATTGCATTCGAGATTGTTAGATTTAATATTGTTTCACAGTCAATACAGTGAAGAGGATAAAAGTAAGTAGATGTGACTCATTTAAAAAATTTCTGAGTATGCTCAATAAATTGTTATTGATATGTGTAAATTATTAGGTTCTGAACCATGAAGTTTTTTTATAACATTGCTTTATGTACTTTTGTTGTAATTGTTATTATTATTAATTGTAGTAGTAATAGTACAGGCATCATCCCCCACGCGACGAGCATTCAAGTTACAGAAATTAAACCTTAAGAAACTCATAAATTAAGACCACCAAATTCAGAATACAGTACAAACAAGAATATTTACCCAAATGGAAATGAGGTTATTTTAATAATAAAATTCCACATAAAAAGTGGTAAATAAAAAACAATCATGGGAGAGGAACAAATATGTGGGTACCATAATGCTATTGTTCACCATCAAATATGCTCCTCTTGTGTGGGAGAGGAACAAATATGTGGGTACCATAATGCTATTGTTTACCATCAAATATGCTCCTCTTGTGTGGGAGAGGAACAAATATGTGGGTACCATAATGCTATTGTTCACCATCAAATATGCTCCTCTTGTGTGGGAGAGGAACAAATATGTGGGTACCATAATGCTATTGTTTACCATCAAATATGCTCCTCTTGTGTGGGAGAGGAACAAATATGTGGGTACCATAATGCTATTGTTCACCATCAAATATGCTCCTCTTGTGTACACGTGTTTAACTTACACTCTCTTGGGTCCTAAACTTTAATATTATTGCTTTAGGTTTATATTGTGTTACCAGTGTGTGGGTATCGAGGTTGATGTCACCATCCCTAGACACGAGGGTTATCTTGAAGACGATACAGAACCTCGAGTATTAACGCAGTACAGCAATGTTTACATAACCCCCGACCTGACAATTTGCCAACGTGTAAGAGCTCAAACACAATTGAAAGAGTTATGCAGTGAGCCATTAGCTATATGAAAATGCTTGGCTAAGGATCAGAAGAGACCAAGTAATGCATGCTGTACCTTTAATTAATACTACTAACTCAGAGAGAACAAAACCCAAAGGGAAACATCAGTGATTCTACTAACCTTTTTGATTCATAGTCTTCTGAGAGGACAATAATCAAAACCAGGCCAATCACACGTTGGTACACAAATGCCAGAAGTCTAGTTATTGAGACTGATGTATTGAATGCATATAACAACCAGAAATCATTGGAGTGAGTAAGTCAAGGAGCCGACAAGACGTATCATAGGTTGTATTTTATTACCAGGGTGTGCAACTGTATGTCAAACAGTACTGTAAGCTATTTTTAACACGCATACACAAAATACACACAAACTTTTCATTTACTCATTTACATTGTTCTAAAATTGACACATTATCATCAAAATTGGTAACAAGTTTCTCCAAGGAAATTAACTTTACAAAAACATTATGGGTAAGTTACCACTCTAAATGAGCATTGTTTGTACATTATAGATTGATAGATATCAAACTGTTAAGACTAAGATATTGTATTAAGTGTACACCTTTTCAGGAAAATGGGGCAGTCTGTTAGCAAACAGAAAACGGCGACATTGGTTAAGAGCAGAGTATCAACTACGTTTACCTTTCACTGATGACGATGATACACAGATTGAGGGTGAGAAGGGAGGTAAGGCTTCATCTTATATAGCTTCTTACTGTTTATTTTTTAATGAATGTGTTTTAAATATATATTTTATTGTATTTGATGATCTTGTTCATTTATTTCTGTTTTGCATAGATACAATATGTGTAAAAAGATTTTACTTTAGACATTAGTTTACAATATATCTACAAATTGATCTGAGTTGTTTTAACACAAGCAGACCCAGAGTTTCTCGACTCCAAGAAATATCAAGAGCAGTCATTTTGTCTGGTCATTGAAACTCTTATGGTTTGCCTTAGAAAACAAGGTGGATTGAATAAAAGGCATTCTTGTTGCTTTTAGTGAAGAAGAACATCACACTTCTTCAGGTACAAGTGTGGAATGTAAAGATATGTACTATTTAAATGGCTAGTTATATTATAGAGAACTATAGTAACTGGTATATATCCTTCAAAGGGAACAATTACATGTCTTCTTTAATATAGTCTGTTGGGTAATAACAAGCAGTGCAGCTTTCAATTAATGAATTCCATGCTTCTGATGCAAGAACAATTAATTTGGTTTGAAGTTACTCAGATCTTGTAGTCTTTTGGTCAAAACTGTCATAACTTCATCTGCCCTATTTCTTGTCTTTAACAGAAAAATGTACAGTATTGCTCTAAATATTAAACGACAAGTCCTGAAGTTTTGGGCTTCTTGTGCTGTATGTTCCACACCCACACAAAATTACTCTTAAAATCCTCAGGTTTATTCAGGGATATACACCAGTCATTATGCTTCAGCTGTCTGTGGGCCAATCACTATTCCTTTATTTTGTTTTTGTCGATAATTTACATGAAGTTCCTGGGACCACATGTACATTAGCTAACACAACTATCTGTGCTTACTTTGTGGGAAACAATATGAGACCATGGACGATAAATTTTGGTATATGAGGGCTGTCACTAGTCACACGTAAAACTTCGGAGCATATCGACCCCTACTTGTACAGATAGTTGTTTTAGTTACTATACAATGGCTCCAGAGTAAACAGGACTTACATTTATCTCACTAACTGCCACTGTACTGTATAGAAACAAGAGGGGGGGGGGGTACATTTTCACTTGTGTACAAAGAAATGTATATTCCTTTATGTGTTTGCCCTTAGAACAGTTATTTCTTTTACCTGTAGTATTGTCTGTGTGTGTGTGTGTGTGTGTATGTAGACTCACACACAAAAACAAAACACATACAATTAAATAATAATGGGAAAATCCTCTCACAAATAATCAAAAACAAATTTATTACAATTGTGACAGTCTACCCTCAAGTCCGTGCTCTATGAATAAAGTACTGTAATAGAGCACGGACTTGAGGGTATACTGTCACATTTGTAATAAATTTGTTTGATTATTTGTGAGAGGATTTTCCCATTATTATTTATTTTTATATGTTTTGCATTTGTGTGTACACACACACACACACACACACATATTTACAATACATGTAAAGGAAATTACTGTCTCTAGAACGAATGGCTCCCTGTCCCAGCCGAAAAAATTCCGGCAACTTTAAAACTACTCACAGACATTCTTGGGTACATCCAGTGTATCCTCCTCAAATAACCGAGAACCCCGAAGTAAATATCCACGAACTTGGGGGGAGCCCTGTATTATTGTTGTTGTTATTAAATTACTCACTGGTTGAGTGTGTAAGCATCTCTGTTTTTTACATGTCAAGTCTCCAGAACTGCAAAAGTTGTTGATTAATGAGTATGATCACTGGAGTAGGTTAATTGTTTCGTACCTGTTTACTGAAGACATAAGTGTCAGTAATGGACTAAACAAAGATCAACATTTTTCAGAAAATTTTAAGTGATTGCATTTAGTTATAAAAATTAGGTTTGATAGTATTCATGAGTGATAATGACTAAGGCATTATGCATTCGTAAAATATTAATGCTTTAGTAAGATGTCCAGTAACTCTCTGTCCTTGTATCAGATATAAATACTTTGTATGTTGCCATTGTCTTCCCAGGTGAATGGTGCACAGCAAAGTCAGATGCCCCTACAAAGGAGTATGGAGGACTGCCTGCAGGGATAAGTGAGAGTGATGTATCTGATGATGAAATATCAGAGGAAGATTTCATATCATGATGAACATTTAGGAAGAAAAAAGGAAAACTGAAGACTATAAAACTGTATTGATAGTAATATTTTAGTCTTTTTTTATGTCTTTGTCACTTACCTTACTAGCCAGTCAGGTGGTTGGTCAATGCTGTTGGTATTATGGGCTCTAGATCGTACCTTAACTTACACTAGGTCCTGTCAACTGTTTCTGGCAGGTAATTCCAAAAGTCCACAACTTCAGAGCAGTTAGAATTCATATTAAAAAACATCTTTACTGTGGATGGAAGTGTGTTGAGATGGAGTGAATAAGTAAAATATATGTTTAATAGATAACTGAAAAACTCTATTGTATTGTGTAATAAAATGTGGACGAGGAGCCACACAGCCAAGACACGGGTTGTCTGGGAAGTGGGGGCAGCTCTCCCAATAACAGATACTTTTGGTGCACTTCAATAATGATCTCAAGCTAGTTGGGAATTTATTGTTCACCTCAGTTTAATTAATTTAATTTAAGAGTACAGAGTATTGAGTTTTATTATAATTTAATTTTTATAATTTTTTGTTATACGCCAGTAATATCTCTGTTAGCTGGAATCCCTCAAACCTCGAATTCTCCAATAGCCGGAATTTAAATTTTCCGTAAAATTCTCTGAATTCCGTGTTTGGGAAAAAATTCCAAGTTTGAAAATCCGGTGCATTTTCTGAAAATTCCAAGAAAATTTTTGGAAAATCTGAACACATTTTTATTTCTGGGTCTGGTAATAAATTTCCAGGGCATTCCAAAAGATGGTCCAACACATACCAGACTTGTGGGTGGCCCAGCTGCTTGGTTCACTTGGTTCTGCTGCAATTGTAGAAGGTTGTTCCCTCGATATATTCTGTTCTTTTGTACACTTTGTGTTGTGCAGTGCTGTACATTGTACCAGAACAAAATCAGCCAAGAATTCAATGTTAAAGCAGTGTTATGAAAACAATTCGTTCTAGAAGGTCATTCATTAACTGAAACCATTGTTTCAATGGGATTTTGGGTAATTGGTTCCAGCTCACCGGAAATTACATACAAAGTAAAAATAACTGCAGTAAAGTACACTTACTTTGAGGTGTGTATGTAGAACGGTCCTGGTTGATGATGATGATGATGAGAATTAGAAGTGGGGGTGGAGGAGAAGGGAAAAGAGAAGGAAGTGGGGGTGGAAGAGAAATCACCCCGTGCTTGATGCCTTCATTTCACCCATAAAATTTTAAGTTCACTTGGTGTAATTCAAGATTATTTAAATCAACACTGCACTGCACTATATATTGTCAATATGTTAAATAAATTTCAGAATGATCAATAATTGTACTGTAAAAACGTAAAAATAGTTTATGTTCAAGAGAGTCTCAAGCAAGATGTTACCTCTACTGACCAGAGATACAAACTGACGCCTGTTTGGTGAGTTGAGTGGCTGTTTGGTGCACTAAAATCTAGTTTCCTGTACTTCAATTATGTTAGATAATTGTTAAAATAACTAAAAAAAATTATATAAAACTTGGAAAATTATTGAATAGTACAACCTCCTTGATATTTACTCAAATGGGAACGAATTTAAGCCCTAGAACCGGTTACTGTATTGGCCGACCAAATTTTTTTCGTTAACCGAATTGAATATTTGAAATTTATTTTATATATTGACAATATATAATGCAGTGCAGTGTTGATTTAAAGAAAATAATTTTGAATTACACCAAGAGAACTAAAATTTTATGGGTGAAATGGCACCATGGGGTGACTTCTCTTCCACCCCAATGCCTTCTCTTCTCCCTTCTCCTCCACCCCCATTCTAATTCCCATCATCATCATCATCCAGGAGCCTTCTACATACACACCTCAAGTAAGTGTACTTTTCTACCTTTTTTGTTGAATTTAGGCAATTTTCGGTGAGCCGGAACCAATTACCCAAAAACCCATTGAAACAATGGTTTCTGTTTACGAGTTTTTCGGTTAACGAGCAACCTTCTAGAACGAATTGTGCTCGTTAACCGAGGGACCACTGTATATTAAATGCGTCCTCCGAAAGCGTGAACTTGCTACCAGAGTTTTACAGTTAATTCAAGTATAAGATTTCTGTTAAACTTCCTACGTGCTCATGTTTGAAAAAATAAATGTATATAATTTAGCTAAATATCTCTCTCGTCAGAAACGGTCATCCCACCGATTATGAATAAACTCATTTAGAAATACATTATTACTTGAGTAATGAAATCAGACAGATTTGAAACAGCCAATCAGCTGTAACGCTTGAGGAGGGGGTTGGGCATCTCTTCTCAGCTGATAAATAAATGCACTATAGATATAGGGTGATTTAATAGAAGTCTTTAAGCACCCTAGGGAACATTATTCAATTGAATGTTCATACCTAGAACTACCAGTTGCCCACCCCACTATAGGTCACAGCCTCAGGTTAAAGAAGCCACGGGTTCAGAAAATTGCTAGGGCAAACTTTTTTGGGAGTGAGAGTCGTGAACTTTTGGAATAATGTGCCAGAGAGTGGTGACCAGACTTGACCAACACTGGCACAGGTACAGATACATTCTGGAGCCAGTTCGTGCCCAGTACCTGCCAATGGTGTGTAACAGAGACGTGACCAACCACCCAAGTGGCTAACGAACCAATCAGTGGTGAACAGGATAAAGAAAAGGAGATATGCATTACTCTTTATTTCCATCAAAATATGTATTTGGTTGCTTATGTTTACACATTTTTTAACTTTGTGTATTTGTATCATGAAAATAGTGATGCCATTAACCCTTTCACAATTCCCGCACTTGCTATTTTATTCTGGTTACCGCCAGACCATTTTGTTCAGCTTAGGTTGACCTGTAGCCAAAGGTTTAAGATTTTTTAATTGTTTATTTTTGTACAGCTTTGTGCTGATCTATTGGTAAGCATCAGAAAGGAGCAAACTTAATTTAATTTGTGTTACAATAAAGATATGACCAGTAACTTCTGCATTTGATTTTTACACAGTACAGTACTGTTTAGGAAATGGTTACAAACATGGGTCTGGTTTTTAATAAGTCTTTGCTAGAGCTAAGTAATGCTGTACATTACTCATTGGAGGTCAATTTGGTTATTCATTTAATGTTTCACCACATCAGCTGACTAGCTATTCATGCAGTGGGTCTGTTCTTTATTGCTATTATATGAACTTTATATTTCAGTGTTAGACCAGGAGGAAACTGGAATATAGTGCAGCAACTAAAGGAAACTTGTGATAATATTGTAACCCCCCCACACACACACACATATATAAGAAAAATAGAGTCAACATGTAGATTAACTTTAGATCTGGTACTGTGGGAGCTGGTCTGCAGACATTCTTGTGACCCGATGTCAGCGCCAAGCCTGACTGTTAAGCCGCTACCTCACTACAGCTGCAGATGTACCACGTGGTCTGGGTCGGTCCTTCAGCTCACACAGGGTGTTGGAGATGGCTCTTGTTCCTCGTGTGATGTCATTAGGAATTCATAGTTCCTCACCTGGGTGGAGTAGGAAGTCCTCACTTCTCTCCTGGTGTAGTTTGAAGTGTAATAGCCCTTGTTTCATAAACAGAATGATTATATAAATGGGTTAATTACATATTGATTTATATACATAATCATCCCTGTAACTTTCCACTGGGGGAACTGTGAGTAAGGTAACACACGATAAGATGCTGTTTCAAAACATTTGTACACAGGTTCTGAAGATTCCATCAACCCCTCAGGATGTGAGGAGGTTGGAACAAAAGCAGGAGGATAGACCTCTCCCCCTCAGGATCACACTGGCGAGCGGGGAAGAGAAATGGCAGGTTATTCGGCAGACAAAAAACTTAGCAAGGAGCGAGTTATTTCGGGATGTATTCATTCACCCAGATCGCACGGTAATGCAGAGGGAACAGCGCAAGAAACTCCTGCAGGACTTGAAGCAGAAGAGGGAGGAGTCAAGGAGGAACGGAGACGGGTGTACATGGGTTATACTCAGGGGGAGGGTAGTGGAAGCAAGTGTGCCGACACAGGGCCAGGGGACAGCAGTGCACCCTCCACTCGCTCTAACTCCCGCCTGGGAAGCGGCACCAGCTACGCCTACCGGACAGGAGGAGGCGAGCGCCGTGTAAACGATGACATTTCTAACCACACCCTGCAAAGTACAATGTATTGTACTTAGCAAATGCTGCAGCTTCTGGGAATGGGGGGGGGGGGAGCGGGGTTACTACTAAGAGCAGAGACATTACCGAGAACAAATTCTGGCTTGAATGTCATGTGCACTAATACTGACACGTTTCTCGATAAGAGAGAGGAGTTTGAAACACTACTGAGAGTACACCAACCAGATATTGTAGGAGTTGTAGAACTGTTTTACAAGAACAGGAGAATCGACCCAGAGGAATGTGAGTTCAGTATTGCTGGATACAACTCATTTACGAACCTTTCTCAAGAAACGTGCAAGAGGGGTGTGGTTATCTATGCTAGGCAAGACCTTAGAGCCAGCCAGGCGAGGGTACAGGGAGAGGATGTTTTTGAAGAGTCCAAGTGGTGTAAAATTAAATTAAAGGGAGGGGACTTACTTATCGTTGCGTGTATCTACAGATCCCCAAACTGTGGCCCACTAAATCAAAGGAACTTAAGAACCTTAATAAACAACGCGGCGATGCTCAACCCTAGCCACCTCCTTATCATGGGGAACTTTAACTATGGCGACATCGACTGGAGAAACGAGTCCACCCCGAATGACTTGAATAACCCTGCTACTCTTTTTGTAGAAACTCTGAGAGATAATTTTCTGTTCCAACATGTTAGAGACCCGACACATTACAGGGGGGAGCAAACACCCAAGCCACTTGACCTCATCATAACAAACGAGGAGGGTATGGTGGCCAAACTGGAACACCTTGCCCCAGTTGGCACCAGTCACCATATAGTGTTGTCATTCAGATTTAACTGTTACCTAGTTCAGGATAAGGCCAGGCCAAGGTGCAAATATTACAAGGGAAATTACAATGGGATGAGGGAAGAGATGAGGGGTATCAACTGGCCTGACTCATTAAGGTACAAGAACGCAGACACTACGCTGAATATCATAACTAGTAAAGTGACCCATTTGATCGGTAAATATATACCCAAGACCAAACCCAGTGCTTCTAGGAATACGAGGGGATCCCTACACATGAACCATGCGGCGGTCGACAAAATTAAGAAGAAAACCCAGAAATTCAAGACGTGGGTTGGGTCAAACGAAGAGCAAGACAGGAGGATGTATGCAAGAGCCAGAAACCAAGCAAAGATAGAGTGTAGGAGGGCTGAAAAGGAGTTCCAGAGGCTGGTTGCAAGCGAGGTCAAGTCAAACCCAAAGGCGTTTTACCGCTATGCAAAGTCCAAATTGAAAATGCGAGTAGGAGTATCAGACCTGAGGCTTGAAGATGGTAGTTATGCAGATTCTGACCAGGATAAAGTTGAGGCATTAAACAGCTTCTTTTCCTCGGTGTTCACAAGAGAGGATGCAACTAACCTTCCTGCGTTTGAGGACAGACGGTTCGACACAGCACTGACCCACATTGTGTTCACAGAAGAGGGTATTAGAAATAAACTGTCCAGGCTAAAGGTCCATAAGAGTCCCAGCCCTGACATGGTGCATCCTAGAGTGCTAAGAGAGTTGGGCAACGAGCTTGCCGAGCCCCTGAAGATCCTGTTTTGTAAATGCCTGGATGAACAAATGGTCCCCAATGAATGGAAAGTGGCTTATGTGAGTCCTATCTTCAAGAAGGGCGATCGTCACTCCACGAACAACTATAGACCGGTGAGCCTAACCAGCATAATATGTAAAGTACTTGAGAGTATTAACAGTGATGCTGCAATGGAACATCTAATATGAAACAACCTTGTAAAGGATTGCCAACACGGTTTTATGCTGGGGCGCTCCTGCTTAACCCAATTGCTCAAGGTATTGGTTATTTGGACCTATATTCTGGAACGGGGTGGTAATATCGACAATATTTACCTAGGTTTTGCCAAGGCTTTCGACAGTATACCCCATGAAAGGCTGAAAATCAAACTGGAAGGGTATAGAATTTGGGGAAATGTCCTAGCGTGGATAGAAGACTTTCCACATGACCGCAAGCAGTGTGTGGTGATTAATGGCACGAAATCGTCATCCGTACCTGTCACAAGTGCGGTACCACAGGGCCGTGTATTGGGCCCGCTGTTGTTTGTTTGTTTGTTTCATAAATGATATGCCTGACGTTTTACACTCCTCTATACAAATGTTTGCCGATGACGCCAAGTTATTTCGGGAAATCAAGAACCAAGCGGACTGTGAAGAGCTGCAGAAGGACCTCTGTGGGCTCCAGGAATGGTCGAAGAAATGGCTGCTGAGATTCAATGTCGCGAAGTGTAAGAGGATGCACCTGGGGGGTACCAACTGTAAGGAGGCGTATCATATGTCCCAACGGGATGAAGAAACTGCACTAGGTGAGACTGAATGTGAAAAGGACCTAAGTGTGTATGTTGACAATGAGCTGAAGTTCTCGGGCCATTGCGAGAAGGTAAACCAGGCAAATAAATTATTGGGTCTTATAAGAAGGTCGTTGAGATATCTAGACGGTCCGTCCCACGTAACGATCTTCAAGAGTGAAGTGCTTTCCCATATGGAGTACTGTCACCCCGTCTGGTCCCCGAGATATACTAGGGACTGTCAGTTGGTTGAAAATGTTCAAAGGAGGGCCACCAGACTGGTGCCTGCACTTCGGCTCCTCAGCTACCCTGAGAGATTGGAACGCCTGAACTTGCCTAGCTTATACTACAGACGGGTAAGGGAAGATCTGATTGAGGTGTATAAGCATCTCAGGGGGCACTACTCAGTCGAGTGCCCTTACTTGGAGCTGGCGGACGCTCACCCCTCAAGGGGTCACAGCTCAAGATTGAAGAAGCTGCATTCCAGAAAACTGTGAGGGCAAACTTTTTCGGAGTGAGGGTTGTAAACTCTTGGAACAATCTACCAGAGAGTGTTGTGACGGCACCGAGTGTGAGCTCTTTCAAGACTTGACCAACACTGGAGCGGGTTCAGGTACATTCAGGAGTCGGTGCATGCCCAATATTTGCCAACAGTGCGTGACAGAGACGTGACCGATCGCCCAGGCTGCTAGCGAGCCGATCTTTAGGTGAAGAGGATAAATGAAAAGGAAAAGTAATCAGAGACATGACCGATCGCCCAAGCGGCTAACAAGCCGATCAGTGGCGAAGAGGATAAAAGTAAAAGTATAATACACAGTACTGTACTTAACCACTTGTACAGAGATTTTGGGGAATCCCTGTGGTGCTTTGTGTTATAATGCTCATTTTTCTCACTGACTTTATTTTGACTTGTCACTGATGGTTTTAAGAGTGTTGCAGCCTAGCTGTGTGACCGCATGTTGCAACAATGTTTAACGAAAGAGTTTCCGATATTGGACGACCTGTCTGCAAGGGCATCAGTTGGAACTTTTCTGGGGGGAGGGGCAAGGTATAGGCAAGCCCCTGTGGGCTCGGTGGGCTAATATTTTAATGGTTTGTTTTTCATTCCCTTCGTTTTTGTTAGATTCTAAATCGCCTTCTTTATTGGGCATTTGTTGCTTAGATATTTTGACAAGCCTGATCGGGGGGGGGGACTGCCCCCTAGCAGACGCCCCTGCTTGCTTGGTTGAAGTTACAGGACACTCTAACACCTCTGTCCTTATGCTTCCTGGAGGAAGTCCTTATTTGGCTCTACATGGCCCCTGGAAGGAATTACAGTTTGGCTTTCTGTGTGACCACCTGTCTTTAATTTTGGTTACATGGTGGAGGTTTTCCCCTTATTATTTGTTTTATTCATACGGATGTTCGCCGATAAAGTACTGGTTATATACTATCTCTTATTATTTCATATTACAGCTGTATTCTACGAAAACAGTAAACAGTATTATTCACTCGTTGTATTGGACCACATCTCTCTTTTACGTATAAAACGTATCACAAAGAATTGCCACACATCAGGGATAACTCGTATATTTGTACATGTCCGCAGTGTGCCACAGTCCGTACATGTAACTGAAGTATTTATATGTGATAATAAGGGAAAATTCAGGGTGCCCATATGATTGATGTGGAGGTTCAATTTGTACCTAATTGTGAAATATTGTGAATGCTATAGTTGTGTCTGAGACTAGTGATATTTACATGTGTTATTAGGTTGCGTTTTTTGTTTTTTAATTTTATTCCCTTCGCGCAGTCTACCAGGCAACTCAACCGATGACGGTTGAGTAGCCACTGTGTTAATAAAATAGTTACACTGACAGGAAAACAAATGAAAAAGAATTAAGATCGGCAAAATTTCTAAATACTTGTAATTTAGAGAAAAATAAAAATGAGAAACTTTGATCATATAATTAGGAATGAGAGGATAATAACAGAAATATTAATGAGCTAAGTTGAGGGTAGGAGGACCTCAGGAAGGCAGAGACTGGGATGGATGAATTAAATTAAAAACTGGGTCCCTAGAGAGATGTAAAACTTCAGAGGATTGGTGACAACAGCCCGAGAACGTTTACTTTTACTTTACTTTTATCCTCTTCACCACTGATCGGCTCGTTAGCCACTTGGGTGATCGGTCACGTCTCTGTCACGCAGTGTTGGCAAGTACTGGGCATGCACCGGTTCCTGAATATACCTGAACCTGCTCCAGTGTTGGTCAAGTCTGGTCTTGAAAGAGCTCACACTCGGTGGAGGACTGTGGTCGTCAACACTCAGATAGGAGGACGGTACTGTGATTCATTGAATCCAATTTAGAATGTCTCTTTCAATTCCATGAGCCTCTACTTTAATAATTGATCTTTAGTTGGTGCACCCGGTCGAAGGCTCATAATTGTTTCCATCGTCTACTGATAATAGATTTGTTAGTCAAAAACGCCTTCAGGTAAAACCACACTGAAAATCATTAATCAAATTGTGATAAAATTATTCCTATGAATAATGAGTCTTCTCCTTGGCCCGTAAGGGGATCCAACCCTCGACATCCGCGTTATTAGCACGGGCAATATTTGATTAACATCATATAATCATTTAAAGGTTGATTTTAGCCCGTATAGTCTTTACTTCACATGATATAAATGACAAAGATCGTTAGATTGTATGAAATAGAGAACTTAAGAGGCGAAGCAGTCACCTGGTTAGAAATTTGGTATCAAAAGAAGAACCAAGATGATGAACAAAAGGTCCCCAGTGATTGGAAAGTGGCTTATGTGAGTCCTATCTTCAAGAAGGGCGATCGTCACTCCACGAACAACTATAGACCGGTGAGCCTGACCAGCATAATATGTAAAGTACTTGAGAGTATTATCAGAGATGCCGCAATGGAACATCTAATACGAAACAACCTTGTAAAGGATTGCCAACACGGTTTTATGCTGGGGCGCTCCTGCTTAACACAATTGCTCAAGGTATTGGATATTTAGACCCATATTCTGGAACGAGGTGGTAATATCGACAATACCTAGATTTTGCCAAGGCTTTCGACAGTGTACCCCATGAAAGGCTGAAAATCAAACTGGAAGGGTACGGGATTCGGGGAAATATCCTAGCGTGGATAGAAGACTTTTTGCATGACCGCAAGCAGTGTGTGGTGATTAATGGCACGAAATCATCATCTGTACCTGTCACAAGCGGGGTACCACAGGGCAGGGTATTGGGCCCGCTTTTGTTTGTTTGTTTGATAAATGACAAGCCTAACGTTGTACACTCCTCCATACAAATGTTTGCTGATGACGCCAAGTTATTTAGGGAAATCAAGAACCAAGCGGTTGTGTCTGGCGTTCCTAGTCACTGGAATAGCGTTCTTATTCAATTTATACAACGCATGAAAACATACACTCAGACTTCTACTTATTATTTACAAGTATAAGGGTGAATGAAAAATTACGAAAACTTTATATTATAACTAAGCTTTGTCATCGGTAAAAAAAAGGGAAAGCTAAATATTGGTTCATCTCCTAGAAAGTGTACAGGAATGTTGTGTAAACCTTTAAAACCTGTCTCATTATCAGGAAACTTTATAATTAGAAAATAAACGAAATAGTCTCTAAGTCACATGAATCTAAGATATAAATAATAAGACTTCTTTATTTAGAAAGACGTATTCCTTTAAATACTGTCAATGATAGTTCGATTGTTAGATGTTTCTCTCAATTCGTTAAGTACTATTAGTTGTGTCTTCTATCTACCAACATGGTCATTCTTGAAATAAATATTATCGTAATTTACTAACACTAACAATGTATATAGTTACATCTTAAAGTTTTTGAAGAAGGTGAGAGTTAGTGTGGCGTCCTGATCCTCACCGTCCTGGCCACACACAAGATGTGGGTCAGTCACTTATCATCAGTTGTGGTGGGGAGTCGTAGATATTTTGTGTTTAAAATTCAACGATGGCAGCATCATTTCTACGTTATTTACTACCGTTATTATTAGTGTTATATGGTAAGTATTATTTTACATTAGTTTACACGTTATTATGTGTTGTGTTAAGGTGTGTACAGATAGTGTGGGAGGTGCGGGTACCGGTTAGACTTCAATGCTGTGGCAGGACGAAGCTACACCAGCTGGGACGTCCAGGAGGTTAAAGTTGTCTGGACTTAAACTTCCTGTCCATTCATCTAGACTAAAATAACTCATCACCACCACCACCACCACCATCATCATCTCCGACATATTAATAATCTGGATAATTTAGGAAAACTAATCGAACTGAATTCATTAGTTCTTGTAAACATTAGTACAGGTAATTGGTTTATATAGCGGGGCTGCCGTACACGTTAGCGCGGTAATACTTGTGAAATTTAAATGTCACCAAAGCGTAATGTTGCAAATAATAAGTTTGTTGTGGTGTTAGGGTGATAAGTTGTGGTGTTAGGGTGATAAGTTGTGGTGTTAGGGTGATAAGTTGTGGTGTTAGGGTGATAAGTTGTGGTGTTAGGGTGATAAGTTGTGGTGTTAGGGTGATAAGTTGTGGTGTTAGGGTGATAAGTTGTGGTGTTAGGGTGATAAGTTGTGGTGTTAGGGTGATAAGTTAAGAACATAAGAACTTTTCCTTAGTTTAAATTTCCGTTAACTACTATACCAGTGTAAACAGAGGCTAAGTTAGATTGATATATCCAATGGTTCTTGATGTGTGGAATGATTCTGACCTCCATTTCTATTGTAAATTACTAGTTTTAGTGATTTTCCTCAAAAACCATCGGAAATATCTACCTTACCTTACTCAAACATGAAGTTGTTCAGTGTTTAAACCTAGTCCACTGCCCCCTACCTCAGTCCACCGCCCTTCCCTCCTGCCCTACCTCAGTCCACCACCCCTCCCTCCTGCCCTACCTCAGTCCACCACCCCTCCCTCCTGCCCTACCTCAGTCCACCACCCCTCCCTCCTGCCCTACCTCAGTCCACCACCCCTCCCTCCTGCCCTACCTCAGTCCACCACCCCTCCCTCCTGCCCTGCCTCGAGTCGGTTGAGCTCGTTTTATCATATCACGAAGTTTCTTACTGAGAACCCCCGAAGAAAATAGCGTTATTCTTCTCTCTCGTACACAACTTGGGACCACCAGAAAGCTAAACTCATCTCTAGTTTATGTAGCCTGGTAATTAAACACCCTAACGCTACTTAAGGGAGTTAGTGTTGGGTCTTGTTAAGGTAGACTGGCGTTAAGATGTTGTCGCGTCGGGACGGGGAGGGACGGGGAGAGAGAGAGAGAGTTAGCCAGACCATCGTGTTGATGAGGGAGGGAGGGAGGGAGGGAGGAGTCGGGGTCTACGAGAGAGTGAGTAAGGGTGACGTGTATTGCTTGAGTCACGCACTCCATACCTTACTACTCCACCCACCGTCACCACCCCACTAAACTTGCCACTCCACGAACTTTCTCGTGCCGCCAGCATGACACAGCAGTCTGGTTGATCATGTTGGTGGTCAACATCGCCCCCGGCACTATACACCGGTGTAGCCTTAAGCCGTACACCTGCGGTACATCAGATCATGAACCTGTCCAGGGAACTTTGGCAGCGTTATAGTACAGCGGAAACACGAGTGTCTCATTAATGTGTCAAGGGTTCGAGTCCTGCGACACACATGAGAAGGGTGTTGTCCAGTGACCCTCACTGACACAGGTTCCCTTACTCCGGATTCCTTCTGTACTTAATTATACCTTTACTAACACTGGGTAGACCAACACAGCCATCTGAGCAGCGAGGAAGCTGATAAGTGGTGAGAATTATATATGTATTACAAAACAAGGTTTCGTGTCTACTTTTATCTTTTACTTAAATACATTACGAACTGTAGATAACCTTGTTTGGGTGTATCAGCTGTGTACTGAACTGTAAGTGTATGACCTATGAGTTTACGGAGTGCTCCTTACGTGTGTTAATGTCATCGTGTGTAGGGCTGTTGCCACGCCAGGTGTACTTTATACAAAGCAGTAAGTCGAGTGTAGACTCTCGTCTTGTTCACCCGTGTGGTCAGGGTCCGTATCACTGCCCATACAGTCCTCCTACTGGTCAGCACCCCGAGGTGTGACGGTACACGTGTCTGAGTATACATGGCTCCGGGCATCTTAAACTCCAATTACCAAGTTGTCCTGATATACATTTTCATTTGTACGTGGTCAACGGCTCCATTTAGTCAGGCCTTCATCGTGTAAAGATTGTTTTACCCGTGGACGCAGTTAAACCCTGTAACTGTATATAAACATTCCTACTTTTCTGTACTAAATTACTACTACTGTACTAGGCCATGTTAGTTTAAAATTACCCCCCCCCCCCATTAAAGAGTGGTCCCTGTCCAGATAGTCAACGCTCACCTTCCTCCCTGCATTTGGACATTGCTCTCACCTCTAGATGTCAACACCCTAACTCAGCTCGTCTCTGTTTACACCCCCTCGAGAGACGTAGAGTGAGGGGCGATATGATCGAGGTGTATAAATGGAAGTCAGGGCTAAACAAAGGTGATACAACAAAGGTACTCAAACTATTCAACCAGGAGCGAACTTATAGCAATAGTTTTAAATTAGACAAATTTAGATTTAGGCTCGTGATAGGTAAACATTGGTTTGGAAATAGAGTAGTGGATGAGTGGAACAAGTTACCAAACATCATTAACTCGAATACGCTGGCTAGCTTCAAACATAAGTTGGATGGATATATGAACGATGGGGGTTGGGTGTAAACGGTACTGCCCAAAATGGGCCAATAGGCCCGCTGCAGTTTCCTCCATTCTTATGTTCTTCTGTAAACGTTCCAGTGCATGGCGCAGTACTGCTCCCGTTAGAGTGTCAAACACCTCCATCACGGTCAGTGGACTCGTATCTGTAGTAACAAGCAGGTGAATGTCGCCCTCGTCTCTAGATGGTTAACGTTCTTTAGGACTTTTAACACTCAATTCATCCTTCTGCAGACTGTCAATGCTTCCCATGTAAAGTACGCTAACTCCTCTAGCGCCAGTAAACACTATATGCATCTAAGCTAGACCTCTCCCCCTCTCGGTAAATGGCAACTGTGCCGCTGTTTGTCTTAACTGAACTTGTGCTCCTGGACACTGGACGAGTGAGCGAGGTGGCGGTAAGTGTTGCCGAGCGGCATTCCTTGTAACTGTAAAGAACTTGCCGCTTCATAGCCAAGTAAGCGCCGCACCATAACGTTTCCTGTACGTAAGAGTATTTCGAAAAACTCCGTACCAATATTTACATTTACGACGCGAAATTAATTAGCCTTTATTTCAACGTGGAATTAAACTTGCATTTTGTTTATTCCTACTGGGTATTGAAACTGATTGCGTTGTTGATTTTTGTGCTTTGTTTAAACATTATGATATCCTTTACTGTCCACGGCACCTACTCTGTCACTGAACACAGGAAGATACGCTTTGGTGAACCTGGGTGGTGGTGTAAGGGGTCACATGGCGTCATAAGGTTCACATCATTGTACACAAAGTGGCGAGCGATGAGCTACAGGGAGCGGTGCGAGGGGCGAGGTGTACGATGTAGGCAAGTGACTGGACAGGATGGATGCTATTTTTTATTCGTTTAGTCTGCTTGAACAAATATCCATGTTCGTGATACTTTTCTTAACATTGCTCATCTTGTGTGAGTGAGAGCAGAGGGCGGCGGTGCACCCGGGCGTGTGGCGTCAACAGGAACGGTCATGCAACTCTGCAGCCGTGAATATTGCAGGATTTGGCCTCGAGTAGGAGTTGCAGACTGAATTCCCCGGTAATTTAAGATATGACGAAACTGTAATGCTAGAGAAAGGCGGTGGCTGTAGTCTGCTGTGAGATAATAACTACAATATTGTGACATTCCTGTAACACTATTGTTCCCGCGTTCAGGAATTTAAGTAATATTCTTGGGTAGACAACAATCTGTTTAGTTAACTAATAAACCGTTCGGTTCACTGTTAATATTCATGAAATAAAATCTTCTAATTAGGACATAATCACTCGCGTGTATAGTATATTTACCCTTAAGAATGTTGCAAAATATGTAGCAGGTTAATTGAATATAGGTGAGATAAGGAAGGATGTTAAGTTTGGTGCGGAAATATTGTCATAGCATTATACTCTAGTGACGCTACACCACTTTCACGTCAACAAAACACCTAAGAACATAAGAAAATAAGGAGTCTGCAATAGGCCGGTTGGCCTGTGCATGGCAGCTCTTGTCGAGAGTTACTACCACTCTCTATCATCCATGAATCTATCTAGCCTCCTTTTAAAACTTTCCAGAGTTCTAGCACTTACTACAAAGTTGCTAAGCTTGTTCCACTCGTCCACCACCCTATTTGTGAACCAGTTTCTTCCTATCTCCCTCCTAAACCTAAACTTATCCAACTTGAATCCGTTGCTCCGAGTCCTATCCTGCTCGGATATTATAAGAACTTTATCTATATCCCCTTTATTGATTCCTTTCACCACTTAAATACTTCTATCATATCTCCACTCTTCGTCTTTCTAGGAATGCAAGTTAAGTTTCTTTAACCTATCCTGATATGGAAGGTTTCTAAGTCCCGGAATAATTTTTGTCATTCTTCGCTGCACCGACTCTAGTGAATTTATATCCATTCTATAATAGGGGCACCAGAACTGAACCGCATAATCGAGGTGCGGCCTGACTAGCGCGAAGATATAGTTGCAATAAGACCTCTGCATCTTGTTACTTACACTTCTAGATATAAAACCCAATACTCTGTTTGCCTTATTTCGAACATTAACGCACTGTTTTCTAGGCCGTAGGTCCGGGCTTACAAGTACCCCTAGGTCTCTTTCACAAGTCGACTTCTCTAGGTTGATGTTGTTAAGGCTGTATACATTATAAGTATTTGTTCTTCCAATATTAAGTACGCTGCACTTGTTGGTGTTGAATTTCATTTGCCATTTTTCAGACCACCCATGCAGTTTTAGATCCTCCTGTAATGCATTTGCATCCTGCCCTGAATTAATTTGCCGCCCTATTTTGGTGTCATCCGCAAACTTGCTTATGCCACTGCTGATCCCAGTATCTAGATCGTTTATGTAGATTATGAACAAGAGTGGGCCTAGTACTGACCCCAGGGGAACCCCACTCAGATTTAACACCATCTACGCTGACCCTCTGCGTTCTATCGGTGAGCCATGATTTTATCCAATTTAAAAATTTCCCCTCGATACCATGAGCCTTAATTTTTCTCAGAAGCCTCTGATGCGGTACTCTGTCAAATGCTTTGCTAAAGTCTAAGTAAATAACATCGTAATTATCGTCATTATCTACTACCTCGAAGACTTTCCTAAAAAACGTTAGCAGATTTGTTAGACAAGATTTTCCCTTTGTAAACCCATGTTGAGAGTCGTAGATTAATTTGGCTTCCTCTAGATGCGATCGGATGCTATCTGCTATAATTGATTCAAGAAATGTCCCCACTACTGACGTCAAACTGATCGGCCTGTAATTTGACGGTAGTTCAGTGTATGTGTCTCAGCGGGAAAGTACTCGTATAAATTATGTGTTATACAGGCGTGGACTTACCTACTTACTGTTGGGTAGGGGACAGCGTACAGTGTTTTATCCCTAGCCAGTGATAGTGTAGTGGTGGACCAGTCAAAACTCGAGCTCAAACCTTCCCTCACGCTTTACGCTCTTGTCACAATCAGTTCGTTTGTTGCTTAATAATTTTTTTTTAAAGATTTTGGGAGTTTTCTCATTAACTGAAGACTTTATTTCACGCTTACGAGACCCAATTTTATATAAGATTCGTATCAATGTCAACTTGGTTTTAACGAGGACCCCAGTGTTGTTTTGGCCATTGTCACTTCAGTTCAGCTGTTTGGTGATATATGAACCAACATTTCCTCGCTTTAATGTTCCCGTCTTAAGTTAGTGCACTAGAAACATGGATGTAAAGAACACCATTTTCCCTCCTGTGTTCGTTACCAGCGTTAGGGATTTATGTAGTTACCACTGATGGGTTATTTGTTGTAATTCTTAAGTTTTGCCGTGGTGAAAAAATTGTTGACTTGAATAAAGGAAGCGTAAACATGTGGGTTATGATATTAGGAGTGGTGAGAAATACGTGTTTGTACTTATTAATTTTCTGTCACCAAGTGTTAAGTGGGTAAATATAGAATTTTTTTTTTATTTAAGACAAACTGAGAGAAAAAGTGAAAATCCATATGTTGGTATGGTACCCAGCTCATACACACACTCTGGTGGTAGGGCTGCAGGTCTCGTGGTGATACGTACAGTAATAATACGCGACTACTCCATCACCCCTAACCTAACCTACACTATCAATTTATTATGAGTGACCCATCGCAAGGTGAGTTCACTATCTGTCCAGACTTGACTCAGGGTAATGTGTAGATAGTTAACTAACCTATTACCAATAGCTGAGAATTATAACTGAGGTGAAGTTTTTGACCCAATAGGCGCCACTGTAACTCCTGGGTTCTATTTATTTCCCGGAGTACGCAACATAATTCTCTCGGGGTGGTTATGACGTCGCAGAAGATGTGAAGATTTTAGTCTAGGTTCTTTACAGGTGGGTGCTGTTGTGATGGTTGCTTATACCGAACAGTGTGTGTGGATGGGGGTGACTCTTGGTAACTGGAAATAAGAGTATGGTTGCTGTGCTGAGCTAAAATATAAATAACGAAACGTATTAAACTGTTTTATTTATTTTTTAACATTACCGGTAAAGACTATGAGTTGGTTGTGTGTGATTGTTAAGAGCATATTAGTTCCTTACGTCAATACTACACAATGATCAATTATCTCAGAAAACAACGGCCATAGACGAAATGAACATAATTATATTCAACATAAGTAATTTCTCATTTGCTATCTAATGTATAATAACTTTTCCGTTTGTTAGTACTTAAAATAACACACACACACACTCCGGGCTTGTCACTCACCTGGAAGGGCCCAGCCACTAAGAGGTAAACCACATCAAATGCACACACATCCACACTTCATTCTCCCACAAATAATTTATGGCAAGTTTGGTGGAAATTGACTAACTGGTTCTCCAAGTTGTTTGACTCCTGGTGGACGATGGATACCGAGTCATGGTTGCGTCTCACCATGAATTAGTGAATTTTATCAACACATAAAATAGTTCCTCTCAGCTGTTGTTGGCGAGAGGTGATGACTTTACGTCTGAACCTATACACCTGAACCTATATACTTTAAAACGCAGTACAGTACACGGGCGTCGTCTGGCAACTTACATCGGACATCACACCCGCTGCCTCACTCCTCAGAGCCAGCGTGACCTGTAGTGTCACATCACGACACCTCACACTACTAAAAGTGTCACTTCTTGGCAACATTTCATACTTCAAATTGCACCTGGCCAACAGTTACACTAATTGGCTGACAGGCAGTAGTGTGGGGTCGTGTGTCGCTCTCACTGCATCAACCTAAAGTTAGATTATCAAGAGTGTGTGTTGTGTTGTGGTAAGCAGGAGAGGAGAGTGTGTTGTGGTAAGCAGGAGTAGTGTGTGTTGTGGTAAGCAGGAGTAGTGTGTGTTGTGGTAAGCTCACACCGGTATTATCAGACTAGCTTCACCATTCATTACAGCAGTGAGAGGAAACCGTGAGAACGAATGTATTGAGGTGGGCTTCGCTCGGGCGGCTGGCTCCAACCTACACAATGGATACGAGGCTGCTAAGGACGCCGTGTTGGCCAGGTGGGCTGAGGAGGACACCGAGGGGCGGCCCGATTACGCAGGACTCTCCCCCCTCCTGAAGAACGTGAGTATATATTCTTTAATACGTTTTTAAGGTCATTAAGGCACAATATATCTTGCCTCCTTCAGGTAACATCCTACCTCCTTCAGGTAACGCAACATCCTTCCTCCTTCAGGTAACATCCTACCTCCTTCAGGAAACGCAACATCCTTCCTCCTTCAGGTAACATCCTACCTCCTTCAGGTAACGTAACATTCTCCCTCCTTCAGGTAACCACCTCCCTCCTTCAGGTAACGTAACCACCTCCCTCCTTCAGGTAATGTAACCTCCTACCTCCTTCAGGTAACGTAACCTTTTTCCTCCTTCAGGTAACGTAACCTCTTTCCTCCTTCAGGTAACGTAACATTCGCCCTCCTTCAGGTAACGTAACATCCTACCTCCTTCAGGTAACGTAACATACTTCCTCCTTCAGGTAACGTAACATCCTACCTTCTTCAGGTAACGTAACATCCTTCCTCCTTCAGGTAACGTAACATCCTTCCTCCTTCAGGTAACGTAACATCCTTCCTCCTTCAGGTAACGTAACATTCTCCTTCCTTCAGGTAACGTAACCTCGTTCCTCCTTCAGGTAACGTAACCACCTTCCTTCTTTAGGTAACGTAACATTCTCCCTCCTTCAGGTAATGTAACATCCTTCCTCCTTCAGGTAACGTAACCACCTCCCTCCTTCAGGTAACGTAACATTCTCCCTCCTTCAGGTAACACGAACGGGGCAGCTGTTGGAGGCGGCGTCGCAGGTGATCGTGGACTTGATCCGTAAGACTCGGGTGGGGAAGAGGTGCCGCGGGGCGTGGCTGCTGTCTGGCCTGGAGAAGCATGTCATCCCCCTCATTAACCTGGATAAAGACCTGGCTGAGGACCTGGGTCTAGGTGAGTCACGACGGCTGGTGGTGGTGGAGGAGAGGCTGGTGGTGGTGGAGAGGGTGGTGGTGGAGAGGTTGCTGGTGGTGGTGGTGTGATGGCAACAGGCCTGTTGGTGAGGCATTGGTGGTGGAGAGGGTGGTGGTGGAGAGGCTGGTGGTGAAGGTGGTGTTGAGTGGTGGTGGGAGGTTGCCTGGTGAGCCAGGCGGGGTTGCTGGTGGTGGTGGTGGAGAGGCTGCTGGTGGTGGTGGAGAGGCTGCTTCTGAGGCAGGCTGGTGGTGGTGGAGAGGGCTGCTGCTGGTGTGGTGGTGGGAGGTTGCTGTGAGCTGGTGGTGGAGAGAGGTTGCTGGTGGTGTCTGGAGAGGCTGCTGGTGGTGGTGGTGGAGAGGGTGTGGAGAGGGTTGGTGTGGTGGTGGGCTGGTGGTGGGGTGGTGGTGTGGTGGTGGAGGCTGGTGGTGGTGTGGAGGCTGCTGTGGTGGAGGTTGCTGTGGTGGTGGAGGTTTCGCTGCAATTGAGTGGTGGTGGAGGTTGCTGGTGGTGGTGGAGGGATTGCTGGTGTGGTGAGTGGTGGGCGTGACGTGGTGGAGAGGTTGCTGGTGGTGGTGGAGAGGCTGCTGAGTGGTGGTGCAGAGGTGGTGGTGGTGGTGGTGGAAGAGGTGGTGGTGAGGTGGTGGTGGAAGGGTGCTGGTGGTGGTGGAGAGGTTGCTGGTGGTGGTGGAGAGGTTGCTGTGGTGGTGGAGGTTGCTGGTGGTGGTGGAGAGAGGTTGCGCTGGTGGTGGTGGAGAGGCTGCTGGTGGTGGTGGAGAAGGCTGCTGCTGGTGGGTGGGAGAGGTTGGTGGTGGAGGAATTAATTTTGAATTTTGCCACTTACAGCGGCTAGTTTATTGTGCACCCCATATTCACCCTGTGAGCGGTAGCGCAATAGGATTACAGAGTAGAGTTTACAAAGTGCCAGAATAAGTAACCCCCGTGGTTGGTGGTGAGAGGCGAGGTTAAGAAGGGCATAACCCCACAATAGTCGCGAGGAAGACTTGCTGAATAATATATATATATATAAACTGTATTTTGTATGTATTCTGTAATGCTACATGAAGATGGCTTTATGTAACTTATTGAAACATCGATTAAGAAATGAGTATTACCTTTTACCCACAGTTATTATGTTAAACTACGGATTAAGATAAATATATAAAATGGTTTTGTATTAACTATGATCGTAAACCACAACCAAATGTACAGATGTACTAATTACCATGTTGTCTTTCAGTGATGTCGTTCAGGTGTATGGTCGGGTCACCTTACCCCAACGTGGACGGCTCGTGCGTCAACCAGGAGTCGCCTGACCTGGGCTCTATTGGCTCCAAGTTCCTCAGGCTCCAACCCGCTGTGTCTGGCAGTGATGGTAAGTACTGTAGCTGTGGTATTAGTCCTTGACATGTATGGTATAGTCCTGGGAACGTGTGTGTGTAGTTCATTTAATACGGGGCTTAGGGAGGGCAGGAGGCCGGGCTGGAGTAAGGAAGGGAGGGAGGCCGGGCTGGAGTAGGGGAGGCCGGGCTGGAGTGGGGAGGCCGGGCTATGATGGGGAGGCCGGGCTGGAGTGGGGAGGCCGGGCTGGAGTGGAAGGGAGGGAGGCCAGGGGTTGGGTGGGGAGGCCGGGCTGGGGCCAGGGAAGGGAAGGAGGCCGGGCTGGAGTGGGGAGGCCAAGGCTGGAGTGGGGGGAAGGGAGGGAGGGCTGGCGGGCTGGAGTAAGGAAGGGGAGGGGGAGGCCAGACTGGAGTAGGGGGGCCCAGGCTGATCAGGAAGGGAGGGAATGGGTTGGGCAAGAAAGAAGGGAGGCCGGGCAGAGATGCAGGGAAGGGGGAGGCCAGTTTGGAGTAAGGAGGCCGGGCTGGAGTAGGGGAGGCCGGGTTCGAGTAGGGGAGGCCGGGCTGGAGTAGGGAGGGAGGTGTGGACGAGAGAGAGGGAAGCCGGGCTGATCCATGCATAATAATAGGGAATTAACGTTATTTTATCCTGTTGATGCTCAGCCGGGCATCCCAGCTCAGTGTGTATGTGAGGGGAAAAGCCTAGGCCTAGCGGTCAAGCCTACCTCAGACCACACGACCACTCTCCTCCTGCAGATCATTCCAAATCTGATTCTTAACCTCTTCTTTTCGCCATACCAAACTGCTGTTCTTGGGAGTGAATTGCCCTTGTGGTCTTTAAAACCTTCAACCAAGACAGTGGGGCAACTGATATCCCGGCCCTCTTTCTTGCCGGCATAGGGAACGTAGGACTGACAGTGCAATACACTCTAGTGCCTGTGTCGACAGACAATAACCAACCCATGACACAACCATGACACATTAACTTCATTCCTTCACCTCTATCTTGTTTCTACATAAAAAGGGGGGAGGAGTATAGATGAGACCAGTTCTTTTCCTTCGTTCCCTACAACTTCACCATGTAGAACTATTTTATACGCCCATATAGTACAGTATTAAACCTTATATCATATAAGCAGGTTAGGGTTGTATAACTAGTGATGCACAATGCATTATTTGCTGTTAACATAAGGTTAATTACATACACGATAGTTAGAGAACAGAGGTGATATTATGTAGTGACCCTGAAACGTGTATTCTCGTCACTAACAGCAGCAACATTGTGTTATAACAATACTACTACAGTGTGTCATAACTTGATGAAAAGGACTAATGTACAGCACACCAGTAGACATGTTGTACACTAGCAGCACACGGTGGGACCAGCCTTTACAGTACCTGTTAATGTAAGGTCAGTGGCCAGCAACAATGGCTTTGTTGGCTGTCCATCGTCGAATGTCTTACTTCTTATTATTGTTATATTTCTACACGGTCTCTCTACACATTATAGGTACCTGCATGGTCTACACACATACTGAACTGTATACCTGCATTGTCTACGTACACGTATGCTGAACCTATTGTAAGCTTGTATGATGATATTACTGAACAATATTACAGTATTGCTACATTACGACACTGTAATATTTCATTATATTGTCTTGAGTTTAGAATGTAGCGTTGGTGTGACAATTATAAACTAGGTTATTGTATGTAAATGGCTTCAGGTACTCTCTAACGTGGATGAACAATTAACTGGTGTAGGTTGCAGGTAAAAGGCTGCACCTGAGCATTGTTTTATATAAATTCATACATTTGCCTGTGAAAATAACTTCGAGATTTTACAGTTTTCTATTTAATTAACATTTTTATTGTTTTTTTTTTAGTTTACACCATCACAATTATGCTAGTTGTGACATAGTTTCCATTTACTGTACTTGATGATGTGTTTTGTGTCATATTTACAGGATTCTCGCCTCGTGGGTCAGTGAATGGGGAGAAGACGCTGCCGTCAGCCCGCCAGGTGGCCCAGCTGCTGAGGAAGTACCTTAAGAAACCTGCCGTGACGGGGCTCTTCTCTGAGTGGTCTCATTTCATCCAGCGAGACACATTCAGCATACCGGTGGGTGTGGAGTCTGGGGTGGAGGCAAGGGAGGGAGGCCAGGGTGGAGGTAGAAGGAAGGGCTGATGAAAGTAGAGTAGTAGTCAAGTGTTGAGGAGAGTGTTGGGTCATGAGAGGGTGGGGGAGGGGGGAGACAGGTTAACAGGTATAGTGTTTGGTCAGGTATTAAAGTGTTCCAGGTGAGTTAATGATACAGCTTTGTGTTGGAATGTTCAGTATAGTGTAACGGTAATGTTTGTGACCCTGTTGTGTTGTTGGTGTCTTGCAGGAGTCGCCACAAGCCCAAGATGTTGACTGTTGTTTAAGTCCCGAGGCTGAGGACTGCGCGCCTATCCCAGTTGAGGAAGATGACCCTATGTCCTCAGCTGTGCCCTGCATCAACTTCAGAAGGTCGGCCCGTGCCCAGGCAATCCTAGGTCAGTTATAGTATTTTAATTTCTTATGTTTGGTGTCAATTACATCAGCCACGAAGACAGATTACCAACTGTAAAAATAAATCCACTGAAATCTCGTAGTTCATTATTTTACAGGATGGGGAAACTGTCGACACGTTTTATTGTGGACAGTGTTAAGGGTGTGTGAAGTCCTTGGGAGGTGTTAGCGTCACATCATGGGTCTCTTGTCAATCCTGGTACACCTTCAGACCTCCTCCCTCTTTTCTTTCATCATCTCTTCTCTCCACTTCCAATCTCACCCCCTTCCATCCTCACCCCTTTCCTTCCTCCCTCCCTTCCATCCCCCATTCCTCCCCATCCTCCTCTCTTCCCCTCCTGTCTCTCCTCATCTCATCCCTTCCTTCCTCCCCACCTCTTTTCCTAGGAGAGAGAGAGAGAGAGATGCGTTTGGAGGAGGACCTCAAAGTAGGATAAGAGTCATCTCCTGGCACTTAAAAAGTCTGGCAGTATTTCCATCAGGGTGGGAGTGAGTCGCCATCCTCGACTTGAGAGAAAGATTGAGTAACTTGCAATGACTCGGCCGCTGCTCTCTTCTACTCGAGTGTGTTGGGTAAAGCCAGCCACGACCACCACACACCTTAAAAGACTAACTATTCTCTACTGTTAACACTGAGTAGATGAGGTGGGGCTGGGGATAGAGGTGAAATTGAGGTGGTATGGAAGTGAAATGTAGTATGGGATGATAGGGGTTTGAGCTGGAGAGGGGATGGCGGGGGAATGAGGATGGAATGGAATGAGTAAGGTGGTAGGATGGAGAGATTAACGTACAAACGGGAGTTCTTCACTACTGAGAATTGTTAACTGGTCCTTTGGATGATGACAAGCCAGGGGAAGGTCTTGTCACCTCTCCTGTGTGGTAATTCTGGTCGTGGAAGCATTGTGTTGGAGAGTTGGTAGAAGCTTCAAGTAATTAGGACGATAATTAGTTTGGGAAATGACTAATGATGCTTATGACTGTCAGTGGAAGGCGTATATACACAGACGGTATCCCAGCAGACCTATATTAAAGGTGACATTAGCCCGCCAGCTTAACCAGTCTGTGTTGTCTCCACTACACTGACGCATCAGACCTTTAGAGGAGAGGTGAAATAACCGCGAGTGTGTGTTTGGAGGGCGAGCGGCCACACATGACTCGTCCCACCACTTAAGCCACGCCAAGTTATTGTCCTCTTGAGAGGCTTCAGGCCACTTGGTCTGTTGTTAGTGAGCGTCGTCAGAACTAGAGGGCGGGTCTCGTCTCTTGCTTATATGTTATCATAATAATTGTTATTGTCGTCAGTCAGTCCCGCAGGCTCTTCACACCGCCGTGGAGAACATGGCCACGTTTGCTTGTTCTCGGTTAACCCTCTTGAATATTTCATCCACTTTCCCAACCAGTTGACACAAGTGTGTTGAAATACACTGTACCAACATCTCCCACACACAGAGTCTTTTATCGTCAGCTTCAGGTGTCAGGGACGTGATACCTTGACAGAATTTAAATATTTTTGAAGCATTAATCTCCTTCAGTTTGTGGCAGTCTTGTTTATATCCCGTTAAGACTATAAAAGGATTCAGTGGTGGTGGGAAGGTTGTCAGCTCCTTGGCGGGAACGTTGAGCAGCATATAAAGAAAAGGTCATGTGAGGATAAGGGGAGTCAAGACGGTGCCTCAAAGACTCAGGTGTACCCATACCCTGCCTGGCCCTCAAACTAAACGTCACTTTTGATTATTAACAAGAGCTTTATAGAATACATGAGCGACTTTACTGAACAACAGACAACCTTCTGTCTTATTCCCCAAGTCTTTATACAGTTGAATATTTACTGTTATTATAAATTCTTTGTTTATAATATTACTTTTCTTATTTTTGGTTGTTGTTGTTGTTTACTGTGTAGGTACTAGAGCATGTGGGTCTAGTTATTTTAACAGGTGAGCTAACCCCACTCACTCACACAACAATAATTCAATGTTGGTATTTCTATGGAGTGTACAGCTGGCTGGCACCTGTCGCCACCACCTCCTCGCCTTCCCTTTCACAATTTTTCTCGTCTATTGAAAACTTTTATTTCTCTTAAGTAATTTATCAGAGTCGTGTATTTACAGGGTGTTTCAGAAAACTGTTATACACGCTTCCTTAAACACTGTCCTCGCTTGTCGATGTTTGGAGTGTCCCACAAGTAAGGGCAAACATTCTCGCCGTGTCTATACATGTTACCGTGTGTGTCAGTCAGTCAGTCAGTCAGAGGTTAGATACGTGTGTATCCTAACATGTCAGTAGAAGTCTGTCATTTAATAATTTGGGTCGTGTTTCCGCTGAGTCTTGGTGAGGGTCGTGTTGTGGTACTGGGTTCTGGGGAGGATCGTGTTGTGGTACTGGGTTCTGGCGAGGGTCGTGTTGTGGTACTGGGTTCTGGGGAGGATCGTGTTGTGGTACTGGGTTCTGGCGAGGGTCGTGTTGTGGTACTGGGTTCTGGCGAGGGTCGTGTTGTGGTACTGGGTTCTGGCGAGGGTCGTGTTGTGGTACTGGGTTCTGGCGAGGGTCGTGTTGTGGTACTGGGTTCTGGCGAGGGTCGTGTTGTGGTACTGGTTTCTGAGGGGTCGTGTTGTGGTACTGGGTTCTGGCGAGGTCGTGTTGTGGTACTGGTTTCTGGCGAGGGTCGTGTTGTGGTACTGGTTCTGAGGGTCTGGGTGAATCGCTGGTGGAGGGTCGTGTTGTGGTACTGGGTTCTGGCGAGGTCGTGTTGTGGTACTGGGTTCTGGCGGAGGTCGTGTGGTACTCTGGGAGGTCGTGTTGTGGTACTGGTTCTGGCGAGGGTCGTGTGTTGTGGTACTGGGTTCTGAGAGTCGTGTTACTGGGTTCTAGCGGTTGTGGTACTGGTTCTGGCGAGGTCGTGTTGTGGTACTGGTTCGCGAGGTCGTGTGACTGGTTCGTGGCAGGTCGTGTTGTGGTACTGGGTTCTGAGGGGTCGTGTTGTGGTACTGGTTTCGTGTTGTAGTTCTGGAGGTCGTGTTGTGGTACTGGGTTCTGGGGAGGGGAGGTCGTTGTGGTACTGGGTTCTGTCGTGTTGTGGTATTGTTGTTTGGTTCTGGCGAGGGTCGTGGTACTGGGGTCGGGGTACTGGGTTCTGGCGAGGGTCGTGTTGTGGTACTGGGTTCTGGGGAGGATCGTGTTGTGGTACTGGGTTCTGGCGAGGGTCGTGTTGTGGTACTGGGTTCTGGGGAGGATCGTGTTGTGGTACTGGGTTCTGGCGAGGGTCGTGTTGTGGTACTGGGTTCTGGCGAGGGTCGTGTTGTGGTACTGGGTTCTGGCGAGGGTCGTGTTGTGGTACTGGGTTCTGGCGAGGGTCGTGTTGTGGTACTGGGTTCTGGCGAGGGTCGTGTTGTGGTACTGGTTTCTGGTGTAATGAGACAAAACTCACCAGAAGAGGATATTACATATAGGTAGAATATTTATAGTAGAAGGAATGTAAAGATAGGAAAGTTTGGTAGCGTGCTCGGTTAGTTATTCACACTGACAATACACTTATCTTATCTCATATGTCAATACACATATATTACGTATCACTTAGTACATTCTTAAGGGACAAATTGTTAAACACCATTTCGATACAACTATTTATTAATTCACTCAATGACATGGACACATTAACATCATTATTATATCGGGGTATTAGCACATTATGTTACGTTACTCGACACTGGCTCGGACACAAACATGAAAGGAATACACTTCCCACAGTAGGTAACTCACCCTAGGGATAGTTCTGACAAGACTCACGTGTAACCTGACGTAGGCCCAGTGGGTGCTTGGCTGTGACTTTGCTTAGCTGGTGAGGTCGGGATGTCCCCCCCCCCCTCAACCTGGTGGGAGGAAGAGCGTGACTGGGTGAGTGACCAGAATGACCTCTCAATGACCTGAATGAGCTGAATGAACCGAATAGCAACCAGAATCAGACGAATCAGAATGAGAATGATAGCGTGGGCAGGACTGGGGAGTTTTATATGGGAGCTCACAGCCGGCGTTTGACCTTAGCCAGTTAACACTAAACTGGTTAGATCTGGATACCTGTGTCCCGGTGTGGTCATGCCCAGGTGTCTTGGTAGGTCAGGTCACCCGGCTAACTCAAGTCATTAGCGGGCGAGGTCAGGTCCCTTGGGTCTTGGCCTAGGGTGTGTCAACTTGGTATGTTGGGTACCTCTAGGTCTCTACACACACACACACACACACACACACACACACTGTCTATATGTGATGTAATTCTCTGGGCTGTAAGCTGTGGTCTGATATTCAATCATTACACTGGCGAGGGTCGTGTTGTGGTACTGGGTTCTGGCGAGGGTCGTGTTGTGGTACTGGGTTCTGGCGAGGGTCGTGTTGTGGTACTGGGTTCTGGCGAGGGTCGTGGCGTGGTACTGGGTTCTGGAGGGTCGTTGTGGTACTGGGTTCTGGCGAGGTCGTGTTGTGGTACTGGGTTCTGAGGGGTGTGGTACTGGGTTCTGGAGGGTCGTACTGGGTTCTGTCGTGTGGTACTGGGTTCTGGCGAGGGTCGTGTTGTGGTACTGTCTCACGGGAGGTCGTGTTGTGGTACTGGGTTCTGGCGAGGGTCTGTTGTGGTACTGGGTTCTGGCGAGGGAGTGGTACTGTGGGGGTCGTGTTGTGGTACTGTTCTGGGGAGGATCGTGTTGTGGTACTGGGTTCTGGCGAGGGTCGTTGTGGTACTGGGTTCTGGCGAGGGTCGTGTTGTGGTACTGGGTTCTGGCGAGGGTCGTGTTGTGGTACTGGGTTTCTGGGAGTACTGGGTTCTGGGGGTCGTGTTGTGGTACTGGTTCTGGGAGGGTCAAGTTGTGGTACTGGGTTCTGGCGAGGGTCGTGTTGTGGTACTGGCAGGTTCTGAGGGGTCGTGTTGTGGTACTGGGTTCTGGGGAGGATCGTGTTGTGGTACTGGGTTCTGGGAGGGTCGTGTTGTGGTACTGGTTCTGAGGGTCTGGGTGAGGGTCGCTGGTGGAGGGTCGTGTTGTGGTACTGGGTTCTGGGAGGGTCGTGTTGTGGTACTGGGTTCTGGGGAGGTCGTGGGTACTCTGGGAGGGTCGTGTTGTGGTACTGGGTTCTGGCGAGGGTTCGTTCTGTTGTTGTGGTACTGGGTTCTCGTGTTGTGGTACTGTGGGAGGAGGTCGTGTGTGGTACTGGGTTCTGGGGAGGATCGTGTTGTGGTACTGGTTCTGGCGAGGGTCGTGTTGTGGTACTGGGTTCGCGAGGGTCGTGGTACTGTTCTGGTGCTGGGTACTGGGTTCTGGCGGGGTCTGCGGTACTGGGTCTTGGGAGGATCGTGTTGTGGTACTGGGTTCTGAGGGGTCGTGTTGTGGTACTGGGTTCTGGAGGATCGTGTTGTGGTACTGGGTTCTGGCGAGGGTCGTGTTGTGGTACTGGGTTCTGGGGAGGATCGTGTTGTGGTACTGGGTTCTGGCGAGGGTCGTGTTGTGGTACTGGGTTCTGGCGAGGGTCGTGTTGTGGTACTGGGTTCTGGCGAGGGTCGTGTTGTGGTACTGGGTTCTGGCTAGGGTCGTGTTGGTTCTGGTATTGTGTGGTGCTGCGGAACATCTGTTGGTGTGGACGTAACGATCTACCAGAACATTGCTCCACTTTAAGGCAACCAGCCGAGTCTCCAGCTGTTTGTCTCGTGTGATTGATATCGGGTCCAGATTCTCAAAGGCTCGGAACCCGTGAACACGCTACTCCGATACTGCACTGCGCTATGACCTCATTACTAACGCGCACACACACATACACACACACACACACAGAATGCTTCAAAAAGTATCTTTACGATTTTGTGTGAGACAATGTGACACGATGGACGGAGGATTTTGACAACCCTACCGAGACAACAGGAGTCACAGTGTTCATTGTGAAATTCATCGGATCCGTGAAGATACTTGTTGGTGTGTGTACATCCACCAACTCCCAATTAACATGACTTCCTACTTATGTACTGTTTATGTAACGATGGAGAGAGAGTATTAGACAGTCCTTTATCCTTTAACACTACCCTCACACAGCCACCCCCTGGTCACTGGTGCTGGCACTACCCCCACACAGCCACCCCCTGGTCACTGGTGCTGACACTACCCCCACACAGCCACCCCCTGGTCACTGGTGCTGACACTACCCCCACACAGCCACCCCCTGGTCACTGGGTGCTGGCCACACTGACACCCCCACACAGCCACCCCTGGTCACTGGTGCTGACACTACCCCACACAGCCACCCCTGGTCACTGGTGCTGACACTACCCCCACACAGCCACCCCCTGGTCACTGGTGCTGACACTACCCCCACACAGCCACCCCTGGTCACTGACACTACCCCCACAGCCACCCCCTGGTCACTGGTGCTGACACTACCCCCACACAGCCACCCCCTGGTCACTGGTGCTGACACTACCCCCACACAGCCACCCCTGGTCCTGGTGCTGACACTACCCCCACACAGTCACTGGTGCTGACACTACCCCCCACACAGCCACCTGGTCACTGGTGCTGACACTACCCCACACAGCCACCCCCCTGGTCACTGGTGCTGACACTACACAGCCACCCCTGGTCACTGGTGCTGACACTACCCCACACAGCCACCCCTGGTCACTGGTGCTGACACTACCCCCACACAGCCACCCCCCTGGTCGCTGGTGCTGACACTACCCCCACAGCCACCCCCTGGTCGCTGCCCCCCACACAGCCACCCCTGGTCACTGGTGCTGACACTACCCCACACAGCCACCCCTGGTCACTGGTGCTGACACTACCCCACACAGCCACCCCCTGGTCACTGGTGCTGACACTACCCCCACACAGCCACCCCTGGTCACTGGTGCTGACACTTCCCCACACAGCCACCCCCTGGTCACTGGTGCTGACACTACCCCACACAGCCACCCCTGGTCACTGGTGCTGACACTACCCCCACACAGCCACCCCTGGTCACTGGTGCTGACACTGCCACCCACTGACACCCCCACACAGCCACCCCTGGTCACTGGTGCTGACACTGGTCGCTGACACTACCCCACACAGCCACCCCTGGTCACTGGTGCCACTACCCCACACAGCCACCCCTGGTCACTGGTGCTGACACTACCCCACACAGCCACCCCTGGTCACTGACACTACCCCCACACAGCCACCCCTGGTCACTGGTGCTGACACTACCCCCACACAGCCACCTGGTCACTGGTGCTGACACTCACCCCACACAGCCACCCTGGTCGCTGGTGCTGACACTACCCCCACACAGCCACACACACTACCCCACACAGCCACCCCCTGGTCACTGGTGCTGACACTACCCCCACACAGCCACCCCCTGGTCACTGGTGCTGACACTACCCCCACACAGCCACCCCTGGTCACTGGTGCTGACACTACCCCCACACAGCCACCCCCTGGTCACTGGTGCTGACACTACCCCCACACAGCCATCCCCTGGTCACTGGTGCTGACACTACCCAACTCGAAAGTAGTTTATTCTCGCCTCATGAAGCACAAATCGAGCAGCCGACCATTGGCAGGATTTAAACTTGAGGAAACAAGGCAGAGGGACGGTCGTGCTGTCGTTGGTTAAATTTGGTTGCAGGGAGCGTGAGGGAGGCGACCAGCCACACACCAAACTTTTCCCTCCGCTTCCTCCCTCCACCAAACACTTCCCCCATTTGTTGTAACTAAGTTCTGGTCCCGGAATCACAAAGCTTGTACAACTTATATTCCTCGTTTCTTGTGCACCAAAGTTAATAAAGAAAAATAGTGTCACGAACATAATTTTAACCCCAAACTATTGTTCAGTTAACTTATGTAAGAGTTTGGCCGTAGTTTTTTTCAATTCCTTAAGTGTTTTTTTTCTGTGATTTCGCTCAGATTAACCGGGTAGGTGATCTTACTCTCTGATTTGCAAGGAAGCGTACGAACGTTTGTAAATCTCGACGAAAACCAGAGAGTCTAGGATATAGTGTGAGGATGTTTTATTATCAGGTGAAATAATAAGGTGTGGAGGTGGTCTTCATGATGTGATTAACGTGGCTGTATTTTCATTATTAGTTTGTAGACAAGTTAGCACAGGACTTGATGGTAAGATGTGTTAATAGTTTTGTAAAATGAGAATATTGATTGAATTTGTTTTAGTTAATGTTGTATACGCGTTATATAAACTTGTACACAGCATTAATTGAACTCTGTATAAGGCTGAGCAAACAGTGTTATATGTTGATAATTTTCAAGAATTTGTGTACGTGGGCAGTGTCTCCTGAAGTTTGGTGTGTGCAGTATAGTGTATTACCACCTCAAATTGGGAAGCTGTTGTGTACCATGGTGTGTAGTCTACTGTCATCGGTTAATTGAAGTAATTTAACTTAGATATGTTATGAATAAAGGCTCTTCTCCTCCATGTTAGTCCTGTGAAGTTATTTGTCAACGAGAATGCCACAACAAATCACATTAAGTCAACGTTAATCGTGCGTCGATGCATTTAATGGGTCATGTTTGTGTTCACCGCATGCCAGTGAGGGCGCTGGTGTCCACCCCCTCTCCTTGTTGACTTGTTCCTGTGTCGTGAGCGTTTATCATTTGGTCTGACTGTTACCATGGCCTTGTTATATGAACCGTCAACTGGCGAATATGAAGCATGAGGAACTGTGCCATAGTTCTTTCCGCGGTAATTTAATATATTTTTTGTGTTTGTACCGAGTGTTGAGGACATAGTGACCTTTGTGACACGTGTGAATATTGAATAAGTTGTTTCTCCACAGGACACAGGGAATCCTTATCACTAGTCTCCACCTATCTGGACGCTACACCTGTCTATGGCCCCTCAGACAAGGTCGCCTTCGAAAGAAAGGCTGGTTACTTCGGCTACCTTAAGTAAGTCTTCCTTATCTCTTGACCTGACCTGACCTAACCGTACTTTACATTTTAAAACTAATTTCTGGACTTTTATATATTTTTTTAATTTATACTTGATCTAAACCGTAAACATTGAAAATTTTGTCCCTGTTTCTCGATGGTGTGTTGAGACCATTGTAGATCTGTCAATATTAAACACGTCTATAGGGTGTACCAGAAAAAATGTCCCTCCCTCCCTCCCTTCCTCTCTCTCTCTCTCCTTGCCTCCCTCCCTCTCTCTCTCCTTGCCTCCCTCCCTCACTCCCTGCCCCCTCAGACAGTGAGTTGGAGGGAGGCAGGGAAAATTTTTCTGGGTCACCCTATACAGTATATCGTTCATTCAGGTTGTAACCATTTTGTATACCGTCTATAGGCCTAATTTATAGTTATTATATATTAGTGTTATTATTAGGCACTATTATTATTATTTATTAGCGTTTATTATTGTTACTATTATAATATTTCTTGTGTTCTTTAGGACTCCCGAGTTGGTGGAGAAGGCAGAGGAGGGCAACGACGTCAAGTCAGGGAAGGAGGTGAAGTGTGGGGCGCCCGAGAGCTTGGAGGGTTGCTTCCAGATGGCTCAGGGAGAAGACTGGGTCAGTGAGACGCTGTGTACATACATGGCTTTCTTTTTTTTGTTGACACACTTAGTACTTCACTACGTCTCTTCACATGTTTTATATTTTTGTTCATTTCATTTAATTGATCTTATTTTGTTTTGTTTTATCATATGTAAATAAAACTTCAGTTCGGTGTCATTGAACTGAGACCAGTGTGACGCTTTGGACTCCCACGACACCAGGGCTCTTATGGTAGATACTTGAGTTCTGTCCTCACGTTAACTGTAGAAGAAGTGGAAATAGTGTAAGTTAATAAGGACGAGAAGTGGAAATAGTGCAAGTTAATAAGGACGAGAAGTGGAATGTTGTTAAGAGGAAGAGAATGAAAGTCCTGTAGATGTTTTATAATGACATGAAATGACCAGTTTAAGATGTCTGGGAACCTTTCATGATGTCTCGACCCCACTCTAATAAATTCTCCCTCCCCCTCCCTCTTTTCCTCTCCCCTCCCTCTTTCCCTCTCCCCTCCCTCTTTCCTTCTCCCCTCCCTCTTTCCCTCTCCCCTCCCTCTTTCCCTCTCCCCTCCCTTTTCCCTCTCTTCCTCCCCCCTCCCTCTTTCCCTCTCCCCCTCCCTCTTTCCCTCTCCCCCTCCCTCCCTCTCCCCCACATTCCTTAGTTGTCAGGTAGAGTTCTCGTTGTCCTCTCACACTTCGTCAGGGTAACCAAGTATTTCTTCTACAGGCTGAGGACCTGAGACTGCTGCTGGCACTGGAACATAACCGCCTCGTTGACGCCCTCTCGGAGATCAACCCACACTTCGATGACTCCCTCCTCTACAACGAAGCTAGGTAAGTGAGAGAATGGGTGGAGGGGAGGGGGAGGGGGTAGAAACTGAGGTGTTTTCTAGGATTAAATGTCAACAGGAGACACACACAAGAGGTCAGTACAGGGAGTGGGGGGTTTGTTTACGTTTCAGAGGGACTACGGTACTGGTAGAGGTGTAGGAGTATATAAACAGTGGCAAGTAGTGGAGGTGTAACTTATAGTAAACTTCAGGTGACGTGTATAGTGTGTTTCTCATACACTACTGTCCAGCTCCTGGTTGTCACCCTTAATAGATCTATCGTCTGTAGCCCAGGAATTTCGTCTTGTACATGACTGCCGCAGGAACCCTTCAGTATCCCCTGCACGACATACGGCAGCAGCACCGTAAGGGCCGCCAGCGTGGTGTGGTGAGGGCGAGTTTTCTATGAGGCAGTTTGTGGCGCTGCGAGGGGGGACTGTTGTACTCTGGTGGCTGCCTCAATTATTGGCCGCTTATAAATGGTGTTCGTGTTTCTGTGATTCTCATTTTATCTTTTCAAGGTTGTTAATGGGTGGTGCATATGGCTGGCGGAGTTAATGGCGCTTATTGTTGGGTGATGCGCTTTTTACCGAGGCTTTAAGGCGCAGTGTAGACAATACTTTCTGGCCTTTAATGTTGAAAGTTGCTTCAGGTGGTGTGGTGGCTGCACACGGCATCTTGTGGATTAATTTTAAAGTTCTTGTAGAAGTGTGGTGTTAAGTGGGAAGTTTAATCCTATATTTATAAAAGTTATGATTAAGTTGGTCAACATCCCGGCAACATTTCCAACACTACTCCCCAGTGTGGCGTAATATCACCAGCTGTTAATATTCCGAGTCAGGGATTTACCTTCCTCTATCTGTTCGTCATTGATTGAATCTTCGACTTTAATGGAATAATGATTTTGTCACGTCTGCTTTGATGATTATCCGTCAAAGTTGTTCGTAAAATTTTTAACTTTTATTTACAATACACTTTAGTATTTTTGATCATTAGTGAATCTTGCAACTGGGACATTGGTTGGTTTTACAAAAGATGAAAAAAGAAAAGAAAAAAGAGTATTACTTTAGTCAAATTAAAACTAAAACTGTAAAGGAATTAATCAAACTTATTCAGCAGGCATCTCGGTTAATTTAGTGTGTATGTAAGCTCGTATGAACACTACTACAGGTATGTATCAGAGGAATAACTTAGAGGCGTTCTGCTTCCATCTGTCACCAGCCAGTAACTCAGTTGCCTTGCTGTCTCCTCTCCTCTCCTCTAATCTGTTGCATCGTCTTTCGTTCAGATTCATTCTCTCTCCATTTCTACCGTCTACCGATCTAAAGAGGATGACGCAACACTTAAGATCCCCCCCCCCCTCTCTCTCTCTCTCTCTCTCTCTCTCTGTTCCCCATTTACTCTCTTGGTTCCATAATTCCCTCACCAGACACTATGAGTCAGACTTAACATCTACCTAACCGGTCTTGACAACGACACATAATTTCAGTGACTAAACCTGTCGAACTAGCGGCGGAAAATCTTGTTGACTGTGTTAACTCCACCTCCACACACTTACCTGGCCGTGTTGTCTAAAGAAGTGTACCTTATTGACACTCACTTTGAGGTATATGACTTTTTTTTACCCTTCGTCACAATGCTGATTCACTCTTCCTGTTCTGTAGATGTTACTTCCGTGAGTGGTGACGCCTTGAGGACGGTGGTTGTGTAACATGGTTCTTCTCTGCTGCTAAACATTGTAGCTCTTTACATTATTGTCTCCTCACTTAACTATGCTCTGTTGGTCCTTCTTGAGAATACAAATCCTTACATCCACAAAACATTCTTAAAGACTATTTCATTGTTTGTAATTTCACCCCTCTGGCCTGTTTGGATTTTTTTAAATATTATTATACCAGGTGTAGCGGGTGTCGTCGCCATGGGTCTGTCAACATGGGGTTATAGTTTAGACACACACTCTTGACGTGATCTTAGTTTTCCCACACCACCACCACCACTGTAAACAATAAGAACAACACTAAGCTTAGAGAAGTAAACAACCTTAATCAACGGACAACTTGTTTACTATAAAGCACAGTAAAGTCTCTGTGCTCAGGTAATATTATTTAAGCCTCTGCAGTGCAACATTTTGTCCAGAGTGTAAAGTGAATCACTGCGGACGAACCCAACACACATGACTTGCTTCTGGCTTGGCTGTGGGAGAGTCAGGTTGGTGTTTCATAACTTCTTCATTCCGGTTTGTTATTGCTGGAAGTACCGTGTGTCAGTGTTAACGTGTTGACAGTAGGTACTTCCCTAAACTCGTACCGTGTGTCAGTGTTAACGTGTTGACAGTAGGTACTTCCCTAAACTCGTACCGTGTGTCAGTGTTAACGTGTTGGCAACCTCTTGTCTTATTGGGATTGTATTGTAGAGTTTGCTTGTGTGTGAGTTACACGTTCAATACAATTAATGACACTCTGACCAGCTGTGGGAGATAATGATTATTTAGTTTACTTTGGTAATACATGGAAGGGGAGGTGTGGGGTGGTGGGTGAGGCAGGTGTGGGGTGTTGAGACAGGTGTGGGGTGGTGGGTGAGGCAGGGGTGGTGGGTGAGAGCAGGGGTGGTGGGTGAGGCAGGTGTGGGGTGGTGGGTGAGGCAGGTGTGGGGTGTTGAGACAGGTGTGGGGTGGTGGGTGAGGCAGGTATAGGGTGGTGGGTAAGACAGGTGTGGGCCGCCTTAACCTCGGTCTTCACATATGTAACAAGAATAGATGTGTTTGTGTGTGTTTTATATCCCCAGTCACAGTATCGTGGACGAGCAGTTTGGGGCATCAGTTTTAATCACCTACATTGGATCTACACGATACTAAACAGTTATATTAAAACAAGGATGATAAAAATGGGCTATTAGCTGTTTTGAGACACCTAATAAAACCCCTCACTTGCGTAATACCTCCATCAGTGTGTTGGGAGGAAGGGTGTGTTAGGTGCGACACTGGCCAGTTCTCGACACACTCCTATTATCCACGACCACTCACGAACTTTAAAACGAATGAATCTCTGAAGACGACGGGAAACACACTTGGTTGTGAGGTGTTGAAACATAAGTATATCTAGCGGCTTGGCCTGTGGATGACAAGTTGGTGTTTGGATTCAGTGAAAATTACATAGACAATTGTATCCTAGCAAGCAGTGTTTGTTCACAGGTCAAGGGACGTCTGGGGAAGCGAGACTGTTGTGATGATTTACGAAGTTTTTGGTGCTCTTGCATAGAATCAGAGGAATAATACTATTGGAACGTTGTTATAATCTACTAGTATCTTTCTCCATCTCGTACTTTGTATTATTCAGCGTATGGAGGATTGTCAAACTTAAAACTAAAATTTTGACAAGAGTTACTCCTCGCCTCATCAGACATTCTTGCCAAGACAAACAAACTCCGGCAGAAGAGAGGATAAGAAATAATAAGTTGAGGTTGCAGTCAATATCTCTGGGGGAGGTTTGAGGGTCCAGGTGGAGGAATGTAAACAATTTCAATTAGGGTCCGAGCCTAATGCTACGCCAAATTCCTGTCGTTTTTAAGGGAGGCTGTCATGATTATTGGAAACTTTGGCTCCTCAAGGATAAATTTCCCTCTTGAACTTGATCCACAAATGGGTTGTTTTTGTCCCTATAACCAAAGACTGTAACACGAGACTCATCCTCCCTGAGACAATAACACCACCAACACGATCAAGAATGTCGTCTGATTCCTGGATACTCTAAGAGTGTGATGATCATATGCGGCGATTTGAAGCAGAAACTATTGTTCAGTCAGTGGGGAAGACAGTGATACATACGGGTATATTATGTTAGAGTGTATAGTTGTGTACCTCTCGTGTACAGTATAGGATGTTGGGTGGTGAGAGGAGGGTATTACCGGTTTGTTTACCCAGAGAGATAAAAGGGAATGAGTTTCAATAATAATTCATGGTATTAATTTTATATCGAACAATTCATAGTAACCTTTGACCTCTCGAGTTACAGTACAGTATTTAGTATCTTTTCCTGTCAGTCAGTATCAACCCAGAGCCTGACAGTGATCTCTCTAACTCAGGAACTACAGTACAGAAAAGAATTAGATTTAGATTTGCCTCCACTAGCTTATTTTACCTTAAGATGAAACCTAACCTAACATGACATAACCTAACCTACCCTACCCTGACCTGACCTGACCTGACCTGACATAACCTAACCAAACCTAACGCTCACCTACCCACTCCTAATATAACCTTCTGGTGAAATATGCTGGCGGAATCGAATCTTCAGGTGATACACAGGAAAAGTATTGCATCTAAAATAGAGAAGTGAATGACAATATTATGGTCACAGGAACGAGTCCAGTGTTGTTATAATCACTTAACATCTGACACTACTTACAGGCGGATGGTGATAGCGGGGTACGACCACATCACCTACGGGGAGTACCTGCCAGTGTTGATGGGGGAGGCGGCGGTGAAGAAACACTCCCTCGGCCCTGGCGCTGAGGGGCCAGCCGCTAAGTTCATCCCGGAAGTCAACCCCGGCATCCTCACCAACTTCGCCCTGGCCTCCTACAGGAATCCTTCAGTGAGTACCCGAGTCTGTGGGGGCCTCGGAGAGATGGCTTTCATCTTTAATTATATAACTATATTATTTCATTTTTCATATAAGATCCCATATGTCCTCGTTGCGCTATTAGTACTTCATTTGTCTCTCTCTATAACCTTCTCCTATAACATCACAGTATGAAGGCCTCTAACCTCCTCTTGTCTGCTGGAAATATCCGCCATCTGACACTTCAAACAGCACTGGCCATATGTAGCATCTCGGCAACCTTTTCCTCACTGAAATTAATGTTCCCTTTAATAAATTTCAAAGGTTACACCATTTTTGTTTTTGCTTGGTATAAGTTTTGTTTTCATTTCTTACATCCACCGCCACAACTTTATTTCATGAGCCTCAGTATACCGTTTTCGACCTGTTAAAGTCACCTGTTGTCTATCCCCACAACAGAAGTGTTATTTGTATACCGAATATTTTATTTTACTTCACTTTTATTCTTTCATCACTGCCTATAACTTAAGATTATTCTTATTTGTGGTGTGAAAAAAAAAAAAAAGTTGAATATTATGAGTTTTGAGTTTTACATATGTTTGACTTGTTTTGTTACAGATGCACACGGAGTGGAAGGAGGCCTGGGGTCGTACAGACATCATGGAGTCAACACACTACGACTCCATCCGTGACGACTCCTACCAAGACCTGCTGGCCATGGACGTACAGCGAGGCCGTGACCATGGTAGGTGGTGGACCCAGTTTTTAATATCACTCGACCATCCCAGTCTCTTGCCTTTCCCTGGCTCTCTTAACCTCAACTTTGCTCATTAATATGTTTTTGCCTGACTACTTATGATTTCTTTCTCACATCTACCATCACAACTATGTTACTTCCCAACCAAACAATTATCTACTTGTTAACACTTTTTATTTTGGGTTTTGTTTCTCATTGAAAAAAAAAGCATTACCTATAGTTTCGTTTCTACAGCATTATATTTTAACCCACTAATCTGTTTACCAGTTTTTGTAACTCCTCTTCACTATTTGTGCTAAGAGCAGTATCGCTTATATAGTGTATACAGTACGTGTATTTGGTATTATTTTACCATTAACTCTTACTTCTTCATTGCCACGTATAACTTCTCTCATTAAGAATTCTGAATATATATTATACAATGTTGGAGATAGAACACAGCCTTGTCTTACTCCCTGTCCAACACTACAGCCTCCTGTTGCCAGTAAAGATTTGTTTGAACTCTAATATCCCTGTATCTCCTTCATTAATGCCATTTTTTTAAAGTTTGTGTTTTATCTTATCAAAAGCTTCATTAAAATTCAACAGATATACAAATGTCTTTGGACCTCTAAGGCCCGTTCACTCAAATTCTCAAACCAAAAATATTATAACTTCTCTAGTTCCTTTACCAAGTCCATTTTGCTCTTGAAATAACTATTTAATCTAGATTTTACTGTACATAAAGTTATGTTTAATAAAATTTTGTAGGCATGATTTTTTTTTAAATCACTGAGGTCTAGCCTGACATGTTGAGGCATAGAGCTAACGGATTATCATGGTAACCTGTAACATCTCTCGGCATATCTCTTCCCTTCTGCACTTATACCTGGTACAGTGGCTGGTGCATTTTGTGAGATGTGGCAACTCTGTGTTTGTTTACATGGCATTAAAACTCCCAGAATGGCCTCTAAGGAACCTCACAATAGTAGCCAGACCAAAGATGTTAGATACGCATTCCACAGAGTTGCCACATCTCACAAAATGCACCAGCCACTGTACCAGGTATAAGTGTAGGTGACTGTACATCATAGAGAGTCTTTAAAGAGATTCTTGTCTTAACCCAAAGTATTTAAGGGATATTTTTGTGATTTTGTTGATTATGGTGTTTTCGTGGTGCAGGTCTGGCGGGGTACAAGGTATGGAGCAGCTTCTGCAACAATGGTCACTCCAACTCCTGGGAAGACCTGGAGCAGAACTTCTCTAAGGAACTGGTGCAGGAACTCAAGAGACTCTATCAGTAAGTACCTATTATTGCCTGCCCACTCCCTGCTACCTGCAATTCCCTGTTACTCCCCGCTTCCTGTTACTCCCCGCTTCCTGTTACTCCCCGCTTCCTGTTACTCCCCGCTCCCTGTTACTCCCCGCTCCCTGTTACTCCCCGCTCCCTGTTACTCCCCGCTCCCTGTTACTCCCCGCTCCCTGTTACTCCCCGCTCCGTTACTCCCCGCTCCGTTACTCCCCGCTCCGTTACTCCCCTCTCCGTTACTCCCCGCTCCCTTCCACTCCCCACCACTCCCCGCTACCGCCCGCTCCAACGCATTAATAAGATATTCTTTACAAAATGAGTCCATAGTAGTTCAGCTCTTGTTGGTCACTGACTCTCACAATCACTCACTGTCTCCTCGGTGGGGCCAGTGTGTGTTATAAGCCATGACTTGTTACTGTACTCACCCCTTCTGCCCTCTACTGTGTGTCTGGTAACCAATTTTGAAGTTCTTTTTTACTTACACACACACACACACACACACACACACACACACACACACACACACTCTCTTGCTAGAGTTAATGACTGATCCCAATTAGCTGTAGCTATTACTAAAGACTGTTTTAATTGTATAACGACTCTCAAAATTTTCCTGTCCTCTCCCCACCCTTCCCCCCACCCGTCCTCTCCCCCCCCGTCCTCTCCCCCCCACCCGTCCCTCCCCCCCCACCCGTCCTCTCCCCCCACCCGTCCTCTTCCCCCCCACCGTCCTCTTCCCTCCCCCCCCCCCTCTTCCCTCCCCCCCGCCCTCTTCCTCCCCACCCCCTCCTCTTCCCTCCCCACCCGTCCTCTTCCTCCCCACCCGTCTCCCCTCTCCCCCCACCCGTCCTCTTCCCCCCACCCGTCCTCTTCCCCCCACCCGTCCTCTTCCCCCCACCTGTCCTTCCCCCCGTCCTTTTCCCCCCACCCGTCCTTTTTCCCCCCGTCCTTTTCGTCCTTTTCCCCCTGCCTGTCCTTTTCCCCCCCACCCGTCCTTTTCCCCCCCACCCGTCCTCTTCCCTCCCCACCCGTCCTCTTCCCTCCCCCACCCGTCCTCTTCCCTCCCCACCCGTCCCTTCCTCCCCCACCCGTCCTCTCCCTCCCCACCCGTCCTCTTCCCCCTCCCCCTCACCCGTCTCTTCCCTCCCCACCTGTCGTCCTCTTCCACCTGTCCCCACCCGTCCTCTTCCCTCCCCCCCGTCCTCTTCCCTCCCCACCTCCCTCTTCCTTTCCCTTGGTGTCCTCTTCCCCCCCACCCTTCCCCCCACCCGTCCTCTTCCCCCCCGTCCTCTTCTCCCCACCCGTCCCTCTTCCCCCCACCCGTCCTCTTCCCCCCACCCGTCCTCTTCCCCCCCACCCGTCCTCTTCCCCCCCCCGTCCTCTTCCCCCCACCCGTCCTCCCCCCACACCCGTCCTCCCCCATATATAACAAAGCAGAAGTTTGGTGTTGTATTTACGCACTAAACACGCTTATCTGTCCTACAATTGGCTTGATTTTTTGCCGAGACTTGATCCTGTAAACAATGAACTTGATAGTGTAGCGTTGATTATTGTCCTCCCCACCCCACGACGCCCCGCCCCGCCCCACGACGCCGCCCCCCTACGCCTGCCCGCGACGCCCCACTCGCCCCGCCCCGCCCCGACGCCCCCGCCCCGCCCCGCTCCACTTTTTGTTTAAGCTCTGGTGCCATCAACCATTCACTGGGAAAAACAGCTGTAATCGTCTGGATATAATCGATGGAGGTACTGGCTATGGCCTAGCAGCAACAGGAGATATGATGTGTTGGTACCGGTCAGGCCACACACACACTTAATGACCGAGTGACTTTGGAAATAACTGTTGATGTGAATTGTCAAATGTAGGAATTTTAATGCGAAAAAGAAACTTTGTTTGTTTGTTTGGGGGCTGCCAACCATGCCATATTATGCCACTTTTTTACGGCTGATTAAAAAGTTATAAATGTTAATTGTGGTAACCGTATAGATTAACTTCACCTTCTGTGTGGCGGAGGAATACTTGTGTTGTCACCCTCGATAATTTGTTTGTAACAGACAACTCAACCAGTCGAGTGGAGGATATTTTTTACGTTTACAACACCAGATGTACAGCTGCCCACAGGTATAGTGTTCAACCCTCTGTGACCTTTCCCAACTTGTGGCACGGTTGGGATCATAGTGGATCCTTCTTAACAGATATTACATCTACCATATGTTGGTCACATGTTGGGGGAGATGACCGAGGGCAGCTGTACACGGCAGTACGGGTACAAGCACATGATTTTAACCAGCTTCCCAGTGCACCACGTGACACTACTGAAGGTACAGTATATTAATGGTGGGTGAGAGTAGATGGGACCATAAGGTCTTTAATAAGACAACACTCCTCACCAGTACAACATAATAATGAACACCGTTGCTCATTACTGCCATTGAACTGATCCAACCATCTCTTTAGTTTTCATATATTGTCCCCTTCACTTGTGCGTTTACAGGGGTCATCAGGTTTTGTGCAGTGTGGCAGTGCTGTGTTTGTTTACATTCGACTGAAGGAAACTGTCACAAGTAAACACACTTCGGAATGAAAGTAAAACATTATTAAATCAAATATCTCAAAGATACTGATTTGTGGAATGTTTATATGACGAGCCCCTGTAAACGCACTAGTGAAGGGGACTGTGCCAAATTGTCATCCATACATAGATTCCCTTCGCCTCGTCCTTCAAACAGTCATCATTATTTTTCTTATTAATAACTTCAGATGTTTTGTTTCATAAATTTATTCAACAATTAGCTGTGGCGACTTGGTAACATTTCATTGTAATATCTTCCCCAGTGACGAGGTGGAGGATGTTGACGCTCAGTTGGCGCTGCTGGAGAAACCTGATGACGGTGGGGTGATCGGCAAGACCTACACCTGTATCCTGGTATGTCTTGCTCGCATACACCTGGTCGAGTGTCTGGTGTATGTGTCCCTTCCTTCATAACCTCCTCCCTGGTGCTTCCTTCACTACCTCCTCCCTGGTGCGTCCTTCTCAACCTCCTCCCTGGTGCGTCCTTCTCAACCTCCTCCCTGGTACTTCCTTTACAACCTCCTTCATGGTGCTTCCTTCACAACCTCCTCCTCCTCATTGACCCTTCCTTTGCACCCTCCTCTCCTAATTTTGTTTTCCTTTTATTAACTTTAAGTCCATTTTTGATGTCCTCCGTATTCTAAACTACTACTACTACTACTAAAATAAGCCCCCAGTCCTTGGTCTGAATCACCATATCAACAAGGACCAGTTATCCCATCACACTCCACTTGAAACCGCACAACAGACCAACAGCTGAAGTGACCAAAACAAAAGGTTAATCATTTGGTCTCTTTTCCTTCATCTTAAGAGCACAAAGGTGAATCAGGTGTAGAGGATTATGAATAATTCCTGAGGTCATTTATCATACAATATTGACACACAAGGTGAGTGTATTCGTGTTGGGTGATCTGATACAGGAGTAGTTCTCTAGTTATGTGTCTTGATTAGCCAATTGTCGTGATGATTAGCCAATTGCCGTGATGACTAGGCAGTTGTAATGACCACGGCGGTACAACGAATCTTTCATACAGATACCACTTGCCATCACCACTCTTTCTCTCCCCATAACCAAGGCTGACCAGTTCGCCCGCTTGAAGACTGGGAACCGATTGTATTGGGAGCATGAGAGTAGCCTCTTGACGGTGGAGCAGAAGGACTTCCTGAAGGAGTCCACCCTAGCACGTCTCCTGTGTCACAACTTGCCACTCCACGCCGTACCTACCAACGCCTTCCTTCCACCCTCAGACAGGTCAGTGGATATTTCTCCTCCTCTGCTCAGTCGGCCCACCAACACACCTCTTACACAACACAAGTTCCACCTGATGGGTCAGTGAAGGCCAACAGGTACTATATAATAAACCTGTTCTCAGGACCTAGTGCCCCGAAACCTCACCACGAATTGATTATAAAATCCTTCAAGAAAATAACATCTGTACGACACACGACACTATAGAAGAAGACATGTGGCACAAGACAGTAACTGTAGACATGTGTGGCACAAGACAGTAACTGTAGACATGTGTGGCACAAGACAGTAACTGTAGACATGTGTGGCACAAGACAGTAACTGTAGACATGTGTGGCACAAGACAGTAACTGTAGACATGTGTGGCACAAGACAGTAACTGTAGACATGTGTGGCACAAGACAGTAACTGTAGACATGTGTGGCACAAGACAGTAACTGTAGACATGTGTGGCACAAGACAGTAACTGTAGACATGTGTGGCACAAGACAGTAACTGTAGACATGTGTGGCACAAGACAGTAACTGTAGACATGTGTGGCACAAGACAGTAACTGTAGACATGTGTGGCACAAGACAGTAACTGTAGACATGTGTGGCACAAGACAGTAACTGTAGACATGTGTGGCACAAGACAGTAACTGTAGACATGTGTGGCACAAGACAGTAACTGTAGACATGTAGACATGTGTGGCACAAGACAGTAACATGTACATGTGTGGCACAAGACAGTAACTGTAGACATGTGGCACAAGACAGTGACATGTGTGGCACAAGACAGTAACTGTAGACATGTGTGGCACAAGACAGTAACATGTACAAGACAGTAACTGTAGACATGTGCACAAGACAGTAACTGTAGACATGTGTGGCACAAGACAGTAACTGTAGACATGTGTGGCACAAGACAGTAACTGTAGACATGTGTGGCACAAGACAGTAACTGTAGACATGTGTGGCACAAGACAGTAACTTTAGACTGATGTCCCAGGAAGAGCCCTCCCACATTGACCTTGTGATCCATTTTCGAATCCCGTGCACATCTCCCATACATCATCCAGTACATATCCCACATTGGTAAATTGTCTTATGCAGTACATCTCCCATATTGGTAAACTGTGCCATGCATCACCTACTTCTCCTCCCACGTTGGTGAACTGTCTCAGGTACTCCCATGGTGATTATCAATGGCATCCGATATTTTTTCTCCCATAGTGTCGCCCAACCTTCATAAAAGGCCCTCTTCCATGTCGTGTGTCTCCCAGTCGACATGTGTGGCACAAGACAGTAACTGTAGACATGTGTGGCACAAGACAGTAACGGTAGACATGTGTGGCACAAGACAGTAACTGTAGACATGTGTGGCACAAGACAGTAACTGTAGACATGTGTGGCACAAGACAGTAACTGTAGACATGTGTGGCACAAGACAGTAACTGTAGACATGTGTGGCACAAGACAGTAACTGTAGACATGTGTGGCACAAGACAGTAACTGTAGACATGTGTGGCACAAGACAGTAACTGTAGACATGTGTGGCACAAGACAGTAACTGTAGACATGTGTGGCACAAGACAGTAACTGTAGACATGTGTGGCACAAGACAGTAACTGTAGACATGTGTGGCACAAGACAGTAACTGTAGACATGTGTGGCACCAGTAACTGTAGACATGTGTGGCACAAGACAGCACTGTAGACATGTGTGGCACAAGACAGTAACTGTAGACATGTGTGGCACAAGACAGTAACTGTAGACATGTAGCACAAGACAGTAACTGTAGACATTGTGGCACAAGACAGTAACTGCAGACATGTGTGGCACAAGACAGTAACAGAGACATGTGTGGCACAAGACAGTAACTGTAGACATGTGTGGCACAAGACAGTAACTGTAGACATGTGTGGCACAAGACAGTAACTGTAGACATGTGTGGCACAAGACAGTAACTGTAGACATGTGTGGCACAAGACAGTAACTGTAGACATGTGTGGCACAAGACAGTAACTTTAGACTGATAAGTGTCCCAGGAAGAGCCCTCCCACATTGACCTTGTGATCCATTTTCGAATCCCGTGCACATCTCCCATACATCATCCAGTACATATCCCACATTGGTAAATTGTCTTATGCAGTTCATCTCCCATATTGGTAAACTGTGCCATGCATCACCTACTTCTCCTCCCACGTTGGTGAACTGTCTCAGGTACTCCCATGGTGATTATCAATGGCATCCGATAATTTTTCTCCCATAGTGTCGCCCAGCCTTCATAAAAGGTCCTCTTCCATGTCGTGTGTCTCCCAGTCGACCTTCGGTTCATTTCGAGTCTCCAAAGGATCCCATTAGTTCCGTCTCCCATGCTGGTATTCTCTCTACAGACACACATTAAGCTTCCCACCCATGCCAGTAACTTCCCCCAGGTCTCTCCCATGTCCTCTCCCATGTAGACACTGTACACTATACTGTACACGCCACTATGGGTTTATTTTATTTATCTTGGAGTTAATAATCAGATTAGCAGGGAGAATAGTGACTTAGTTTCCCCTGATGGATGACTGTCAACATTTAACGATAATATGTGACCTTCAACAGCAATCCTCTGGTTCCGTGTTCTCAACTGCCAGTCGGAGACATCAGTCCATGGAAAGACACCTCACTCATAGAGAAGATGAAGCAGATTAAGGAGGGGAAAGCGAGTGAGCAGAAGGAGGAAGCGAGTGAGCAGCAGCAGCAGGAGGAAGCGAGTGAGCAGCAGGAGGAAGTGAATGAGCAGCAGGAGGAAGCGTCACAAGCCAAAGAGACATCTAAACACTCTGAGCTGTAGATGGAAGCCAAGACTAACTGAATCATGTTGATCTTGTTGGTCTGTTGTCATACTAATGTTTACGGTGATCAGATATTGTGGTCATCAAAGTAGGTAATATTATGTTCAATGACTGTTAAATATTGCCGGGTGGTGCAAAAACAAAGAAATTGCTGGGTTATTTTGTTGATTGTTAATGGTGATCCCCCGTCCCTCCCAGCCAGTGACCCATGTTAGGCCGTCTAGTACACGGTGTTTCTTTGTACAATAAAAACTAATTTGTTAAGTTGTTGTTTCGTGAATCCTTCAGCTTTACGGGATCTCAGGGGGTGGGGGGTGTACATTCCTTCTCTAGCTCATTACACTCCACTCCCTAGCTCATTACACACACTCTAAGCTCATTACACGCCCTCTCTGGCTCGTACACCCCCTCTCTAACATGTACACCCCCTTTCCTAAACATACACCCCCCCTCCCTAGCTTATTACCCTCCTTCTAACATGCATTCCCTCTAGCTTGTACCTCCTTCCCTAACACACCTCCTTCCTTGTACCCTCTTCTAAGCAGCCACACCTCCTTCTAACATACCTCCTCCCCTAGCTCGTACTACCCTTTCCCTAGCCTTACACTTCCTCCTAACAGCCACCTCCTTCCTAGCAGCCACACTCCCTCCCTAAGCTTGGCCTCCCTCCCTAGCTTGTACCTCCCTCCCCTAACTTGTACACTCCCTCCTAGCTTATTTTCCTTCCTAAGCTTGTACCTCCACTCCCCAACAGCCTCCTCCTAAGCTTACCTCCTTGCTAACCTCCCTCTAAGCTTATACCCCTCCCCAACCCCTCCTAGCTTGTACACCTCCAACGATACATCCACTTCCTAGCTTATACCTCCCAGCCCCTACCAACACTCCTCCTAGCACACCTTTTTCTAGCCTTACCAACCTAGCTTGTACCTCCTCCCTAGCTGTGTCCTCCTTCTAACCTCCCTCCCTAGCTTGTACACCTCCTTCCTAGCTTGTACACTCCCTCCCTAGCTTGTACACCCTTTCCCTAGCTTGTACACTCCCTCCCTAGCTTGTACACTTCCTTCCTAGCTTGTACACTCCCTCCCTAGCTTGCACATTCCGTCCCTAGATTGTACACTCCCTGTGGGTGCTGCCGTTCCTGGAAGCGTCCCTAGGGACGCCAGAGCCCCTGAGAGGTTCCTTGTGAGGAACCCTTGGGGTGCCAGCGCCCCTGGGAGAGTCCCTGGGGGCACAGCCGTCCCTGGGAGGGTTCCTAGGGGGCCGTCTCACCTGGAACGGTCCCTGGGGAAGCCGCCGCCCCTGGAGGGGTCCGTGGGGGCGCCGCTGACCCTGGGAGGGACCCTATGGGCGCCGAGGTTCTTTGTGAGCGTCCCTACGGGCGCCTCCGCATTTAGGAGGGTCTCTGGGAGTGTCCCTGTGGGCGCCGGCGTCCTTGGAAGGGTCTCTGGGGGCTCGTCCGGCCCTGGGAGGGTCCCTAGGGGCGCTACGACCTCTGGGATAGTCCATGGCGGCGCGGAGGTCCCTAGGAGAGGCCCTATCGGCTCCGACGCCCATGGAAGGGCCCATGGGTGCGCCGGCGCCCCCGGGAGGGTCTATGGGGGCTCCGCCGTCCTTGGGAGGGTCCCTGGATACAGCTGCCCCTGGGAATGGTCCCTGGGTACGCCGCCCTCACCACTAAGACTAAATGGCTGGTGCCTTGCGGCTCGTTACCACAAAAAAAGGATGTGTTGTAAGGAATAAGAATTCCGGCAGAGCCCTCAAGACTACGACTAAGACTAAATGACTAGTACCTTGCGGGACCCTATTAGCGCCACCGCCCCTGATTGGGCCCCTGGGGGTACCAACACCCCTGAGAGGGCCCCTGGGATCCCCACCGCCTCCGGCAAGGCCCCTGGTGGAGCCTCCGCCCCTGGCATGACTCCTGGGTGCGCCGCCGACCCTGGGAGGGCCGTTGGGGGCGTTGCTGTCCCTTGGTAGGGACCCTGGGAGCGCTGCCACGCTTGGTAGGGTCCCTGGGGGAGCCGTTGTCCTTGGGAGGGTCCCTGGGGGACGCTGCTGTCCCTGTAATGGTCTCTGGGAGCGCCACCGCCCCTAGCAGGGCCCTTGGGGCAGTCAGCTCTCCTGGGGGCGCCACTGTCCTCTGGAGGGCCCCTGGGGATGCCATTGCCCCTGGCAGAGCCCCTGAGGGCCCCGACACCCCTGGCAGGTCTCCTGGGGGGCCCCATCGCCCCTGGCAGGGCTCGTCAGGACGCCACCTGGGAAGATATTGGAAGCATAATGTGTTGTCTGATGGTAGACTCTGCTGCCATATGGCATCACGAAAATTGTGACCAAGTCCCAGGTTGCTGATCTGACTTTCTGCCTCATTTACACACAATTGCAGGGTCTCAATTGTTTCTCTTAATATTGACAACACAACATATTTCTTCATGGTTCTTTATTATTATTATTATTATTACGTTTTCGCCCCCTAGGCCCTGATGTGGGTCAGGGACCTGTGCCTGGGTGGGCTAATCAAAAAAAAAAATGGGCGGGCCCCTGTTGGCGCCATCTTCATGCCAGTGCCCATAGGGTCGTAACCGCCCATGGCAGAGCTCCAGGGGAGGGGGACGCCGACCCTCGCAGGGCCCCTGGGATGCCGCTGTCCCTGAGAGGTCATCTGTGGGCGTTGATGTCCCTGGAGGAACCACCGCCCCTGGGATGTCCTCTGAAGACGCCAGGACACCTGACAGGACCTTTGGGGGTACCCCCGCCCCTATCAGAGCCCCTGGGTGTGCCACCGTTCCTGGGATGGCCCCCATTGGCGCCACCACCCCTGAGAGGACCTCCAGGGGGTGCCGCCACCCATGGTAAGGTTCCTGGAGGCGCCGCTGTCCCTGGAAGGGCTCCGGGGGCGCCCCCCCCCCCTCGAAGTACCACAACATCGTCCCTGGAAAAATTGGGAAAGCTTGTGAAAAAATTTTGGTTGGAAATTTGTTGAATTTTTTTTTAATTCAATATCAGCAGGTGTCAGATGGGGTCATACTACAGGGTATTTCAACATAATAACAGTGCAAGGGGCGCTGGTGGTAGAGCGGTACCGTTCTTGCCTCGCAAGCAAGATGTCACGGGTTCGATTCCCGGACCAATGGAAGTTGTTTGGACACTCTTCCTAGTCCCCTTGGTCCCTGTATACCTAGCAGCAATGTAGGTACCTGCTGTAAATCGGAAGTTGCGAATTCGTGGGCGTTGTAAACGCTTCAGCGCTTCACCTTACACAAGGATGTAGGGGAGTGCCCAATAAATGATAAAATAAATAAAAATAACAGTGCAAAAAATAAGTGCGTGTGCGTGCGAGCGTGCGCGTGCGAGCGTGTGTGTGTGCGCGCGCGCGCGCTCGTGCGTGTGTGTGTGTGCGTGCGCTCGCACGTGTGTATTATTCTGGATGTACTTAAACAGTTAAGCACATTATATTTTAGTTCAAAATCTAAGCATAGGTACTCCTGAACATGCTGCTTCAGCATCAGTTAACCAAAATTTGATATCTGGATTATTGCTTGTTCAAAGGATTTTTAGAATATTTTTAATTACTTTTGCAATGCTAATTAGTCGCCACTTAGGGGTTTTCGAGGTCATTTCTTGGTGCTTGTGTATTATTCTGGATGTACATACAACCCCTCCCTCCCTCCCACATAGCACCTCTCCCTCCCTCCCACATAGCACCCCTCCTCCTCCCACATAGCACCTCTCCCTCCTCCCACATAGCACCTTCCTCCCTCCCACATAGCACCTCCCTCCCCCCACATAGCACCTCTCCCTCCTCCCACATAGCACCTCTCCCTCCCTCCCACATAGCACCTCTCTCCCTCCCCTCCCCACATAGCACCCTCCTCCCTCCCCACACAGAACCCCTCCCTCCCCACATAGCACCCCTCCCTCCTCCCCACATAGCACCCTCCTCCCTCCCCACATAGCACCCCTCCCTCCCACATAGCACCCTCCCTCCCTCCCACATACACACCCCCCTCCCCCTCCCCCCCACATAGCACCCCTCCCTCCTCCCTCACACAGCACCCCTCCCTCCCTCCACATACCACCCCCTCCCTCCCACAGCACCCTCCCTCCCACAACCACTCTCCCTCCCTCCCACATAGCACCCTCCTCCCTCCCACATACCACCCCCTCCCACATAGCACCCTCCCTCCCTCCCCACATACACCCTCCCTCCCCGCCCACATAGCACCTCCCTCCACATACCACCTCTCCCTCCCTCCACATACCACCCCTCCCTCCACATACCACCCCTCCTCCCTCCACATACCAACCTCCCTCCCTCCACATACCACCCTCCCTCCCTCCACATACCACCCTCCTCCCTCCACATACCACCCTCCCTCCCTCCTCCACATACCACCCTCCCTCCCTCCACATACCACCCCTCCTCCCTCCACATACCACCCCTCCCTCCCTCCACATACCACCCTCCTCCCTCCACAACTACCACCCCCTCCCTCCCTCCACATACCACCCCTCCCTCCTCCACATAACACCATCTCCCTCTCTCCACATACCACCTCTCCTCCCTCCACATACCACCCTCCCTCCTCCCACATACCACTCTCCCTCCCTCCACATAGCCCTCCTCTCCTCTTCTCCATACCAATTCTGCTGTGGAAGTAGATTATCGACTTTTGGGAAATATGAACATTTTCCAAAGCATTATCATAGAAACGGGAAATTTGTATCACAGAAAATGGGAAATATTTCTACTTTCTGGGAAAGTTGGTTATCTACTTATCATAGAAAACGGGAAATTTGTATCATAGAAAATGGGAAATATCTACTTTCCATGAAAGTTGGTTATCTACTTTCCTGAAAGTAGATAATCTACTTTTCGGAAAGTAGATTTTCGACTTTCGTGAAGTAGATTATCGACTTTTTGGGAAATATTAACATATTTTCCAAAGTAGATTATCATAGAAAACGGGAAATTTTATCACAGAAAATGAAATATTTTACTTTCTGGGAAAGTTGGTTATCTACTTATCATAAAAACGGGAAATTTGTATCATAGAAAATGGGAAATATCTACTTCCGCAAAGTTGGTTATCTACTTTCCGAAAAGTAGATTATCTACTTTTCGAAAGTAGATTTTCGACTTTTCGTGGAAGTAGATTATCGACTTGGGAAATATTAACATATTTTCCAAAGTAGATTATGCAGAAAACGGAAATTTGTATCATAGAAAATGGGAAATATCTACTTTCCAGAAAGTTGGTTATCTATTTCCTGAAAAGTAGATAATCTACTTTCGGGAAAGTAGATTGACTTTTCGTGGAAAGGATTATCGACTTTTTGGGAAATATTAACATATTTTCCAAAGTAGATTATCACAGAAAACGGAAATTTGTATCACAGAAAATGGAAATATTTCTACTTTCTGGGAAAGTTGGTTATCTACTTATCATAGAAAACGGAAATTTGTATCACAGAAAATGGGAAATATCTACTTTCCGCGAAAGTTGGTTATCTACTTTCCTGAAAAGAGATAATCTACTTTTCGGGAAAGTAGATTTCGACTTTTCGTGGAAGTAGATTATCGACTTTTGGGAAATATTAACATATTTTCCAAAGTAGATTATCATAGAAAACGAAATTTGTATCACAGAAAATGGGGAAATATCTACTTTCCGGAAAGTTGGTTATTCATTTTCCTGAAAAAGCAGATAATCTACTTTTCGAAAGTAGATTTGACTTTTCGTGGAAGTAGATTATCGACTTTTTGGGAAATATTAACATATTTTCCAAAGTAGATTATCATAGAAAACGGAAATTTGTATCATAGAAAATGGGAAAATATCTACTTTCTGGGAAAGTTGGTTATCTACTTATCATAGAAAACGGAAATTTGTATACAGAAAATGGGAAATATCTACTTTCGCGAAAGTTGGTCCTGAAAAGTAGATTATCTACTTTTCGGAAAGTAGATTTCGACTTCGTGAAGTAGATTATCGACTTTTAAAATATTAACATATTTTCCAAAGCAGATTATCATAGAAAACGGAAATTTGTATCATAGAAAATGGGAAATATCTACTTTCCGCGAAAAGTTGGTTATTATTCATTTCCTGAAAGTAGATAATCTAATTTTTCAGAAAGAGATTTTCGACTTTTCGTAGAAGCTTAGATTATCGATTCTTGGGGAAATATTAACATATTTTCCAAATTAGGATTATCATATAAACGGAAATTTGTATCACAGAAATGGGAAATATTTCTACTTTGGAAAGTTGGTTATCTACTTATCATAGAAAACGGAATTTGTATCATAGAAAATGGGGAAATATCTACTTTCCGCGAAAGTTGGTTATTCATTTTCCTGGAAAAGTAGATTATCTACTTTTCGGAAAGTAGATTGACTTCGTGGAAATATTATCGCACTTTTTGGGAAATATTAACATATTTTCCAAAGTAGATTATCATAGAAAACGGAAATTTAGACATAGAAAATGGGAATATCTTACTTTCCGCGAAAGTTGGTTATCTACTTTTCTGAAAAGTAGAGATAATCTACTTTGGGAAAGCAGATTTCGAATTTTCGTGAAGTAGATTATCGACTTTTTAAATGATATTTTTCCAAACTAGATTATCATAGAAAACGGGAAATTTGGTATCACAGAAATGGGAACATTTACTTTCAGAAAGTTGGTTATCTACTATAGAAAATTGCATCAAGAAAAATGGGAAATATCTACTTTCCGGCGAAAGTTGGTTATCTACTTCCCGAAAAAGTAGATTATCTACTTTCGTGAAAGTAGATTGACTTTTTCGTACAGATTATCGACTTTTTTCAAAATAACAGCTTTTCCAAAGTAGATTTACCCAGGAAAACGGGAAATTTGTATCACAGAAAATGGGAAATATTCACTTTCCGCAAAAGTTGGTTATTACTTTTCCTGAAAAGTAGATAATCTACTTTTCGGGGAAAGTAGATTTAATTCGTGAAGTAGATTATCGACTTTGGGGAAATATTAACATATTTTCCAAAAGCAGAGATTATCATAGAAAAACGGGAAATTTAGTATCACAGAAAAAATGGGAAATATTTCACTCTTCTGGGAAAGTTGGTTTACTTACTATCATAGAAACGGAAAATTGGTATCACAGAAAATGGGAAAATATCTACTTTCCATGAAAGTTGGTTATTCATTTCTTCCCGAAAAAGTAGATTTGTTCTACTTTTCGG